GCGCCCGTTGTCAGCAGCAAGCCCAGCCGTTGTTCCGCCTAGCAGATGAAAGATGATTCTTGCCACATGGAAATCTGACAAGCTGCTGACAACAAGACGAGCAGCCGGCCATTGCCGGCCTCGGAGTATCATTGGGCCAAGAGTTAAAATGAATGACGACAGCACCCGTGGACGGCTCAGGCAAAGATGAATGTGTGCCACGAGGACAAGAAGAATACATTCACATGCTGGAAGAGGGCGAGCAAAGACCTTCCTTGGTGCTAGTACTAACAGACCGCCCGGGCCTCGAACTGACTTGGCTGGACTCCAGCGCCGGGCGGCCTGGGGAAGATGAGACCAGAACAAATCAATGCTAAGAGCCCGTAGCCACCCCCCAACTCCAAGAAAAGGGCCCAGATCCGGGGGAGAAAATGGGAAAGTTTGAGGGCAAAACACAGCAAATTGGTGCAAAATTGGTCCAACATGGAGGCTTTCAACGCCCGTTGGCCCACACAGCTAACCTTATCGTGGTCTAGATAGTATGGAGTTAGTATGGGGGCTTTTTGGTGGAGCGCAGGGATGGGTCCGCTTACGGACTACCTCGGCTCCCTTCGAAAGGGTCCCAAGGTCCGAAGACACAATACCCGGGCACCTCATTATTCTTTCAGATCATTCTTGGGATTTATTTTCACTCTCGTCTCTGTCACTTTCACAGATTTCAGTGCTCTGCCCAAAGGAAACCTAAACAAACGCAGTCCTACGCCACCATGCCACCGAATCCGGACTGGGTGAAGAAGCTGAAGCCGGCGGAGCCGCAAGGCGCCGACCTGCTGGCCAGCGAACGCGCCTCTAGCAACATCAATGTTGACCAGCTGGCCGACTACATGTTCACCAAGCAGACGCTGGCCATGCGGGAGCGCATCCTGGGAATCCTGTCCAACGACCCCGTCTTTGACAAGTCCCAAAACTACTTCCAGGGCCGCGAGGACCGCATCAAGGCCTCGCTGGCAAAGGGAAAGCGCCTGCAGCAGCTGTCAGTCCAGCACAAGTGGACGCAGGAGGAGTATCAGTGTGCCAATGATCTGTTGAGCGAGCCAACTCCATACGGCCTCCATGCCACCATGTTTCTCGTTACCCTGCGCGAGCAGGGCACGCCCCAGCAGCACGAGCTCTTCCTCAAGAAGGCCGAGAACTACCAGATTGTTGGCTGTTACGCCCAGACCGAGCTGGGACACGGTTCCAACGTCAGAGGTCTAGAGACAACGGCGACCTGGAACCAACAGGACAAGACCTTTACTATTCACTCGCCACATCTCACCTCGTCCAAATGGTGGATCGGCTCCCTTGGCAAGACGGCAAACCACGCAGTCGTCATGGCCCAGCTCATGATTGACGGCAGAAACTATGGCCCGCACCCCTTTGTGGTCCAGATCAGAGACCTCAAGACCCACGAGCCGCTCGAGAATGTCCACGTTGGCGACATTGGCCCCAAGTTTGGCTACAACACCATGGACAATGGTTTCCTCTTGCTCAACCAGGTCAAGGTGCCGCACGTCAACATGCTGGCCCGATTCTCCCACATAGATCCCGAGACCGGCAAATACAAGCGGCCGTCGAACCCCAACTTGGTCTATGGCACCCTGACCTTTATCCGCAGCAGCATTGTGCTCCAGTCGGGCGCCACCCTCGCCCGCGGTGTCACCATTGCCACACGGTACTGCGCCGTTCGCCGACAGTTTCAAGACCTCGACGCCAAGGGCTCCGACGTTGGCGAGAACCCCGTGCTCAACTATACCATGGTGCAGGTCCGCCTGCTGCCTCTTCTCGCCGCCACGTATGCCCTGCACTTTACGGGTCGCAACATGATCCAGATGTATCAAGAGAACCAGAAGCGCATGGCGGCGGGCCGCGATGCCGCCAAACTCAGTGATGCGAACCGCCGGCCAGGCCCTGAAGAGCTGAACCCTGGCACCGACCTGCTGGCAGACCTGCACGCGACCTCTTGCGCCCTCAAGGCCTACGGCAGTACCGTGGCCGGCGAGGGTCTCGAGGTGTGCCGCCGTGCTTGCGGTGGTCACGGCTACAGCTCCTTCTCCGGCATCGGCACCTGGTACGCCGACTACCTGCCTACGCTGACGTGGGAGGGTGACAACTACATGCTCACCCAGCAGGTGTGCCGATACCTGCTCAAGTCGGGTCGGGCGGTGCTGTCGGGCAAGGCGGGCGACAACGACACGACGCGCATCCTCAAGGCGTACCTGGCCCGCCGCGACGTGGGCGCCTCGTTTGACGTGCTGGCGTCGGACACGGAGCTGGTCGAGGCGTTTGGTTGGCGAGTCGCCCACCTGACGTTCGAGGCGCTCCAGCGACGCGACGAGGAGAAGCGGCCGTGGAACAGTCTGCTGGTCGACTTCCACCGCCTTAGCACGGCGCACGCCCAGTACATGGTGGTCAAGTCGTTCCACGACGCCCTGGTGCACGACGAGGCGACCAAGAGCTCGCTGGACCGCCAGACCATTACCATCCTGCACAGCCTGTTCCGCCTGTTTGCGCTCAACACGCTGGAGCGCGAGGCTTCCGAGTTCTTCTCCAGCGCCGCCGTCACGGTGCGCCAAATCACCCTGGCCCGCCGCGCCGTCATGAAGCTGCTCGAGGAGATCCGCCCCCACGCCATCCGCCTCGTCGACGCCTGGAAGTTCTCCGACTGGCAGCTCGACTCGAGTCTGGGCCGCTACGACGGCAACGTCTACCAGGACATGTTCTACCGGGCCAGCGAGCTCAATCCCCTGAACAAGGTCGTCTTTGACCCATACCCAAACAGCAATGTCCTATTCAAGAAGGACGAGAGGGTCAAGAGCAAACTATAGAAGCATAGACAAAAAAAGAGAGGATACGACATGACTTTTTAGAATCATTTAGAGCCAGTTGATCATGTATATTTTACAGCTAAAGACGAATCTTTTAGAAATGAATTACATTCCATTTTTTTTTTCACATGACATGATGATCTGATTGCTGTGTCGTCTATTTGCTGTTGAGACATGATCTCGTCGTATTCCATCCAAAAGCAATCAGGGGAACGAGACTCCCAAATTCAAGGACATTGACATTATGTAACCATTAGGGAAAATACACCTGGCATCTTTACGCCATATTATACCCGTTTCTTGCAATCCTATGATTGTTTTGAATATACATGACACTTGTAGGCCAGTAACCCTAACACAATATCTCGATGTTGATTGATCAAGCCTCGGTGGGCATGATTCATCATGCTGGGCCACCGATGGATAGCTTGGACATCTCCAAGCATGACAGGCCTCGGTACGTACGTACAAGGCCTCGGTGCGCTAGTAGAGCTGCGAGCACGGGGGACTACATGCATTCGCAGCGGTCATGATTTGGCTTTTGTATGACATGGAGGATGTCTAAGAGAATGGCAGGAATTCGCCTCCTCATGTACTAGCACGCACATGATGCGGCAAATCACTAGGAGGATTCTCAGATCAAGTCTCTGGTGGAGAGTTTTCCAATCACGGCGGTCGATATAGGCATTTGGTCGCCAGAGGCTGGCCTGGAGTCCAAGTATCAAAGCTGCAATATTAAAAATCGAGCGTGAAATGCATCCGTGTTCTCATGCTACATGCCAAAGGCTCGTGACTTGATTCGCATTTTTGTTTTACGACTTGTCGCTGAGCCTCTCTTCAGAGGAAAATCAGGTGACCCAAACCATTGACTCCGAATGCAGCCGTCCTCAGATACCAGACCATTTTCTGTTTCGTCTAGGGTATCCGCAGATCCATGTGTTGATGACCATGACATGACATTTGTTCGTGATCTACCCTTTACTTCTCCTCCTCGGCACCACCCATCAGAGCTTCCCGCTTGGCGGCAACTCTCTCCTGCTTGCGCTCACGGGCAGCCTTGGTCTTGGCACGCTTGGCGTCCATCTCCTCCTTCAGGGCACGCTCACGGGCCTTCTCAGCCTTGGCACGGTGGATCTGTAGAGATAACAAGTTAGCAAGCAATTCTCATGTCGGACTTTGCGGCGAGCTATCATGTCTTGTCGCAAACTCTTATGAATACGTCGAGTATCGTGAAAACGGAGTTTCCAAGACAATGTCGCCAATAGGGAGAGGGGTGACGTACGTGCTCAACGAGAGCTCTCTTGTGCTTGAAGGCGTTACCCTTGCTGGAGTGGTACAGCTCGTGGTAGAGGTGCTTGTCGATCTTGCCAGAGGCACGGTACTTGACGAGGAGGCGGCGGAGGACACGGAGGCGGCGCATCCAGAGGACCTGCTCGGGCATACGAGCATCGGCGGTACCCTTGCGCTTACCGAAGCCTCGGTGGCGACCGTCACGGCGGGCGAGGTTGAGCTCACGAGCACGAGATCTCGAGTGCATGGTGACGGGCTTCTGGATGATCAAGCCATCCTTGACGAGCTTGCGGATGGTCTGGCGAGAGTTGGCGTTGGAGATCTCGCTGACCTCGTTGGGGTCGAGCCAGATCTTGTTCTTGCCGCAGCCAATGACCGAGGCGGCCAGGCGCTTCTGAGTTCTCAAGTTGACCCTGTGATTGGAAGATCAGCCAAATTGTTCATGACTTTTTTTTTTGTGATGCTGCATGACCACAAGAGATGATTGGTCATGCAGCATGATAAATGTGACCATCATGAAAAAAAGACGTTTATCGGAACATTGATGGGAAGATCATCTATTCGAATCGTTCGTGATGCCATGCTATCGCTGATGGAATTGTTCTTGTTGATCGTGGTGCCGAATATCGATGACGAGTCTCCAAGCAGAAAAATTCGGGTCGATTTTTTTGTGAGTGCCGCACGTCCGACGGGTATTTTCGCTCCCCAAGTGATCCATCTCTTCTTCCATCTCCAAGTCGCGCAATTGGCAGCAAATAGATGATCCCCAAAAATATCGATGTCGTCGTGTCAAAGGGGATGCAGAATATAAGGGCAAATACTCACATCTTGACTCGAGTTTCCTGCTGTGATGATGGTCGGTTAGTATCGTCGCTGGAGGCGAAGGGTTAAAACAGAGGATTGCAAAAAAACCGAGAGGGGCTCGAAATTGGTGAAGGCGCCTGGAGAACCCGTGACCGCCAGCTTTGGGGAATTTGGCTGCTTCGCTCTTGCCAGACAGCAAAGATTTGTGGACTCTAAGCCCGATTAGGCGAGCTAACCCTTGGGCGAGGGCTTTGCTGTGCACAGACCACTTTGAACGTCTGACCTCGGGAAACGACCGAAACTCCAAATAATTATTTTCAATCGATAAGACGGGCAGACCATGGATCGTCAATAAAAATGCCCATGTCATGCATTGAAGCCCAGCAAAATAATTGAAAGCCCAAGAAATGGAATGCTAGATTATTACACAATGGTGAATTTGGTGGACAGTCAACACCCTGCACCGTTTACATAAGCAAGCATTCTACACCACAAAGTGTAATTAGCTGGCGTTGTGTGTTTAATGTGATATTGCGTTGCACTGCTGCCATCTCCATCTTCTTGGTACAATTGCAGTTTCTTGCTGAGAGCACATGCCGTACCCCAGTCTGTCGTCATTTGCACAGGCGTAGTTTAATAGCGAGGCGGCAAGATGGTTTGAGAATGAATTCGCCAGGCTTAAGGTCAAGCCCACAAAACATAGTTGCTTGGTCTGTCGATCCTGGCACAAGTAGCACTCCGGACAAGTCCAATGCCCCGTGGATATTGTCGGCAATATAAACGATGCAAAAGCAATAATTTGCGTATTATCTAATCAGAGGTTTACTTGAATATGGGCATATGTCTAGACGTCAAAGTCTAGCACTCTAATCCCACATCTAACCAAGAGATTTATATGTTCTAGTCCCAAATCCAGCTAACAAAACGTATTGGGCCAGTGATCTTCTCTTCAGGCTCATCGGGATACTGGTCCGCCTGTTCGATCGCATCGTCGAGTGGAATGCTTTTGAGCGGCACGATCTTGGTTTTCTTGATAAACTTCCAGATGAGATATGCGAACAGCACCAGAGGAATATCACTAGAAGGACATATTAGCAACTAATCGAGGCCAAGCACTTGGGATCGGCACTCACAGATAAGACGACACAAAGGTAGCGGAATCCCATTGTCCATCACAGAAAACAGTGAAACCAGCAGTAAACAAGATAAGGATGCACATGAACAAGGCGACAGCAGAACTGTAGAAAGTCCACGAGTTGTTCCAGGGCAACCTGTCGGCACTAATGCCCTGCTTGCTGAGTGCCATCTTCAGTCTCAAATGGTTCAACAGAATGGTCGACCAGCTAATAAGCACACCAGCGGCTGTCAAATCGACGAGCCACCAGAACACAGTGTAGGCGCCGTTGCTCATGCTCATGAAACTGAGGGGCATGAAGCAGACGAACAGACCGACGCACATGTATGGCACTCCCCAGGACGTAGTGCGCAGGAAGATCTTGGGAGCTTGGCCCTTGAGCGCGAGACCGTAAAGCACACGAGTTCCAGTGAGAAGACTCTGGTTCTGAGCAGACCAGGCAGAGGTAATCACCACGGCATTGACAATCGATGGGATAGCCTTGATACCAGCAGCCGAGGCAGCAATGACAAACGGACTCTGGGCAGCAGTTCCAGACTCGTCGCCCAACCGCTCGTCGTTGCTGGCAACCAGCATGCCGACAATCAGCACTGCCAAGATGTAGAAGATCACGATACGGGCAAAAACGCGCTTGCAAGCCTTTGGAATCGCCCGCTTCGGGTTCTTGGCCTCGGCGGCAGCCATGGCCAACGATTCCACGCCAGCAAAAGAGAACACTGCGCCAGTCATGACACTCCAGAAGCCCAGGAACTTGCCCCAGTCGCCGCTTGCAATTGGCAGCAACTCCACAAAAGGGCCTGGGTCCTGCCAATATCTGAACCCTATCCTCTCCGTGCCCGGGACACCTCCGAGGTTGATGACGAGACCAAGAATGATGAGGAAGATCACCAACAAGATCTTGATAATCGCAAACGTGAACTCGATTTCACCAAAGATTCTAATGACGGAGAATCCGACGGCAGCTGTGAGGACCATGAAGATGACGATCCACACTGCGGGGTTGATGTCCGGCCACCAGTACTCGAACAAGACGACAATAGCAGTGATTTCGGCAGGAATAGACAGGACGTTGCCGTACACCAGGTTCCAACCAATGGCGAAACCGAGAGCCGGGTCGACCAGGAACTCGGCATGTCGGACGAAGGAACCAGTAACGGGGAGAAGAGCGGCGACTTCTCCGAGAGCAAATTGCACGGCGCACACGACAAGACCAACCGTGGCATAGCCAAGCAGTGCGCCGAGAGGACCAGCCGTTGCCACGGCGCTGCCGAGACCGAGGAAAAGACCCGTTCCGATGGCACCTGCAATACCGAGCATGGACAAGTGGCGCTGCTGCAGACCGCGCTTGAGGTCGCGGTTCTCCTCGGCGGTCACGAGATCACCATCATGGTCGCCGCCGAAGGTGCTAGAGGCAACGCCGCGCTCGGCGTCGACCGTGCCATACTGGCTGATGATCTGGTCTTTGGGATCCTGAGAAGCCATGGCGTTGGCGTGAGCGGCGGCGAGGAGTGGCAGTCTTGACTCTTCGACGTTATCGTCGTCGTCGACTCCAGACATGCTGGAAACCCTTCGGGACGCGGTACGAACCACAGCGCAAACCTTATATAGCTATCGCGAACCCGCGGTCCAATGTTGGTGCGGCGATATCCGGACGTCGCACAGCTAGAAATGGCTACGCTACCGCGGCATGGTCAGGTATGGGCTAGGTATGGGCTACGCAAGCTGACGAGGATGCCGTAATGAGATTTGATGGCGGCGGGCGGCAACGCTCTGGACTGCTTATCGCAACTGAGGGTCGGGATGTCGTGATTCGGGGGCTGCCATGGGCTGACGTGGGGCCGATTGCACAAATCATGCACAAGTTCGGCTGGCGGCATAATATTGTGCAATCCAGGACACCGATTTCAACAATCCCCCGAATTATTGGACGGCGGCAATCTTGCGGTGGGTATTTGGGCATTTTAGTGTCGGAGGAAGGGTTCATATTCAGCTTCGCGCTCTTCGCTATCATGAGGTTTGAATACGGAATATCCGCTTTGTAACCTGCCCATGTCTTCTCTTATTAAAAGTGCGGCAATTCGCAAGAGGCATCCCCTATATGCAAATATTGCTGAGTCCTAGCATCATCATGTAAGCCTTCACAACAAACTGCACCTCTTCACTACTACACTTTAAGGACTAAACAAACGGACGGCTAGTAGTTCTCTAGTGAATGTCTTCTTACATACTACTGGCCATCGCGACCTGTTCGAAATTTGCGAGAGAATGAACAGTATTGGAAACGCTTTGAGTCGTTTCGCACATGCATAGCAGCCTTACGCGGTTTCCCAAATTGACACCATTTCTTCTTCTGCGCCTGATGAAAATGATTCATGAATAGACTGTTTACAGTATCGAGACATGGTTTCATGCATTAGTTTCAGTGGCGAAAACTCAGAGTGTTTGCTTGAAGGCTCCCCGGCTCTAGCAATCAGGAATAGGCCAATATTTGGGAGTACATCTCACAGGCAGCATCGTCACACTGTCCAGGAATAACACAGCCTCGCATGCTTGCTATGAGTTCTTTATCATGTTATATTCTACAGTAGTTCTAGCCCTAGTAGGCCAATACCACGCATGTATGCTTCGAAGAGCGAATTACGGCCTTCGCAGTTGGTGTGGCCTAATTGTTTGACAGTCGTTGAAAGTTGGGTTTCTTGATGGGTTTCTATACTTTCTGTAGTATGAACAGGCTACTCCCATCACTACAGAACGAAAAAGAAGACCACCGAAGACGTTGTTTGAATTGGCACAATACCTCAAGTCGCGGACGCATCTAGCCAAGACTTTGTAGATGCCAAATTTCAAACTACCACTTCAGGCCTGTAGCCAAAGGACGTTCTCCATGGTTATGACAATGCGGCAATCCGCTGGCCAATCTTCTGATTATCGCTGTCAAACGTTTCTGGTAGTGGGCATGCCTGGGGGTTTTGGCCGTGGCTAGAAAGGGTCTCTAGGGAGGTCTGGGGTGGTGTCGAGCATATTGCGATCCTCACCAGTCTTGGGATGGCACTCATATGGTCTGCCTTGCGATAATCTGCACTACCTAATTGCCTAGAAATGACTGCCTCATATTGTTTTCACAAATCTTGATTGTCAAATGGTGCCTGCGGCATGCATTCGTTTCGTGGACCTTTGGGTTTGAGCATATGACGCAGGAAACCCATTTCTTATCACCATTGGGTTGTCGTATCGACTTGGAAGTGATTTGTGTGTTGGAATCTTGTATTTCGTGTTCAATATTTGCTTCATGTTGATTACCTTCGGGCAGGGACATGTGGCGCCTGAGGCATTACAAACAGTGCACACGGCAAACCTTGAGTATGAGATATCTTGTCATTTTACCTTGGGCATTCAACCATTTCTCAACGTATATTTATTCATGAGATCCTTCCAAAAAAAAAAAAAATATCAGACTTCTAATCTACTTTCCAGATCACATCTTCCTTTCACCAAAACCATTCCCGTAGTATCATCACGATTCAGTCGACTCCGTTGCCTTCAGTCAAATTTCAGAGATTGCGAATCAGTTGCCCATGATGGCACCATCCGAGCACAAATGGAATTGCACCCTTGAAGATGGCTCCATCATCATCCGACAACAGTCGCCGGCCTTTGCTTTTGCGCAACTCAAGATCCAGTTCCATCGCACAATCCGTGTCCCCGACAATGGCGACATAGAAAATCTTCCACCTAGCATGGGAGTGTTTCCACTCTTCAAGATTCACGACTATGTGAATAAACTGCCCAAATCAATTGCTGTCAAGGGAGGCGTGTTCTTTCCCATGTATCGTAAGTTTTTGCCTCTAGCAGGTGCTAACCGCGAAGCTAAAATGTCCTCTCCCTGATCAGAGAAAGAAGCAACATGGATCAAGTTCACAGCATCCGACCCGTTCCTCGTCAAGATCTATGCTGGAGGAGTCAACGCTATCTCTGGAGAGCACTGCGCAGAAGACTTGACTGCTCAAGTCCGCCGCCTGAAGGTCCAAGACAAGGGTGATTCGATCCAAGACTACGTCATCACCCCTCAACAGCTATGGCTGGATGGTTTCGCAACCTCACCTGGTGTAGTCAAGCAATTTGTTGCCATGCCTCTTGGCACTGGATACAGTGTAGAGGCTCAAGTCGCAGGACAGGAAGAGCTTGGAGGAATCCAGCTCGAAGTCACGCCCCTTGACCTTGATAAGTTCCAGGAGATCAAGTTGAAAGAATTGGGATCAAAGGGATTGAAGAAGCCAGTCAGCAATGGATTCTATGTCAAAATCCGGACACTCAGGGGAAATATCATAGAGATACCTTTCAGCCCAGAGGCCACAGTTTATCAACTCAAGTGTGCAGTGTGCAAATCAGAAGGTATTCCAACGGATCAACAGAGAATGATATATGATGGCTGCCAGCTAGAAGATGGTAAGTCGAGTTACAAATACATTGATGTCCACTATCGATATGCTAACAAAATTTGGAGTCTTACTCCTCGCCAACTATGGAATCACAACAGTATGTATTGGATATTCGAAGCTAGTTCTACATGCTAATACTCGTCTAGGGTTCTACGATTCATCTTGTCCTCAAATTGCGTGGCGGAGGAATTGCCCCGAAAGCTATGGGCCTCGCTGCTGGAGGAATGATCAAGCAAAGCATTTGCAAGGATACCCACAACCCGGACCTATGGGACCGTGATGCAACCATGGCCTTTCGAGTCCACCTATTCAACAGTCAGGACTTCTTGAAGTTCACTGGCAGGGCACCACCTCCATGTCCAATCGAAGCATCAGACTACGCTGAAGCAGGCCTTCCGTTTTTTGACATGGGCGAGGAGACTACAGACATTTCGGGACAATTTGACAAGGTCAAGAGTGTAAACGAACTGGATCAGCAGAAAGGTTTCACTCAAGGCCCCGAAGCTAAGGTCGAGACGAGCATTATCGAGCTGGATAAGCATGGCTCGTTCCTCAACTATAAACCTAAGCCCAACAGCCTCTCTACCAAGGTTGTCGATAGAGAGGGTCTGATCAACTCGGATGGTCCTCTCCGCGACTTTCGCTGCCTCCATGACCTCGAGCTGGAGCTGAGTAACCTCAACCTGGACGATCTTGAAGAATAGATCACCAGTGGGATGCCGCTTGCGAGGGAGCGTTTGTGTATGGCCATGACAGTGTCGTAAGACACATGATTTGCATTGCGATGGATCTGCTATAAGGATTGGTATCAGCTGATGACAGCATCTTTGAGGGCGCGACTTCCTAAAAGGCAAGTCTGAGAAAAGAAGCTCGATGATGGACGCAAACACGATTGCGATGATGAATATCCTCCAGCATTAACTGTATGGCGAGGAGAGCAGTTGCATGGGGCTTTCAGATCATGTACTTGTGTGACATTGGTGTCACTGTAACTGGTAGATATCAATTCATATTGATGCTGATTATCACAGTTTCTCACCCACTCGATACCCCCCTTGCTATGATGTTGACTTGGACCGCCTTTTGTACATCGAGTGTCCGTGGAACCCGCGACTTTGAGCTTAAAACCCCTATAGCTACATGACTTTAGAATGGCGCCATTCATACCGTGCGCACTGTCGACAAAATGACAAAATGTTCCAAGTAAAAGGAAGATTTTATTTTCACTTTGGGGAAAGGGGGATATCCTGCATGTGTAGTTGACTCCAAGAAAAGACGAATTCATTCACGACCGAAGGAATAGATGGAATTGCAAAGCCGCTTGGTAATGGAGACCAGAGCTTTCATGATCCTGGAAGTCACATTCGCTTTACCAGAGCGGCACTTCCATTGTAGAAACCTGCGAATTCTGTCGGGGCTCCCAAACTTAAAGCCGGAAACATCGATTGATATCTCCCTTCCACCTTATGTACGATGTGGCCTTTTTGCTCTTTAGTTGTAATAACGTTTGGGGGTGGTGGCCAGGGACTCACGGGGAAGTGACCAACTCGAAAGGTTGTCCTTGCCTACAATAAGGTTTTGCGTCACTCGAATTGTTGTTGACCTTGAGGGCAACTTTTACAGGTTACTTCTTCTCCTGCGTCTTCTCAAGTGTAAATATAAGCCGTACAACATTGTAAACAGCAAGACTTATCACATGTGCTACGTCAACCTCGTACACAATATCGATTCATTCGACCCTATACCATGCAGCACATCTATTCACAATTGTTGGAACGACTAAAGGTCTACCTCCGTGGCCAAGGGGATGTAAATGACGTTCTCTTTGGGCCAGACAATGGCTCTGGATTGTTCGACCAAGTAGAAAGAGACGCAACCCAGACAGGAATGAGTGAAAAGCAATGTAAGTTTCCCATTGCTGCCCTCTGCTCGGGCGGATGGCCTGGTGTTTCTGTCAATTCCTTCTTGATGCTGATAGTAGCGTTACATAATAGTATTCACAGCTTGTTCAACCTTCCTCACAGAGAGGATTGTGGAGGAATACGCACGCATGGCGGGACACAAGACAATCGTTCGAGCAAGAGAGGTTCTCTCATTCCTTATGGGCCCCGAAGTGCAAAAAATACTTGGCTTCAAGCCCGTGCCCCTGTCAATGCTCAATGACATAATCGCAGGGTCAGCAGACGGTGAGGCTGCCTTCCCGCGTTCCATCATCCCGATTTCTGACATTATACCAGATGATTACACCAAACCGGAAGATTGTCCGGCATTTTTCTGGAACCTGAACGAGTTTGTGATTCCTCTCTGGTCATCTAAATACGACCCAGCTCTCGACGACGAAGAAATGGGCAGATATTGCACGAGCCACTACACTCTTACGTTAGCCCTGGAAGCATTTAAGAAACAGCCATACGAGTACAATGTGTGTCATACAGTCTTTTCCGTCATTCGTTCATGGCTTTCACATCACGAAGCCCCGCGAAAGTATGATGTTGTTGACTGGAGGGATGGTATGCAGCAGCTCCAAAGCAAGGCAGAGGAGTTACTTCAGCGGGAGGACCCGTTGGAAGTACATGTGGCCCTGACCGTTCTGAAAGCACTGGTGCCCAAATATAAAAATCACGCTGGGGATTCTCCTCCAATGCTTCCCCAGGTTCTCCCAGTGCTCCGGTCTCGGGAAGAAATGTGGTATCTACTCTTCCCTTTGCAGAATCAAGATCCTCCGGTCGTTGGACCTGAAGAGGATGGGCAGTCTATGCCCTCGACACCCAGCTCTTTGAGGCATTTGGTTCCTGAAATGAAGGATAGTGCGGACTCGGCAGTGTCGATAAAGGAGTCTCAAGACGAGGATATGGACCTTGATACGCCTGGGTCCCCTAATGATGCACCTATGTCCCCTAATGATGCGCCTGGGTCTTCTAATGATGCACCTGGGTCCCTTAATGATGCGCCTGCATTGCCTCGGTTGTATCGGTCGCCACCATCGGACAGGCCAGAAGTACTCATAGGATCCTGTGGAATCTGTGAGTGTGAGATTGAGGTCGATGAAAATGCCCTCCGGAGCCTCAGTGGTCGACTACTATGTGGACAGTGTTACCGTCACAGACAAAAGGTGCACTGCGCAAACTGCAACCGGATCTTCCCAGTCACACCATTCGCCAATGTCGACCGAGATGGAAAGCCGTTGTGTTCCACGTGTGGGGTTCTGTCTAGGGGACAATCGAAAGAGACAGATCAACCCTCTCTTCCACAAGCAAGCGGATCTGTCGTGTGAGAGACTGGACCATTGAACCTGGGCGACTGCAGACTCAATAACGAAGTGCGCATCAAATACGACCAGTGTTTTGTGGACACGAAGCCCGACCTGTCTCCAGGAATGGGAAACTCCCTGGGTAGAATCATTTTATGTGATGCTCACCCTATTCTTGTTTTTTCTTTTGTCTGTCAGGATAACTACAGGAGCTGCTGAAAATTAGAGGGTAGGCTTAGGTCATGAATAGTGCTTGCTGGGAATAGAGCCTTGGATGGCTTCTCTCTCCCATCACAGATCGGGGTCGCTTAGCTGTATGAATAAAACAATCCCAGTTTGGTTCTTCATACAGCCTCAACTACCACTCTCAACTTGGGGCTTCTTAGAAGACCTCAAGCGGGTCACCAGGGTCGAAGTCGTGACAAAATATGTGCATGTTTCCAGCCAGATGTTGACCGACGTGGTGGGGAGACACCTACTTCCTCGGGAGCACTACAAAAATAGCCCTTGCACTACATGTTCTTTAACTATCAAACTCTAGCCACAGCTTGGTGGCGTCGACGATACAACAATGAAAATCCAGGCTGGTTGAGTCAAACCTGTCAGTAGGTATTTGATACGATGCGGCAGTCAACACTCTCTTGCAACTGCGCTGATTCTTGATCTGATTCGGAGACTAATCTAGCTAGAGTAGACAACTAATGCTTTTGAATTGATTGGTATGGGATTTTAAGATACGCATCAGTCGAAAATTCTAGTGAATTTGACGTGTCACAATAGAGAGCGTTAGGGAGAGGTAGGAGATTCAACATTGTAAAGGTGGTCTTTCGGTTTGAGTTGCAGCACGCGTAAAAACTCTTGACTCTTACAAATCGGTCCACAACAAGATGGAACGGGATGGCCAAGGTAGGCGTCCTCAAAATTGTTGGCTCTATTGAGACGCATGAGTGCATCAGTCCGTGGCTTCACTGTTGCTCTCTCGGCCTTTCCTTGAACCTTTTATTACAGTTTTCTGCAAACATCCTCGGTGCTATTTACCTAAAGCGACTCTGGCTACCAGGGCTCGCGAGCAGTTTTGCGGGAGTTTGCCACAACAAGGGGCCGTAACCTCTCTCTGTCTCTGTAACCGAGCCGATCAAGGGTGCAACTATAAACTATGCTGCATTTACCGGATATTGGGGTTTGGCGTCCGAGGTTGGATGACTGAGCGGCCTCGAACTTGTGCTGGTGCTTTGATCAAGTGATAGAAAGCTGGGATGGCGAACTTGATACCTCCTGCAACATTTACAAAAATGCTCGATGTATTTACCCATCTGATCTCGCGACAAAAAGGCTTTGGCCGAAGGGATAATGGATTGGGAGCATCTAGGACCTGCTTGAATGCTGCTGAACTCTTTATTGGGTGATGAGGCTCGCCACATTTCCAGAGCCAGAGAGTGCCAGCTCTGGCAATGCTACCATACCTTAATGACCAAGTATATCCCCACTGCATGACCAGAAGCTGTCTTGAGTATTCAAATTTTTCACCAAAAGAGTCCAGATATGCACCGAAGACTCTTATCCACGATAAATTGACGGGCAATGCCTCGATCCGCGAAACGAGAGCCTCCTCCTCCAAAGACAACAACGTCCACGACCTCTGCCTGGCCCGTTGGCTGAAGAACCCACAATGTACACCCTACGATATCCTCGAGCAGATCAAGGGGGCCAAGTATAACAAGAGGCGGTTCTATTAGTTTGTCAAGATTTACCATCCGGATCGGTGGCCACACACTACACACCATGGAGCCAGCAAGTACACCCGGGCGTAACGATATTGCCTCCATGTTTCCGCGAATGCGATGCTGTCGGATACCGTCAAGAGGAGGACGTATAACCAGCGGGGTTTGGTCTGGGACGGCAGCCACGGCGCCGTCGGTTGTGAGCGAAGAGGACCTGCGACAACTATGGCCCCTGCCGCCGCAGTCCCTCTAGCAGCCAAAAGATACCAGAAAGAACGCAACAGGGCAGGACGGGGAATAAAAGTGTCAAAACAGCGCATCGAAACAGGCAGCGGTCTTGATCTGCAACAAGACCGTTGCCCTCATTCTCGTGCTCCTCGCCATGGCGGGCGGATATGCCCAGCTTTCCTGGGCGGAACCACATGACAAGGCGGATTAAAAGACACCAGTCACAAAATCATGAAGTGTTGTATGAAGATGCATGATAAATACAAAGTCGTAGCCTAGGGATGTCATCGGATTGTCGTTTTACTTATTGAGGCATTCTTACGACGCAGATTGAAGGCGAGCGACGGAGCAGTATATGATAGAATCTAAGGTGAAAAAAAGCAAAAGTTTACTTGGTATCAAGTACTCAATCAAACCAATGTATAGAAGATTGACTCTTTTCTTCTTCTCTCTCTCTCTTTCTTTTTTTTTTTGTGACTTTTTACGGGATCATCAAGAACGGTCTTAGACGAGGCCATGAATGTAGATATACTTATACTTACTAGTCCCGGTGGCGGACCTTGATTTTACGAGACTACCAGTTGATTTGAAGCTGGGGCATGAAAATGCCAGACTCTGGTCGTCGGATGACAGGCAAGAGTACTTGACTTGGAACAGGTTCGTCTTGGAGCGTCGACCTGCATCGATGCAGCTGGTGCGCGCCCGTCGTCGATACGTTCGAAGGAGAAGTACGAGTGCTTGGACTCGTCCGACATTTGGAGATTTCTTTTTTCCCCATATAGACTGCGCTCTCAAAATGATTATCTTCTCAGTCAACATGAGTCCAGAAGGATGTTGGACAGAGTCACTGGCACCAGCGTCGACAGCCCGGGAGGTCCAAGTCGCGGCAAAAGGTATAGAACAGCCGGTCGGGGCCCGAGCCACAAGCGGGCGGGAGCTAGGGGGACGCGACTGCAACGCACCGGCTGGCGAAGAAATTCGGGGATCGGGTAGCTGATATCGTAGGTTGGATAATTGGTATATAGAGCGTCGAAATCGTTTACGATATGGCACTGGATGTTAAAACGGCGTGGAATACTCGCATCTTAGCTGACCCGGAGAGGTTGTTAAAGGCTCCTGAGTCTCTGCAGTAAGTCTCACGTTATACCGAATTATTCGTCACAGTCGGTACAACGGGATACCCGGAGAGGCTGGAGAAGGTAGCTGCAGAGAAGATTACTAGAGAGAAAAACTGCCGTTTGGTCAAGCGCCTGCCCGGCAGTTTGAAAATTGGCCCAGTCGAGAAATCATGGACCGAGGGATTGAGGTGTCTTTAAATGGGAGACAGTGACATTGATGAGCTAAAGCAGCAGGCGTTGAAAATTTTAAGTTTGGCCCTTGGATGATGATCCCCCAGGCCATCGTCAGTGGTTTGATCTTGTAGCTGCCCATGTAGTGCCAGTACCGGCAACGTAGTCTGTTGATCCATCAATGTAATGATGCCCCCCAAATCGTGGTTCTCTAAATGACCACGGATAGGGAAGGTGAAGGGCAAGGTTATACGCCGCAGTGCCAAGGCGGCCCAGAAAACCAGCAGTTCAATGTTCTGCAGTTACAGGGCAATAGTGTGGGGCCTCAATGGCGCCGGGTGAAATAAACTTGCTCATATTCGCTCACCAATCGGGAACTTGACCCTTGTCCAATTGGCGTCTTTTCAATTGTGCAACTTGTTCATGTTCTTGTCTGTTGGATGCACACACTTTTATGATACATTCCAAAACGAGAAGATCTCTTATAACTAGATGTACCTCCAGAAGTAGTAGACTGTTCTTTGTCATCACGGTCTTGCTATGTACTCCATGTCAATGGGAAGACTGGTAAGTAGAAATCAATCACATTTCCCAAATAAATAAAATGTAATGCTTTCAAGTGATATCAGCAATAGCATCAGCATCAGCACCAGCATTGGCTGCGTGCTGTAAGCATCAATAAGCACCGCCGATTGGATCAATATCGTACCAATCCAAGGTGAAGACCGGGGAGAGCAGCGAATAGCATTGTCTGCTCGACGACGACTGCCTATGCACATCCTTGAAGGACCCAGGCCAGCCGAATGAATATACGAAGCAAGTCATGAGAGGAAATCATTGACACGACCTCTTCAAGGTTACATCGTACCCTGTTGTAGGTAGGGAGGTATGTGGATGACCATAACATGAAGGCAGCATTGGAGACGAATCTGATTCCCCTCCTGCTATCAGCAAGCGGATACGTACCACGCATACTCTAATGTATCTAGGTAGGTAGTCAAGCCTGGAGATTCCTTGAGATATGCAGGCCCTCCCGTTGATCTGCAAGATTGGTATACGGCTGCGTAATGGAGCGAAAGCCGTGAACGCGTAATAAGCTTTTCCAATGTCCCTTTTATGTACACAAACTGCTCCAATGGAGCTTCTGCCCGAGCCGAGGCGATCGGAAACAAGACTGACCGACTCTACTATTAGGAGAGTCTTCCGTACTCTCACCAACGCTTGATCCGCTCTCTTCTTTGGTGGTGGGCGGCTACAAACCAAACAACGTAATCCCAGCTTCTAGGTGGTGGCTTTGCGCCTACAAGTTTCAGCCCAGCGTTGACAAAGCGAGAGACTATTACCTACGTAAAGGTACCCTTCACTTTTCACTAGAATCGACAGTCAGGAACCGGAACTCTGTTCGTACCACGGCGCACCAGAAAAAAGATTTCTTGGCAGCAGGAAAATAATTATGGTGTCTGTTATCCGTCAACCTTGTTAAGGATTTTTCCTGTATCTCGGGGTCTTCAAGGCGAGCCGGTGGAGCGTCCGTGTGACTCCAAGACATCCAATCCTCAGTGGCTGTCCTGGGCTTGGGTACCCCTCTGGTTGCCACTAGGTACTGCCACTGCCTGGTCGCTGGTGCACCCTCGGACCTTTCACTGGGTCGAGACCGCGGGAGCGATCAGGTGTGCCTTGCGCGAATCCTCCAATCTTTCGATGACTTCTGTTCTTCTGATCATACTCAATTCAGCTTTCAATCACTTGTTCTTAACTACAAAGTTCACGAATCTGTAGCGCATCAGTGACAAACTCTTTTCCGGCGGCAAACAAGAGTTGCAACTTACGCAAGATACAGACCCCGCTAATCAGAAGGTGCCTAAAGACCAACGCCATTCTTCTAGGCGACATTTACACTGGATCTGGCCGCTCTTTTTTTCCTCAGTGGAGGCACCCGCTAGGTACAGCCCAGCGCTCAGCACAGAGCCGCCCGTAGCACAACTCTAAAACAAGGGGAAAACCCGACCCCTCCACGTCCGTGCCTGTGCCCATTTTCATTGTCCGATTTCCCATTCAACGCAACCGCCGACCAAAAGCCGGATCTTGTCCAAGGTTGTCTCGGCCCCGGAGCTACGCGAACGTTGTTCAGGGAGACACAAGATCTGCCTCTCTTTTCTCGGAGCCTCATACACTGTTTGGACATTGGATGCATCCGGATCGGTGTGCTACTCGCTCACCTGTGCCGATCCCGCCATGCCGCTCATCAACGGTCAAAAGATGGCCTGGTACGTTTATGTCTGCCCTTTGCCCCGAATCTCCACCGATGGCCGCAAACCTTCTCATCAAGGAGCCGCCGCATGTAGACGGACAAAGCCTGTCGCATCTTGCCTCAACTGGCCCAAGCCAGGCAATGGTTCTTTCCTCTTTGTAAAAAAATGCTGACATTTCTCCCAGCGAGCCATGCATTCGTGGCCATCGTTCGACCACATGCAACCACGCCAACGAGCGTGTCATGGTCCCGGTGCGTAAGCCTGGCAGGCCGCTGAATGAATGCCCCCATACGCGTGGCAGCAATTGTGGATGTAGAGACGTCACTGTCGCCATCCCCAGGAAAAGGAAATGCGAGTGTGTCGGCGATAAATCTGCCGCTCCAAAGACCTCACTCACGCAGACATCGGTAGAGGCGATTCGTCCTGGAAATGCATCGATATCTGCCAAGGAGCAACAAGGTGGTGAGCCATCATCATGCTGTAAGCCAAAAGCGCCATCGGCAGAGACACCAGCCAGCATACCTCCTGCCATGGCACCCGCACCAGCTACAGCATCTCTGTCCCAGCCCCAAGCTCAGGTTACACCCGTGCATGGCAACGGCGCATCACAATGGACCACCAACTGGAATTGGAACTTTGGCTCCATGAATTCGTCACACATACCACAACCGTTTCCAGGCTTCACCGCCTCAGTATCGCAACAACCTCAACCCATTCAAGTGCAAGCAGCTAGGGTGCCACAGGCTGCAGAGACAGGAGTGTCAGCATCGAAGAGGAGCGACTCAGATGATGAAGTAGAGGGAAGATCATCACAGGAAGGGTCGACCTCATCATCGGCCCCTGACGAACCGGCTTCGCGATCAAGTTGCTGTTCTACACGATCCAGCAGTACTGCACAATTTGCAACCACGCCGGACTCTGCGTCTCCCGAGTCATCAGGAGCTTCGTCCTATACCGGTCACTCCCGATCAAACTCCAAGTCACGAGCCACAAGAAAATTACGAAAGGACAGGTAAGCTAAACTCCAGACTCAAGTCCAGATATAGGTATGGCTGACATTCAGCCCAAGGCAAAGCGTGTCATCTATAGCGACCGCGGTGCCCCAGGTAATGCCAGAGACAGCCACTCGCCCTGCTTTTCCGGTCATGATTCAGAGTCCTGTATCACAAATGTCCATGCAACCTATCACGGCACACCCGCCTGCCTGCACAAACTGCGGCCATAATCAACCAGCGATTCTGATATACCTGCCCTTTGGACTTCCAGCTCAACCTGTAGCATATACAGGTGCGGGCGGTGGTCCTGTGTATGTCGTTCAACCAGCGCAGCCAGCCCCTGTAAACATGCCGCCCCCACCACAAGATTTCTCCAGGACCCCGAATCCGCCCATGACGGCCATCACTGTTCCAATGGGAGGCTGTGCGAGCGACACGACTGGATTAGGAACTCTTCATGAGTGTAATTGTGGTCCGGGTTGTCAGTGTCTTGGCTGCATTGCCCATCCATTCAACGATGCGACGCGGGAATACATCCGATCCGCCCAAAATGCCTTTGATGATTTCACCACGCCGTATCAAAGCCTACAAGACATCGACTCAGGCGCCGTGCCTACTGCGCAATCGATTGCCAATCTTACCCTCAGTCCAGAACAGACATTGGCTTCAGAGGACTTCTTCTTCATTGACTATCCATCGGCACAGAGGACATACCCCGGATGAAAGGAGAACAATTGATAGTGATTTAAAACTTTGGGGTCCTTTGCCCACGAAATTATGTCACGTCACAGCCCATGTTGATAGCCGCCAACTTTCCAACCTGGCATTACAATCAATGCGGAACAGGGGGAATTGAGTATAGCTATCAACGAATCATGGCGCAAGCCGCGAATTATTGCGAAAAGGACAGCCTAGAAGAGGGATAAATAACTCGTGGCTCCATGCTAGGACCGGCACATGTGACATCAACAATTTCTGGCAGACTTGTGCCAGAAGACCTGTATTGGAGGTTAAAAAATGAGCCATACCTGAGCAACATTATGCTTTAGAGAGAGATGTTGGTTACCGCTCCAGGCAGACTTGAGATCAAATGACAATAATGCTGACAAAGTGAAAAGTATCAAGAGCTCCTAGACTTTCACAGTATACGTTGTCAGTTCAAAAGTTAATGGGACTTGGAAGATTGAAAAGACGGCTTGAAAATAGCCGTGAAACAACCAAACTTGATTTTGTGCGCTACTGTCTATTTTATGATGAAAACACCTCTTTGGGGAGCTGGAAACTGCATCTCCAAACATCCCTCCCTGCTTCCTCCTATATTGGGTCCAGATAAGGCCGCATGGTCTCACGACGAGAATACAAACGATTTCTGTCCCTGCAGCATAATCTCCGTGCCACAGATGATGGTATTAGTATTTCCGCCTCTCTTGTCCGAACCCCAAGGCACTCTAGCTGTGACGTTTAATCAACCTAATCCTCCAGCCAAGGAAGCCAATTGGTGAGTGCCTCGACCTTTTCACGATCCAGGTCATTTTGGCTGTTCGTCAGAAAAGCCAGATTTGCGACCAAAATGTCCAGGCACTGTTGAAATGAGCCACCGGGCACTTCCTTTGGGCCTTCACGTCGAAAATCATTGTGCGGTAAAGAGAACCAATAAATTACGGGCCAAACTGTGCCCACCAACGTTTGCTCGTCGAAAAGTTCCAAACTACGGTCGAGAAAATCCAATGTGGTTAGGCATCTTGGAGTGCTGCTGTAAGAGCTGTTCCAGAGAGCAATTGAGAACTTCTGAATGTTCTCGTATTGTCTTTTGTCACGGCCTGGGTCGCAAACATTGCCTTGAGGAAGGTTTAACAAACGTTAGCATATAGGAAAGTGCATAGTTTATCAGATTGGTCATACATTGGTATATGATCATGCCGTTGATGTCTTCCACTAACAAAGGAGCGTGACTTAGTCCAGAGTCCCGCAAGAAGGAGTCGCTCATGATGTACTTGATAGCCTCCAAAACTCGGTTCGCAGGAGGCCCATTTAAAATATCTGTACAGTCGTAATCGAGCGCGTAGAGGTAGATCATGCAGAACACCGTACTGTAGAAGAAGTCCATTGTGACTGAATGCCGAGTCTTGCTTTAGTATCGGGAGACCTCATGGAATCCAGTGCAGGTGGTTCAGGAGAGAGTTCGGTTGACTTACAAAGCAGTCTTCTTGTAGGAAGAATGCTGCGAAGATGGTTTCTTAACTGAGGCATGATCCCCAGGGGAAGAAGTGAATTGAATAGGACTCTGGGAGAAGAGTAGAATGTAGCCTCCACCCATCGCTCGACCAGGGGAACAAATCTCCGTGACCATATGCTTCCCGCGCTACGCCTATGGGCTCTCTCGAGTGGGGTTTCCATAACGTCTGACTTTGTAATGCTTATGTTCTTTTGGGTTCGTTTCCGCGTCTAGAATTGGGTATGTTGTCATGTCCGAATGGGTCGAGATATTTTTCCAAAGTTGAAGAAAAGCTCGGGCAAAGAGATGGGATACTTGAAGGCTATCAGAATTCTTCTCGGCCATGTGTAAAAGACATGCGATAGATGGAAGACTGGAAGAACAACCACGGCTGCTCAAATGGGATGTTTTCAACAGCAGGAAGAGATTGTTTACCTACCTGCCTCCCGACACATGCTTTCTTTGCTAGTTTGCCCAAGACTGGGCTCACGGCCTCCGAAGCAGGAAACTGCAACTTTCACTTCTTCGCCTTGTTGCAGTAGCAATGGAAACACATCGTGAACGGAAGAAGACCGATACTGCCCCATGATTGTTTTCATGTGCGCTGTAGTCTTGGAGATCGAGAAATCACGACCCAAGCTGCTTGCCAACCGTGATTTCCGTGTTGAAATTGCGCTCATGGCCGACAACAATACTGGCGATTTGTACCACTTAACTCGAGCAAGGTGGATGCTATGCAAGCGCATATCGTCAGAAAAGACTTGTGTATTCATACTCGTACACTATTGCGTTGATGTCCGTTCTTTCCATTCATTTAGAACATTGCTGTCCTTCACACCTCCAATTAAAGATCAAAATATAATAATTGGCCAACCAGTCGCAGAAATTATACGCAGATAGTTGCTAAGATGAAGATGAAGGGGGATAGTTTTCACCATCTCCCTAGCGCTTGGGATTGAAGTTGTGCCTCCTACCATTGCTTCACGGCCTCTAATAAATATGCCCTAGCAATGGCCATATTGTGTGGTGCGAAGCAGGATTCTGGATCAACAAACCCGCGACAACGTGTGCTTTCTCTCCTTTACAGGCATTTTCATTAAATCGTAGACCAACTGCTCGAGTGTCCAACAGTTGATGCCGGCGTAAGAAACCTGCGTACCAAGCGTGGACATCATGCCATTATTGACCGATGATTCAACATAGTTCAGTGTGAAGCGATCAAGCAAGAGAGTTTGTCGTTGGTGGCGTCAATTATTCACCGTCTCTTTTCACGACTCTTCCGAGTGACTCGATGCATGTCCGACGTCGTGTCTTGTGCCACGTTGATATTTAGGCACGCACGAGTCCTAGTCTGATTGCCACACAGGCGCGCAACTTGGGAGAAAGTCTGGGGGTATGGTACATGGCTAGACACTAGTCTGGCCAGTATGCAATGAACCGAAGCTGACATCTATCTCTCATGTTTGTATGTATGCTAACGCCAACCAGCAGCCCAGCCGACACAAAGAATTGTACCATCACGCACACGAATGCACACAAAGTAGATCAACAGCTATTGGATCAGATGGTCTCATATTGTCCTGTTTAGGTGGTGAGGTGCCGCCCAGGACATGTCAGCATGCTCCCGCCGAAGCGGAAAACCAATAAGCTGTGAGTTTTAACGGCTCGTCACATCCAATTTTAGTTGATACAGAAGAAAGGGAAAAAAGAGAAGAGGAAAACGCGGGCGCCGCAAACGCACTTAAGAGGCAGAAAAAAAATGTCGTGTCCCACCCGTGCTTATCGGTGAGCTCTTATCGCCACGTGACCGGCTGACCCGTGCCTGCATGCAAACGTTTGCTCATGGATTCCGAGCGTTGCGCCGACCCCGCAGTAAAATCGAATGAGCTTCGGTATGAATTCCGGTGGGTTACCAGGTACGTACCTCTCCCAGTAACAGGCTACGGCCAACTGCTAAAGACTGCCCTATCAAGTAATTCTAGTGGTGCCTGGCAGCCTCGCAGAGCCTGGCAAGGCAACTGAGAAAAGCCAAAAAAGATTCGGGGTTCGACCCGGTAACCCTGCTAAGGTAATCAGCACCAGCAGTCAGGTCCCTCGTAAGCGGCGGAGCTGTCGCACTGCTAAACCGCTGCTTTGAGTGGTGACGGCGACAAGGCGACTACCAATTCGTCTCCATAACCACACGACTCAGTTCCCGACCTCGCTGATCCCATTAGCAATTGATTCGTTTGATTTTATTTTCTTGCGACGCGCCCCCCGAAATGCAGGAAGCACGGATAAGATAAGAAGACAGACTGTAAGTCATTGCAACGACTCATTATCGTGTATATCACCCAGTCCAATTGGGATAGAAGAAACTCCCATTTCCCTCCCCCCTCGTCGCTGCCCTCGTCGTCGTTGTTGACCTCTGCTCGTGTCTGTGCCGTGGTGCTGACTCCAGTCTCTTCCCATCTCTGCAGATAGCCATGTCTCTTGCCGCTTTCCGAGGCACTTCGCGTGCTCTCCGCACCCTCCCGAGATGGGCGGCCACGACGACAACGACAACGACCGCTGCTGCTCGCCTTGGCGCCCGCGTCCAGGTTCAGAGCTGCGTCGCTGCTCGCAGGTCCCAGTCCTCGTCGGCCGCCTCTCTCGATGGGCAGCAAAGTGTACGAGATGAATCTACCTCTGCAAACACTGGAGTCGCACCCAATGGTTCTGATGCTGATGCTGGTCAAAAGCTACTGTCTGCGCACCTGCGCGAGGCCGATCCGGCCGTCTTTGATATCATTGAGAAGGAGAAGAAGCGACAAAAGCACTCCATCAATCTCATTCCTTCCGAAAACTTTACTTCGCAGGCCGTTCTCGATGCCTTGGGAAGTGTTATGCAGAGTGGGACAATCCTCCGGGCATCTGAAAGAAAAGAGAGCCATGTGTAGCTGATGCTCGTGAACAGACAAGTACTCCGAGGGTTACCCGGGTGCAAGATACTATGCTGGTAACGAGTTCATTGACCAGTCCGAGAGGCTATGCCAGCAGCGAGCCCTCGAGGCCTTTGGCCTGAGCGACAAGGAATGGGGCGTCAATGTGCAGTGTAAGCGGACCATTCGCCAACATGATGCTATGAAAGCACAAGACTGATATCGATTTCCAGCCCTATCTGGCGCTCCCGCCAACCTCTATGTTTACTCTGCTCTCATGAATACGCATGACAGATTGATGGGCTTGGACCTGCCCCACGGCGGTCACCTGTCTCACGGATACCAGACCCCAACCAAGAAGATCTCGGCAGTCTCCAAGTACTTTGAGACGGTTCCTTACAGGCTAGACGAGGAGACTGGTCTCATCGACTATGTCAAGCTTGACGAGCTTGCTACTATCTACAGACCCAAGATCATTGTCGCTGGAGCCAGTGCCTATGGACGATTCATTGACTACAAGGCCATGAAGGCAACGGCCACCAAGGTCGGCGCTTACCTGGTTGCCGATATGGCGCACATTTCGGGTATGGTTGCCGCCAAGGTTCTTCCCAGTCCCTTCAACTATGCCGATATCGTCACGACTACAACCCACAAGAGTTTGCGTGGCCCTCGTGGCGCCATGATCTTTTACCGAAAGGGAGTCAGGTCCGTCAACAAGAAGAAGGAGGAGATCATGTACGATCTGGAGGGTCCTATCAACGCCTCTGTATTCCCTGGCCACCAGGGTGGTCCTCACAACCACACCATCACCGCTCTGTCGGTGGCCCTCAAGCAGGCACAATCGCCCGAGTTCCGTGCATACCAGGAGCAGGTTCTAGCCAATGCTCAAGCATTCTCCAAGAGACTGAGCGAGCCCAAGAACAGCGGCGGTCTCGGTTACAAGGTTGTTAGCGGTGGTACCGATAACCACCTTGTCTTGATTGACCTCAAGCCTCAGCACGTGGACGGCGCTAGAGTCGAGCGTGTTCTGGAGCTTGTTGGTGTCGCCAGCAACAAGAACACCGTTCCAGGCGATAAGTCAGCCATGGTTCCCGGTGGTTTGCGCATGGGTACTCCCGCCATGACCACTCGTGGCTTCAACGAGGATGACTTTGTCCGTGTTGCCGATATTGTCGACCGTGCAGTGACTATTGCGGTCAGAGTGGACAAGGCTGCTCGCAAGGCTGCTGAGGACAAGGGTGAGAAGTACAAGCTGAAGTTCTTCTTTGACCACCTTGGCAGCGGCGAGGACGACTCTGAGATTGTCCAGCTGCGCTCCGAAGTTGCTGACTGGGTCGGCACTTATCCCTTGCCTTGGATTGAGGAGGGCAAGGCGTAATGCCATACCGTCTCTACACGGCACCACATTGAGAGGATTCCAGCTGGGCTAGGTCATTAGTCTCATTGAAGACGCTGATGGTTTTGCGATATTGGGTCTGCGCGGGGGACGCATAGGGCAGATGGGGTCATGTTGGATGCGACCAGTACTACTTTCTGTCGAGTCATTCTGCGTTCATCACATCTCATCCTTGCATCCGGAGTCTGGAGTGTCTATAGGTTTTGCACGCAGGTCACATAAAGTCAGTTCAACACATGTACCAACGATTCACCTCGATAATTCATTATCGACGACTATTTACAGAACGTAAAGGCAAGGAATCTTATCTGATATGGCACTTCGGCGTATCTTTTACATTGGAACGAACTTATGTGATGTCTACTTCCCAAAGGAGGAGGCAGACATTTCCAAAGTGGCTTTGGAGGGTAAGCTAATATCGAATTCCATATTATACTCCACTTCGCAAGGAGAAAGGAATAATAATCTAGCCATTTTAACCAGTGGTTGCAATAAGAGAAAAAGAGAATTCACTTTTCGCCGCCTTTTCGGTATTTATAGCTTTTAGGTTCATTTAGTGAATGGCATCCAAGCTCTGGCGCATCACAAGTGGCTGGAAAGCTTTATCATAAAGGTTAAGATTTGAGACGGAATCGCAGGTGTAACCATAGCGCGCAGAGTAATATGATATAATACCACCAAGCGTCAGACCCCCAACTCTAACACCTGTTGCCCGGCCTCAAGTGATATCGAGCCCGAGAGAATCAAGCGTATCGTACATGGAGTCCTAGTAGCGCCAGCTCCGATGTACGCCGAAGATCTCTCGTCGCTAACGATGATATGATTGAGTGATCGAAGGTCTATCGTGGCTCCGCCGTCAATGTTGGAGGTAGTATGATGCCAACCACGAAGAATATGATGTGCTGCCGGCAGGGAAACTAGGCTGCCAACAGAAGAGAGCAAGGCCAAACATTTTCAACTCACATTAGTATCAGTATTAGCACCAAACAATGAAAGAGATTACTGATACAAGCATTCCATCTCTCCCATTGCAGCTGTTCTTTGTCCTTTCCTCCCGTTACCGCACCTCCGTTGCTGAACCACGCCGCAAGTGGGCTTGACAAATGCCGCCGATGGCCGAGGAACCTCTCGCGCCTCCCGCCGCGGCTGCTGGGGCCTTGTCCTCAAGCATTACCCCAGTAGTATTTGCGGAGAAGCACGTTGAGATGCGTGTAACCCTCGAGACTGAGTTTGGCCTAGAGATATCGCGGCCCTCAGAGAAGGCGCCCGTAGCCAAGGGAGCAGAAGCCGCGGAAAGGACGAGGCTGACCAAGGTCACACGGAGAGTTTTCCATTATACAGTAGAAGCACGAGCGTCCGCCTCTTCTTCATTGGCATGCAGGCTCTGGTTCTTGAACGACATCGAGTCAGGTAGTTACCGCATACAATAAGCCATTGGAACAGATATGAACAAGAAAACATGACATCCAAAAAAGAAAAAACAAAACAGAAAACTGCAAAAACATACAACACCGAGGATTCCCCAGTCGTCACCGACCTGAGTACTGATTCGGCATATAATAACATGTCTACCTGGCGAAAAGTGGACCGTTTTCGTTATAGCTTGTGACACGGTAACCTGTAGCTCTTGCACCACGCTAGTGGTGGGGTAGCCTTCCGTCCATAACGATAGGCATTTTAGGGGGTGATACGGGCATTCGAGCGTTATATAACAGTTCCCAATACGCTCGCTAAAGCTGGCTGAGTATCGCTTTGCTCCAATTACAGCCGAGAACGTGGCCGTATCGCACCAACGAAATAATCTAAAAGCCTAGAATTCCCAGCCTCAACTTGACATCCCGAACCCAGACCGAGCGCGGAAGCGCCAAATTTAGCTATGTATTTGCATGTAATTACCAAAGCGTTGAATCAGAGCTGTATTGATAGTCGCTTGGTGGAAGTGTCAGGTATACCCCTTCGTTAGTGGGGTTTTTTTTCAGCTGATACATTGATGTATATCAGCCATGCGGCTCCCGCGCGGACCGCGGCCTCAAATTATACCTAGACCGCGGATGCTTTACCATTTTGGCATTTTCCTTTTCCTTCTCGCCAACCATATAATCAAAACATTCCAAATCGTAGTTGATGTCAGCCAATATCTGATCTTCAAACCGCAGCTTTGTCCAAAGACTTAGATGGGGTGCCGTGATCGCGATGCTGAAATCAAAGAGGCGCCCGCCCAAATAATTGTCTTCCCGTATATCCATGTTATAGATACCTAGGGCGTTCAGCTCTTTGATCTTTTCTCTCATAAGAGGGAACTTCCTTCTAGCAAACGGAGTGCGAAATCGAATATAGGCTTTGACGATTGCCCTCAAAGGCTGCCTCTCGTGGCCCTTTCCTCGGTTCCAGTCTTTGATTTTGAATTGTTTGTTAATTTGACGTTCTACAGCCGCCGGTAGCAGTTTGTATCCATAGCACCGAACTGCAAGTTCATCGTCCTTTTCTTTTTGGACGAGCCTCCCAAACGCGCGACACTCGGCATAGAATGGATCTAGCTGGTCCTGTATCATTTTGTCGCGATTTTCCAAGAGATGATCGCCGCCAGGGATAAAAGGACGAAGTTCCTCCAAGCTGAAAAAGTTGAACTATGAATTTTTTTTAGCAAGTCCAATCAGTCTTTTTTTTTAGTAGTTTTTTTTTAAAGGTGCCTCAGGAACTGCGAAGTCTTACAACTTTCAAGGCATATCTTTGATCTCCTAACGCAACAAGGAAGACCCTGCTGTGAGGCACATCGCCGTCGCCGTGGTTTGTCTCGGAGGATAGCGTGCGCAAGAATTTGATGCCTTCGATGCTGGCAGGAAACTCACAGAGCTTTGGACCCTTACAATCGGGCAATGGGGGTGAATTTGAGGAAAAAGACATCGTAAAACTTTCGCGATCATTGCAAATCTAAAGAGTCTCGTTTGAACACCCTGATCTAAAAGCAGTCAATTTGTATTGATCCACTCCCCTTCTTATAAGACAGGGGCAGCATTCCTGTGTTGCGATAAGAAACTTGCCCAATACGAGAATGCGTGCATATCGGCTCTTCGAATCCCAGACGACAAATGGTGCGGGGTTTTTTGCGGGATACCGTTGCTGGGGGGTTCGGGCCGTGCGGGAGCCGTAGATGATAGGCAGTTCGTTCTCCGTTCTTGCGCAGACCAATTGAGCTGCATGCAACCACACCGGCGCCATATAGGATTCTGTCAATGGCTGGAATTGACCAGCTGCCCCCCAAAGGTGGCCCTTCAGACGACACTGTTAGATGCAGTTGGGACTTTCCAATGCAACTATTGATTTCCCCCCGCCCCCTTGTAAGCCGAGAGAGGTACACCGCTCAGTGCTCTCTCAATCTTGCGATAGTGTGAAAGTGGGCTTGAGGGCTCCGGCTCCAAGCCCAAATCGCGAATATTAATAATGAGACACTGCCAGGGGAAAAAAAGAGAAAGAAAAAAAAAAGCACCACTAATCTCCTTGGATGAATTCTAGCTATTTCCTGCTCTGCAGAGTTCAACTGAATCATTCTCTGAAAGATGGCAGCCACATTTCTCGAATATCTCACGCAACCCAACCCCCAACCAATCGTACACACCAAAGAAGGCTCCAGCACCAGGACGGGAACTAATTATGGTCCTGATAGATGTGTCAAATGGGAAGACTTTACGTGGGAGAACCTGAGAGCGACCCTTGGGAATGTCCTGAGGCAACCGATGCCCGAGCCCCGGATTGCCGATGCGAGCGAGGTCCCTCCGGAGAAGAGGGATATATTCCGAGAAGACTCGGTGACGCAACTGGCTGTCGCATGGAATGAGCCCGTCCTGCGCCACGCATTTGGAGGCACACACGCTGCCCTGTGCAGAAAAAAGCCGGCAAATTCTTTTCGACAGGGCAAAATTCATTTCGCGGCGAATACAGGGCGGGGCAACACGAAAAACCATAAAGGTGAAGAGCAGGAGCCGGACTGGTGTGTTTATCAAGAAGTGCCCGGGTTCTACCCCTTCTACCCAAATATTGTTCCTGGAGACTCCAAATCTTCCAAGAAGTGGAAATCAGAATGGGTCAACTCCAAAAAGCCGATGCTAAGGAAAAGGGCACAACATGTCATGACACAGATAACCAAGTACATGTGGGAATCAAGGACGAGGTATGGTTTCATCATCAGCGAAGAGGAGCTTGTCCTCGTACGGCTTTCTGTATTCGTGAGAGAGCAGGTGGCAGGCGCTGGAGTGGAGAACTTGAATAGATCTTTCGAGAACTTCGATGACGAGCAAAGAGTGGGGAGCAGCGACGATGACGCAGACCAGATATCTAACCCGCCATCTAACGCGTCCTTCGCTGAAAGCAGCCGCAAAACCGGACTGCAGGTCGAGTACACCGTTGTCCCGTGGAAGGCGAGTGGCACAGATATTCTTACAATGAATCTCGCACTTTGGTGGCTTCCTGTACTCGCCGTGCAGGGACATATCATTAAAAAGTCAGGCACCTACACATCCCTTGGGAAACACACTCGAGGAGGAAGTCCCGTGTTGCAACTGGACCAGGCTGAGCTTGATATGTTCGACAAGGTATACGGCGAAACCTCACATCTCCGAAAGCGCAAGGCAGCGGAGGATAGGGATGAAGATCAGCTCGGAATTGACTCTTGCGCCTCTGATCCCTCCTCGGACACCGACGAGCCGGGTCCAGCAATACACCACAGCTATAAGAGAAGAAGCACCCGTGGTAAGTCTGGGTCCTCTTCACAGCTTGATCAGGGCAGATCGAGCCAACGACTCGTGCAGCATTCAGTGAGCTCACGATATCCGACCCGGGGTGCGCATCGGCAATCCAAGCGGAGACGGAGACGGTCCAAATCTAACCATGGGATTGAAGAGAGCTCTCAGGAAACCGATCCGATTCATCTATCTTTTTACCTCGCGGAGTAAATTAGAGTTCTAGGCTTTGCTAAATATAAACACCTTGACCCAAGACTATAGTTGGGACTCACTGGATGATACACAGTGAAAATGCAAACAATTGGCATAATCCACAATTAAACGGGTCACCAATGAGCAAAATATGGAACTTGACCTCCTGATTATTCAATGGTGGGGTCTTATCGCTGCACTACGAAAGATTTGGTTTCCATTATCGATTGTTCTTGCGTGCACGATTAGTGTCAGGCCCCAGCGGTGCCTGGAAGTCACTGGTACACGAAAAACGAGCAAAAAATTTGAATAGTGGCAAAAAGAATGAATGAATATACATAGCAGCTAAGCCTCGAAAATGGTAATTAAGCGAATCTTGTCAATCTATAAATGGCTGCTGTGCTACCGTAAGTGGGTTGTAAAAGAAGAAGGCGGGAAAGCCGAGCTCGCTGGGGGTGCCAGTACTGGTACCATGATGGGGGTACTAGCACGTAACAATATTCCAACAAACCTTGACGGACAACCATGACCCAACATTCAAAACATTAAAAGATTTGCTGTTGAAAAATTTCACAACTGGCGACCACATCATCACAGTTTTGAGCACTGCCGCAGACGCGTAGAACGACCAGATGCTGCCTAATTTGTTCCAGAGGAGAGTAGCCACTGTGATTGTGATATCTGGTTACTGTTAGTGAGAAAGCATCGTTTTGGCTGTAGGCATGGTGATTTCCACACGCACAGCTTTCACCAGTCTGTAAATAAGAAGAGGCCCGCTGAGAAATTGGTCGCAGCCCTCTACAAAATATCCATTTATCTTCACACCCCAAGTTCCTACTATGTAAGGCATGATCAAGTAGGCGCCAACGGCCACAGGCATCGTTGTGCTATTGAAATCTGGCATTATGAAGGAGGCCGAATAAGTGCCAATCCCGGCAGCTGATGCAATTTCGGGCACGGAAGACCAAGACACTGGGTTTCAGAGCGATACGAAGCAAGAGAACCTTCAATGAAGTTTATTCTTAGAAATCAAAATTTGAGAAAGGCATTAAAGTTCCACGATGACATTCTATTACTATATATAAGTAATATTAAACAAGAGTGAAAACATCTGGTCGTCTTCCACGGTCGACTTGCTGCTCGAAATACTCTCTACGCATAATACCTTTAACGTAACATTCACTAATAAACTCATACTTCTGCAGGGAGGCCCCGGGGCCCGTTTTTGCTGACTGGCTACTGTTGCTTACTGGTCGCAGCAAATATGGCACTTTGGCTCCATATAGCACAGCGATAATATCACCTTGCTTGGCGGGTCGGGGACACAGCCCGACTATTTTGTTCGACGAGATAAAGAAGAATGGGTCGATGCAGCGGGGTATTATTTTTGACTGGCACGCAATGTAATCACCAGTCTCTGACGACGGGGACACAAGTCTGTAGGCCGGCAGAGGCCTTGGAGGAGGGCTGTGGTAATAGTCACTCCAATGCGCAGTCCAGTGATCCATGTACTGGCGGCACCAGTATGTCCCCTATGATCTCGACCGAATCTGCGGCGGGAATTCGACTTTGCGTCCGAAATAATGGCCCTTGCTTGTCAACCTGTAATGACCTGCTGGATCCAAAAGTCTAAGGAAGACCGATAACATTTCCTCAAGAGAAGGGTCAAGTGGCGTTTCAAAATTAGGATCGAATTTAAAATATAATAGAGTTTGAATATTTATGACTTTAAAGCCATGAATAATAAGGAGGTTTGATCTAGAAAGCAAATCGAATTTTAATAAATCTTGCTTAGGAATGGAATCACCAGATGCCCGAAAGTCAAAATGCTTGCTGAAATGGGGATCCAGGGTCCAGCGGTCGTCCCAATTCCTCTATCCGTCAATACCGATAGCCCACGTCGGCAAGGATGTTGCCAACGTAGCGTAGTGTGCGAGGCGTGGGCCTGAGTCATCATAAAATTGTCGCCAGGTCCTGCCGCGTTAGCTACGAGTAATGGCCGATAGAATGGATAAAGATCTATGCGTAATCATCCACCACCTCGTGAAGTCTGCAAAGACTTAACCTACGGACTTTATGTAAAATAATTATATAAGAGATAATAAAGATTATAAATCGCTAATATCGTTCCCGAATGGAAGCAAAGCAAAAATATAATCACGTGGGTCGGTCGCTTTTATATTAAGTCTATAGAGAAAGACGTCTAGAAATGGTAGCCGGCTCTCCCCACTAATAGGATAACCAGTGGGGTTCCTTTTCTAGTGCCCTATAGCAGAATTGAACCAGATGGATGGCATAGTTACCTTTCCGGAGTGGTAAGCATCCTCCTCGTCTACCCAGCCACTGACAGCTAACAGTTCCTCCCATAGGGCGCTATGCTTGCCGCAATACACCCAAGCACTTCGAGCACCTAAAGCCTCTTATAAAACCCAGACACGCTGGAACCAAGGGCGTAAAAACAGGCTTGCCATGGAGTCCAGTAAATCGGGCCGCTCGCTAACGCGGTTATCTTTATCCATTTCCGATAAGTGTAGTACCCAGATCCGTCGCAGTACCTCCAGAGAACATTTTGGGTCGATGTTGTGGCGGGCCAGGCTCTCCGCAAGATCACTGGAGGGGAGTGCATGCGCCGTGCCGTTGCAGTCGCATGCTTTACCGCCAGCATATGATCCGAATTGTTGATTATATACATCCCGGATGAGACTGATGGCTAAATCAGTTCTGAGGGTACCATTTCCCAACTAGATATGGATTTGAGAGGCCATTAAATATATCTCTCCTATTATGCTAACTTGAGATGCTCTTTTATTATTATTATTTTAGTTAATTCATAGCTAATTAATCCAAAAGATTCTGCTTTGGTCCTTAAAACGTAACTTTTGTAAAGCATTTATTACGTTTAAAGAGACCTTTTTCGAATGGTGCGTCTCGTCAAAGCCAGCAATTATATTTTTAATATATATTATCGATCTCCCACCCGTGCCTTGCCAGTAGTATAATAAAGCCTCGAATTAAGGCGCGTTTATAAGTGAGTGGCTTATAAATTCGCAATGGAGCTGATCTCCTGGTTTTCCAGGCTCGACGACAAATAGCCGGATTTCCTAGCGGCTGCTATTAAGAGGTGGTAGATCTAAATTATTAATATCTTTCTCTTGTAAATCCTCTTCCGCAACCACAAAATTAGTATTAGCATTTTTTTTAGGCAAATAGCCGATGCTTATCCTAGCGCACTTTACACAGTTAACCCATCCTAGGAAAAAGGCTTTTAGTATAAGCTGTAAAATATCTCCAGGCTTGAGTTCTTCCATCTATAACCGCCGCTCTATAGGGCATATTTCCAGCTCCCATCTCGCAGTGTGGGGATAGAAACTGGGGTCAGCTCCATGGTTCCGGAGCTCTTCGAATAGCCGCAGGTCATTGCGACTAAAAGGTCTCCTTACAGAACTTTCGATAAAGGTATATAACGGTACTTCATGTTCGTGCTCTGGCTCATTGTCCATCCATTCTAAATTCCAGGTCAATACAAGGCGCAGTTGCTGACACATGTTTCCCGTTTCACCTTGATCATGCATCGTGGCATGGAACTCTACCCAGGTCACTAGTGCGACGTTGTCTGGGACTTTCATCTCTAAATAAGGTCTGTCAGGGCAGATTTCGTGCACGACAACGAAGTTATGACGTTCTTGGGTATGCGTGACTTCCATCTTTGCAGGCCGGTCGGGGTGAATCATAGTCAACCGTTCCAAATTTGTCTGCGCTGAGCAACTTAAGTGACGCCAAAGGATTCCGTATTTTCTATATGCGAGGCGGAAGGAGCTCGACAGGGAGAATAACTGAGGATGGCTGCATAGTCGGGCTTCGATGTGGCATAAAAAGTTGGGGTTTCAGCAGGCTAACGCGGATGGCCTCGTTACATTAGCGACTGCAACGGTGGGCCGTTACGTATCATTTTACTCATTACTTGACCCAATCAAATGCGGGTTGGTTTTCGAAAGGTGTAGTGATACGAAGCAACTATTGGCTATGCTTCAAGGACCTGATAATCGGAAGAGGAGAAGAGCAGCAGGCAGCCAAAAACACATACCTTTTCCATCAGCGGCATATGTGTCCGGGATGTGTTCTGAACAATCTATGGCAACGAGTCAATTTAAGCCGCGATTCTAACATGTTGGGTGGCCGTATGTTCTTATTTCACATGCCAGCGAAACCACTGGCTTACCCCTCAAGGTTCAAAGTGGGCGAGGAGCCAGAACTCAAGCACGCATGCATCTTTAAACAAATAAAATTGCGAGATAGAAACTCATGCCTACCGCAATGGTCTGCGTATATAGAGTCTGCAGATCTGCAGAAGTGGAAGCTTTAGACATTGCTTATCCTGACATACGTTGCTGAACGGGGAGAAACAAATTCGATCTGCACCATAAGTGGTGACTAGATGCGAAAACAGTTTGGCCATCTCACTGAGGGGTCGATGATTATCAATTGTCTATGAGTCTGAGTGGTCCTCCTGTGCCTCTTGTGCCTGCTGTGCCTAAGAGTTAGACTTCAACCTCTACTAGTGTTCCGTCTCCAAAGGCACGATAAACTGCCCAGTATAGGAGCCGGCAGTCGGCACTTGGTTCTTGGGTAGTCCTAGGGCCCCCGATTGTGTGTCAAACGCAGACTTCATGAGGTTATGCATCGCGAGGTACGAGACGCTTAATGAGCGATGCACAAAATTATACACCTCTTCGGATGCCTTGCCCAGCACGGAGGTGGCGTCCGCGCGGACAAGAGGTACATCCCGGTCGACATACGACGCATCGTGCAACGAATCGCGAAGCGCTTCCGTGAACCTCTCCAGTCGCGACACCAGGTCGGCCTCTCAATTGAAGCCTGGAGTATCGAGCACTACAGGCCAGAGAGATTTGGCAATGCTGTAAAAGCGGTCTCTGGCTTCCAAACTGGCTGTGGCGTCCAACAATAGCAACAACTGTGTCTACAAAGACTTGGTCAGCGGTTCTACGGATGTCTACCCTTTTAGGATAATGTCGATTTTGAAATGTCAATCAGTGATGCGATCGGTCTGGTCCACGGGCTATTTTGGTAGCAGACCAGGAAATTTCTGAGGTTGAGCGGAAGGTGGAAGCAGGTTCGCCGCGGGGAATGTAATGTGTTGTGCCAGCTCCTTTTGCTCGAGAATATTAAAATGCTCGACAACCAACGATTGGAACTGAACTTCATAAAGATCCGGGAGCTCAATGTACATGCCGCGTAGGTCCAAGGCTTTGACATACGGCAACTCAAGTGGCAAGCCATGAGCTGCGAGGGAACTTCAATCGCGGTGTGTCTCTAGTGAGCAATTATCAAAGCCAAGAAGTTCAACGACTGATTGCCCATTCTGGCGTCTGAACATGATTCACTGCGATAATTTACTCTCGACGACTGTTTACAGCGTAAAGGCAAAGGAACATTATCTATTCATAGGACACTTCATTGTATCTTGCCCATTGAAACGGGTTTATGCTTCCTAAAGGAGTTTAATATTGCTAAGGGGGCTTTGTAGACCAAGCCCAAGCCCATATTGAATTCCAAATTATGATTCACCTCACAACTAGGAAGCGATTATAATTCAGTTTTCTTTACTACTGAATTTAATCAGAGAAAAAGAGAATCAAACCACCTTTTCGCCGCATCTTATGTATTCGTAGCTCTTAGGCCCATCTAGTGAATGGCATCCAAGCTCTGATGTTATCACAGGTGGCGAAAAGGCTTCAAATCACAGTCGTAAGAAGTATTCAAATATATGGCTAGCATACCTGAATTTCACTAAAACGATCCTATCTCATAAAGTATTCTTGCCCCATCTGCAGCGTCAATGACTGAAAAATAGCACCTCGAGATCCGTGAAAACCAGCAACTCAGAAGGATGCCCTACCGAACGCGTAACCGGCCTGCGGACATGATGTCTACATTCACCCAGCAAGATGACTCACCATTGGCTTCAGAGTCGTCTTTGCTGATCTCCCAGCTGCAGCAAAAGGTTATAGATTTCTGTTACATTGACTATCAAGACATTGAACGCTTCATGTCTCTGGAGAACCCGAACGGACTCTTGTGCACTTTTTTGGTAGAAACATAGAAACACTCATGTCAGAATACGGAGACAAAGACCGCCATCACGGTACGTAAACACCCAGGGTCATTAATTGTGTTGCCCGTATTTTTCTTTTCCTTTTGGCATTACTGATACCAGAGAGGGATTTTGCAGTCACTTGTGAAACCTTTACCTCACTGATCCAGCTCATCGTCTTTCAGCTGGGAACAGAGGCAGACCCCATGGTACCCTACACGTCGTCTCAGCTCGCATGGCAGGTCGTGTTCCGGCTTACAGACGACTGGATCGCTCACCCACAGGTCCTGGGATTGCGGCCCGTGTCCACCATTCGGTTTGACGAAATTGCCAGAGACGCCTCTCATTGTATGTTATATCCCCCTCACTCAACCCTTGGTAGATCAGTTATTAACCAGCGTTCACTTTAGTGGATCACCACAACCCACGGATAAATCCGCCGCGCTTCGAGTACCTGAGCAAGTTGTTGATCAATCTTTGGAACTCGTCCTACGAAAAACCCGACAGACAACGAGTCCTGAGCAGCTTAGAGCCGCTTGGCAAGGCTCTGCAGGACTTTTTCAGCAGCAGCAGCAGCAGCAGCAGAAACAGCAGTGCCGAACCTCTGCCCGAAGTCTGGAATGTCATCAACTGGTGGCTTCTGCCCCCGCATGACGAGCACATGTTCCGACCCGCCCCCTTGATTCCTTGGGACGAGTGCCTGGCTCATTTAAAGTACCTCGAGGGTCGTCTGCGCGCGAGCCGACACATCTTGGATGTGGAAAAGGCAAACTTGGTCAGGATGTGGCTGCTCGAGGATGACAGTGTGAGAATGCAGCGGGAGCAGTCGAGGCAGCAGCTGAAGCAATATGATCAGTGGTTCCAGACGCAACAGTACAAGCCAGAGCAGCAGCGGCGGCGGCGGTAGGGCGAAAAAACTTTAGCTTCGATGCGCATGATAAATTTATTATAATACAGTGTTTAACTCTTCTCAATATCCGTGTGCTTTGAGAATATATACATGGAGGATACCTGAAGACTAATCTCTGGGCCAATTGCATGACGACGGAGCATTATTGCCACTGATTATGAGATACTCGTGACTCAACCACGGTGCGCCAGATGTGGCCCTGTGAAATACCGAAAGAAAACTACTAGGTACACAAAGTGTACTCGATCCTCAAGGGTGTCGGCTTGAAAGATGAAATTGTATGCTCAAAGGACGGGGCAAGATAATGGTATCATGAACAGACTGGACGCATCTCAACTCACCATTGAGATTTATGTAGTCGAGTTCCCACGGTACAATGAAAAGAGCATCATATGTCTTGTATAGGTAAACTTACCATGTTATTCATGCTGCTGAATACAGCAGTGCACAAGTCATGGATTTACACGAGCATGGAGCAGTGCTTCCCCCATATCGTGAAGACACGCACGCCACGATCGGAACGCACCGACACGCGTCCCAAGGAACTGAGATATCTCATGGGCAAGTTGAGCTTCCTCGCAGTCATGGTTGTTCACAAAGGAAAGGGAAATCTGATGTAGTGTCCTTGGTTTGTTGGTACCTGCAATGATGATTTCATAACATATGTTTTCCCCCATAGTTGACTGGAAATGGAAAGGGAACACAACTTGGGTGATAGGAGGTCGACTCTGCGCGGGACAGATTTGATCATAACTGCGCTCGTGGTTATTGCATTTACTCAATCGTCCATAAGCCGCCCCTTACCACCATATTAGCACTCAAGGTATCATCAATGAGACCCTCAATCTGAAACTTTACCATTTGTGGACAGATGGTGAAATCGCTATGAGTACTCGGGATATTTCTCCGGAAGATTGGGGGTACAAAAGTCAGAGGAGAATCGGTTGATGCATGTAGGACTCATTTGCAACTCAGTCACCGCGTCAATCGTCATATCAGTGGGACACCGTGTCAATGACGAATCAACAAGCTGCTAGAAGAATCGGGCCCCCAATAGAACCTGATCATGGGGACGGAGTAAAGTGGAACGTCGCCCAAGACTGATGAGCATTGTACATAAGATATTATGTATCAACGCCCACATTGCCAGATATTGGTGAACCAGCGCATACCGTCGGGCATAACTATTCATTATCAATTGTTAGCAAGTGAGTTATCGAGGGGTCGATGAGGTCCATCACATGGAGGGATGAATGTGATCCGCATATTGATATTCGAGTAAGGATGTGTAGATTGAGGAGTCGTACTAGCATATCACGCGTACGTTGCCCCTTTTCCCTACTGATGCCTCCCTCTGTATTTACACTCTCAGTCTCGATCCGTCGGGATTGCGACGGTTAAGAAAGAACCCACTGTTTTCGGAACCGTGACCGTGCTATCTAATACGATTTCGTCACACAAGTGAACCGGGAGCCGGCCTGCGGCTCATCGTGGAACATGTCACAAAGGTCCGCGGTGGGCCCGGATTGGGTGGAGACACGGCTGCTTGTCTCACGGATCCGACAGTCGCATTTGAAGGCTGACCTCATGATGAAAACAAGGATCGACGGCATTATCGGGTTGTCGGGTAGCTGGCAGCGACGGGTGAGACGTGAACAGAATGGATGCAATAGCTCCACACGGATCCCAAGCTGGAGGGTTGCAGGAAGGAGAAAAAAAAAAGTGGACGTGTTCGTAAGCAAGGGGCAAGCGGAGGGTGATTATTGTGGGTGAATACACCTATTGACGCCATGCGTCGGGTTCGGCTCAGTGCTGTAGTATGATGGCATTCAACATTTGACGGTGGAGCTGAGCCCCCGAGCCGGTGAGTTGAGTTCTGTCGGCGAGCGGCAGCGTGAACAATATACAACCACTCATATCAGTCTTGTCGGATCTTTGTAATATTCCCATATGCAAAGCTCGCTGATGAAACCATATTTTGGAGAAAGAATATTGGTAGAAGCTTGGGCTGTTGTGATACAGGAAAGCGACGGTAAAGTCCCGAGTGTCGAGCACGCATCTTCATGCCTCATGTCGCCAAACTTCCCCTACGAGAATCTACAGTTGCACACTCGATTGTTGACTGATACGGTCAAGGCGATCTACAACGATTGCGCCCATAGTCTTCGAGTCCAGCCAGCCGTCGACTTTGGTTTTGTAGATGTAGTGGTACGATTGATCTATCAATGAGTTGTTGTCGTACATGGTATAGTTGGAGGTCTGTGCATGAGTATAATGCGAAAGTGAGACTGTAGGATCAAGCTTGCATGCGATGACCAGTCGCAGCCTGTCCGGGTGAGAGCATCCCGGTATGCTATTGGAAGTGTAATGTCTGTTGCCTGGCTTCAGTTATGGTACCAAAACCGGTTTGAGTCCACCTTGTGCAGTAACAGCAGATCCTCAAGATCGAGAGCTCTTCGGAGGCCACTTGGTGTCTAAACTCTAGAGGTTCATGGATACTCCATTTTCTCGGACCGTTATGGGCCTTTTAATTGTGGACACATAGCGCGCACGGGGTGGTGATTGACTGTTGATCCCGGCGACGGTTTTGTCAATTTAGCGGCACTTGTTTTCTGTAGCATGGCATTTTGGCATTCTGGTATTTTCTCGATCGAGATTGCGTAGAGTATCTATGATGTTACTGCCGTGGCAGTGGAGTCCAGTTTGGGGCACTTTGAGCTAAGTTAAAGAAGGGCCGATGAGAGCTGCGAGCGCAAGGCCTGACGTTTTTCTGAGTACCTCGAGTGCCTCGAGTGCCTTCACAAGTCGGCTGTGTTTGTTTGACGTCCTAGGTGCCAAACAAACTGCTGCCAAGTATTCCTGTATGCAGCTAGGTTTGAGCGGGAAAGAAGCACGAAAAAGAAAAGGAAGGGAATAAAAATTCTGAGCAAGGGTAAAAGTGCGAGCCCTAACCCACGAATGGCCGGGCTCGGAATGGATGCTTGGCCGGCAAAGATCTTGTCTGTGAGATGCTGCCTCTGAGATGAAGCGGCATTGCAGAAAAGCGCCGACAACCCTCGAGGATGTTTGGGCGCCCTGAAAACGCAGTTGCAGTTGCTACCAGGCCTCATTGAGCCGAGCAGGGTGACGTTGCACAGTTGTCTGTTTGGGGGGCTTACCACGATGATCTCACCCTGGTTAAGGAAAGTGGCGGCTCTGCGGGATAAATGCTGTGTGAGCCATCGGGTGTGGCACCTTTGGCACCCAAAACATGCCTTGCAAACTATTGACTGCCCTATAATCGACAGCGTGGCTATTGGGTAAGCGGTACATGGTACGGTAGCCCTAAAGAAGCAAGCCGTAATGTAACCCCCAAATCAACCATTATTGTCTCTGTCGTGGATGGTTTCGCAAAGAACGGCTCTCGTTGTAAATAAATTACAGGACGCAAGCACCAGATACATATTGACGGTCGTGCAATGGTAACCAAATGAAGACCTTCTTGCATGCGGTTTTCGGGTTGACTGCAGCTCTGCCATGGGTATCACATCCCGAATCCGTCATCGAGCAGCAACACTGCATATTGTGTGTAGTGTAGGAACAGCGCGAGGGTCCCCTTATTTTCACATGCCTTCAGGGTGTGTTGACACGCTGTACGAACAGGGCTAAATGATTGGTCAGAAGGTCAGAAAGAAATTCATGTCAAGCTGACTGCTGCTGCTGACAGGTGGTTGACCACTTTGGAAAGTGTAGATAAGGCAGGCCGGCGTCATCAAGGCCTGACATAGTGAAATGCACCATAACGACCGGAAATGATGATGATGATGTGATATGTGATGATTGTTTGATTGATGTTGAATTATTGCTTCTGGTCGCATTTCTAAAGATACCGCTACTTTTGGTGGTTCGAGTTGGTCTCTGTAGTGGTTGCATCTGTCTGAGTCGAGAGACGAAAGAAGCAGTGTTCTGAGTGGATATTTTGTGGGTATAGTGGCATAGTGTGTACTCTGTACAGCACGTAGTGTAGACTACATTCGTACTTCTCCGTACATATAGTGTATCAGGTTGCAGCATGCGATCTGTCGTCTCCGCGTTCTGGAGAATTACCCCAGATTCATCGACAGCAGTAATGCCGAGCAATGAATCAGGTAGGTGATTATCATTTGCCCGATGGTGGATGTAGGTTTGCCTTGTGCGGTCCAGAAGAGATGAAGATGTTCACTGATCGGTCGAGCGATTGGTGATAGCGACAAGTCCGAGTCAAAACCATCTAGTCATATGTCTAGCGATTGCTTTCCAAGAGCGATATTTTAAAATAGCAGCCTAGCAGCCAAGCAGCCAAGCAACTGGCAGGCGTGGCAAGCTTCCCATGAGCCATGATGGCCAGAATAGATTACCGAGATCTACCGTGGTGGCAGTAGTAATTGGACAGAGCGATGGACGAAACAAACAAAGCTGCCCACTGCCTCACCAGTAGTACACCACATGAGTCGACTCTGCATGGACAACCAATGCAATCAGGGCATGATGAGAACTTCGGTAGGGTTTCCAGGGTCCCTGCTTGCAAGTTTAGTTCAGGCCAAGCGCAGACGGATTCTTGGAAATCCGGGGTCGTCTCTTGCGCATCTCTCTTACCGCGGCTATGCAGCGGATGTCGCGAAGCTCGGGATGGCCAATATACAGGAAGAGAGGAGCAAGTGAAACGAATACATCCTTGATGATCTGGTGGCTAGGTCAGGTCGTCTACCTGACACTCAAGATTTGAAGCGCCGTTCGAGGTCCTTTCGAGGTCCTGATCGAGTATACTCGCCGACATGACTACGGGAATATTTGATGAGGAGGAAATGTATACACGCAAACTTCCGTGTGCCAAGATAACTTTGATGAGCATGGGTCAAAATTCGCAAAGCTGCTTGTTGGAGGGGAGAAAAAAAACACGCACAATGGAGGGGTAGAGGAGGGAGGTTGGAGGGGTTGCAGTTCAGTTCCCTTCCTTGCTTCCATTTGGTTGCCCAGTGTGCTGGGACCGTGGTTACACGCTTGCGGGCCGAAGGGTGCACTTGCCCGGGGGCATTTGAGACCTTCCACTAACTTGTGCTTCCAGGGCGTTGTGCAACTAGAAAACGCCCTATCAGCGACCAATTATAAGGTTATTTTGCGCAAAGTGCAGCGGTCAAACAGCCACAGCCAAGCCAACCTGAAGCGGGTCCGCGTTCTCTTTTAGAACCCCGCCAAAGGTTCCGCTTTTCAGTGACGCTTGACGTCATTTCTCCTTCCTGCGCCCGCCCCCCGCCGCCCCCCCCGCTTCGACTACATGCCTCGTCGGGGTCCCTGCGATATGCTGTCGGCCTAACCTGAAAACACCAGAATGCAGCCAAGCAGACGCAGCTCGGCCAACAAGCATCGATTTCGCTTGGTGTAATCTCTCCAAAGTGTCCCATTGGTGCCGTCCCCTGAACAAGGCAAACAAGCACATGCAGGAGGGAAAAATTCAATCCGACTGATCAACGAGCCAAGGCATACCAAATTTGTGGTGAGCGAGGGCAAAATACGGAATAGTGTAGATGAAGAAGAGGTACTTTTTTTTTCAGTCCAGGAATACAAGAAAGCACATTTAGTGATGTGTACTATATTGAGTGTTATGGAGCACGACAGTGCTAGTGTATTGACCGAGTAATATCTGGGGGATCGACCTCAGTCATGCGCATGTGCTGGCGTACCAATTGATATAGTGGTGCAAGAAGATCCGTGATATTCACAATTCGAATATATCAGATACATTTTGTTTTTCAAGTGCCACAACAACAAAATAGAACATACATGAATACGAATGATCCTGGCTGACCTAGAATCAAACCTTGTTGCGCGATTCAGAGAATTTTTTCACAAAGTCGCCGTGTGTCGTCATTGTAGGCAAAATGCTTATCAGTAGTACTTTCTGCTGAATCCATAGGCTGGCCTCGCCGACCCTCGATGCCGTAATGTCCCCATTGGGCTTGGGCCTGTGGCTTAGGGGGTACAAGGACCCACCCGCGTGTAAGTGATGAATGCGATACACTTCGTCATCGCCCACTTTGAATGTGTGTCCAGACCATTATCTACACTCCGTAACAACAATAGTCGAATCCACTAACCGAGATGGTAAACTGGCCCGGCTATTCACGCACATTGTCGAGACTGACCATGTAATTTTATTGGAAATTTGTGCGGCGTGAAATTCCAACAGTCAACTGCCGTAGTTGGTTTGAGATTTTGCACAGATGAATGCAGTTGAACGGATGAATGCAGTTGAACGGATGAACGGCTCCTAGATACCGAATCAGAAGTATGAAATGCAAATATTTACGAATCAAGAGAATTTGCGCTATTTGTGGTAGTCAATGATACCGCACTGGACAAGTCCGCAGATATTCCGTACGTTGCTAGACTTCGAGATGCAGTGTAGCAGCAGTCTGTATGTAGTGAGTGGTATGCCATGGTACAGAGTACCTGGAGATAGTATTCGCGTATTGTAGACTGGAGTATTACCCTCTTTAATGCCTTGCCCCTGTCAAGGAACAAATCTGTGGAACTTTGCAAGCCAGTCATCTTTGAACCAACATACCAAAGCCTTGGTAGAATTCAGGTCTATTAATGCCAAGCATGCACCTTTGAGAGGACCAGACTGATCAATTCCTGTCTGGGCGACATTGAATATGTTATCATACCACAGGCTTACCGACTCGATCCCTCAGCCCTTGGACGAATACATATCGGAGGATATATCGGCTATTACTGTCTGTCGAGAATTGAAAATGAAACATCAAGCGAAGATAGCGACAGGCTAAGAATGCCGTCCATGCACGGGACTACCAGGTATGTCTCGATCATCGAGTAGTCGAGCACTCGAGGGATAAAAGCTCATGTGTCGTTGGTCGGACGGCCTCCCACCTAGATTGCCTCATACCAGGATGCGTAAAGCACGCAGGACAGCCTCGACCCACCCACAGGGACCCTGACTGCCTGTCCTGTCGCCATCATGCTCGTGGCTTGGTGGTGGTTGTACTAGGTGGGTAACGGCTTAGTTCACCAGTGATGAAAACACCGGGTAGTCAATCGCCAACGCAATCCGGCCGATGACTACCACAACGTTGCCATGATGCCAAGCTGATTCGACCGCCCCACCAGTTGGACCCACACGCCGGCCCTGCAAGCCACCTTGGTTGCGGCCATGATCAATCAGTTGTACGTTGATCTCACATCATTCATACATGCGGCTTCTTGTCAAGGGTGACTATAGCATTGTACTTCCGTACACTACAATGTCATCAATCGATTCCCATCAACGTGTACCCACATTTCTGTTATCCACATCCTCGTCCCACTCCGTCTCTTCACCCGTCTGTCTTTCGAGAAATGAACATAAATATATGGCAATCCCCCAGGTAATCCCCATGGGAAATTGAAGACCTTTCTTCTCCAGTTCCCATAATCGAGACCCAACTTGACGAATTATATCTCGACCGTCCTCAACTCCAACAACTTTTTTTGCTTTTCAATCGCGTGTAGAGTTCGTTCCTTACCCAAACTCAATAAACCCTCAACCATGTCTCTCGAAATTCCCCAAGGCGACGGAAAGCCCTCTTTCCACCGAGGCAGCTTCGTCGATGAAATTGAGCACGCCCAGAAGGATCTGGTCGACAGCCTCCACGATTCCGAGTCACACAACGAGTCGCCCTCCGTCTCTTCATCAGACGGCTCAGTGCCCACATTAAGCCCGACACAGAGTGCTACGCCCTCAACACCACCATCCGAACCTATTTCCCCTCCCGGTGATCTAGTAGCAGACAGCTTCGCTTTTGCTTTCGATATCGATGGTGTGCTCATTCGAGGTGGTCGGGCTATCCCCGAAGCCGTCGAGGCTATGAAAGTTCTCAATGGCCAGAATGAATATGGCATCAAGATGTAAGTCCTCGCGCTTGGAAGAATCAATAGCGTGGTTATGCTAACAAACAATCAGCCCTTACATCTTTTTGACCAACGGTGGAGGCAAGTCTGAGGCTGAGCGCTGCAAGGACTTGTCGAAGCAGATGGAGATCGACATTTCTCCAGCACAGTTCATCTGCGGACACACTCCCATGTCGGAAATGGCCACCAAGTACGGCACCGTTTTGGTTGTCGGTGGTGAGGGTGAAAAGTGTCGCCAGGTTGCCGAGTCTTATGGCTTCAAGGATGTCGTGACCCCTGGCGATATCATCAAGCACAACAGCGCAACCACGCCCTTCCGCAAGCTCACTCCCGAGGAGCTCGCCAACTCTAGAGAACGTGACTTTAGCAATGTAACCATTGACGCGGTTTTCGTTTTCGCTGACTCCCGCGACTGGGCTGGTGATCTCCAGATCATCCTTGACGTTGCCATGTCCAAGGGTGGTCGTCTCGGTACCACATCCGAGACCTTTGACGAGGGCCCCCCGATCTACTTCTCCCACAGCGATGTTCTCTGGTCTGCTGCCCACAATGACCCTCGTCTGGGTATGGGCGCCCTCCGCGGCATTGTCGAGTACACTTTCAAGGAGGTCACCAAGGGCAAGACATTGACTACCCACGCCTTTGGCAAGCCCCAGATTGGCACCTTTGAGTTTGCTACCCGCCTGCTGAGGAGATGGCGCAAGAACGAGCACAACCTGGACTCGCCCCCTGAGACCGTGTACTTTGTTGGTGACACCCCCGAGAGTGACATCCGGGGTACGAATCAGTACAACGCCAAGGCCGAGAACGACTGGTACAGCATTCTAGTCAAGACCGGTATCTACCAGGAGGGTACCGAGCCTGCCTACAAGCCCCGAAACACTGTCAACTCTGTGTTGGACGCTGTCAACTTTGGTCTCAAGCGCGAGATGGAGAAGAAGGCTGCCAAGAACACCTTGCCTCTCGAGGCTTTCAACAGGGCCTCCAAGCCCAGACTGACCGATCTGCCCAACTGGCTCCTCGACAACAGCGATTGCGCCGTGCTGAGCCCTGCCGAAGAGCGCGCCTTGACACTCACGGCATAAGCCTCTTCATTCTACGATATCACGAGCTTACGAACGCTTTTCCTTTTCCAATCTTCGTTCGAATATTGCAACCATTTTATTCATTTCATAACATTTTTCACTATACACCCTTATAGATCATAGAGATATGATAAACCAGGGCATTTTCGACCCTTCCCTCCTTTGAGGGATGACTTTTTATACAGGCACGGCATACTGGTCGCTCCTTGGCCGAACAGACATTGAGATGGGAATAAATCATTGGGCGGCGTTTTTGTCTCTTTCGGCTCAGGCTTTACAAAATTATTCATCGAGTGCGAAATCTGGGAGTTGGGAGCGTTTGTTTTACTTGTCCATAGAGATATCCCTCAATGCAACCAAACATTAAAGAAATCTAAATTACCACTTTCACTATTGTACTCTTGTCGTGATCTGAGACGACTGTCATTTGACTGTAATTCAGGTTGACCTTCCACCATGATGACTCGTCCCAATTCTTTGAATTAGTCACAGCTCTCATAGCCAACCTTGAATACAAACTGGACAATCGTAGTTGCAGTCAATTAATGAACTGTCTTATCCGTTCGCTAACACAACCGCTTATATACCCGCGTCATCCCTTCTACTGCAGATTCACAAACAAACCACCGTCCACCAAAAGTTGTGCACCCGTCACATAACCACTAAGCTCCTCGCAGGCAAGGAAGACGGCAGGACCCGCGAGATCCTTGGTGTCGCCGGTGCGGCCGAGGGGAATTCGGCCCTCCATGTACGTCCGCTTGGCGTCGTCGGCCAAATCCTCATCATTGAGCTGGGTGCGAATGGTGCCGGGCAGCAGGGCATTGCAGCGGATCTTGTACTGGCCCAGCGCCACGGCGGTGCTCTGCATCAGGCTGAGCACGCCGGCCTTGGTGGGCGTGTAGTGCGTCTGCAGACCGCCGCCCACGAGCGCCGAGATGGACGATACGCCGATGATGGAACCGCCGGGCGGGGACTGCGAGGCCATTTGTCGCGCGGCGGCCTGCACCACGTAAAAGGCTCCGTCCAGGTTGGTCCGCACCGTCCGGGAGAAGAGGTCCGGCTCCAGGGTCAGGAACTCGGCAAACTGGCACACGCCGGCGTTGGAGACGCAAATGTCGAGGCGGCCGCCAAAGAGGGCCGCCGCGCGCTCCGCCAGCGCCTTGCCCGTCTCCGGGTCCGTCACGTCGCCCGGGAGGTGGTCGAGGGTGCCCGCCGCGTCCGGGTTCTGGCTCTTGATGGCCGCCGCTTCCGACAGGAGCGATTCCAGGTGTGGTCGGTCGCGCGGCAGGTCCAGGTGGTTGACCACCACGTTGGCCCCCTGTCTCACGTACTCGAGCGCAATGGCTCGGCCGATGCCCGTTGTTCCGCCCGTGATGATGGCCGTCTTGCCGGCTAAGAGGTTTGCGACTGGCATATTTGCTTCTTCCTTTCCTCCGTCTTGCAATTGCTCTTTCTTCGTTTGGAAGGATATACGTCAAGGTCTTATACAATTGGTGGAGTTCGTCGTTATTCAATGTTTCGGTGGTGAGGGGTGATGGAGGGGTAGATCTGGTCGGAGAAGTGGTCTAAATATGCTTTGAGTATGATCTCTCCAAAGATATTGCCACCTTGCAAATGAATTCTCGGTATAGTGATTGAATAATTCTTGGAGTAGCTGAAGATACCAAATCTGACTTGCAAGAAGTAAAAGTTTCCAGTCAATGTAACTGCTTGCCTGGCTTTGGATGTAAGTTCGGCACTATACAATATTGAGGACAAGCAGCAACCAGCCCACCAGGACAGGAACCACTATAGTTGCCCCCTCATTCCCTCTCGTCTCCCCCGCAAGGGCAGTTAACTTGTGCCATCTACCTCGAATTCTTTCCGACGGGCCAATTCCACTATTCTAACCCAAGCTATTTGATCGATCCATCAGCTTCCTCTTTCCGTCTTTTCTAAGAGGGCTAGAACCGGAAATCCCGCCCCTCTAGATGCGCGTCGTGGTCTCGCGACTCATGAGGGTCTGACCCCACCAAAAATATTGGAGGCTCCTAAAAAAAATGCCCCGCGTTTTCGGGTCAACGTGTACCGACCGTCTTCGGAGCATTGGATCGGGTGATGGGGAACTCCCTTTACCGTATGGATTCTCTTTGTTTGCAAATGGCATGTCATAGGCAGTTACTGATGCTCTAGTGGCCGCTGAGAAGGGTAGCATCGGTCCAAGGGGAGGACTTCGCAATGCTTTCTGTATCTACAACGAGATTCATTGATTGTCTGCCTTGAACAACCCCAATATTGAGAGTGATCCAATTAGGATTCGTATAATCGATAGTGAAAATGGGTAGTTGAGTACTGCGATTCAAGAAATCAGTCTGGTCTTGCATCATCAATTCAACACGCATCAGAAAAGTCGATTAGAGTTTTTGGCAAAAATATGAATTTCTTTATTCTAAAAATAATGCCCACTAGTAAGAACTCCTGTCAACCATACGATGTACAGCTCGTTTCTCCTAGCCACCAATCATTGATGATCGCCTTTGAACGCATAAGCCGGGGGCAAGTGTTTCGTTAATCATGATGCTATGATGTATGCTACTTCTTTGTCATAAATCTGTACGGCTCTCAAGTCCTTGACTCCGTCTGTGAGCTGTTGCAGACGGCTAAGAGTCGGTCTTGGCCTCTTCCTTGGGCTCAGCTGGCTTGAGACCAGCAGTAGGTGGGGGCGTCAGCAGGTAGTCGGAGGAGATCAACTTGGATCGCACAGCAGGGTTGAGCGTAAGTCCAAATCCGGGCTTGTCCAGATCGGCAGTGGTCAGGAAACCCTTGGTCGGGATTGGCTCGTCAATGAAGAGATCGCCAAACACGGGCAGGACACTCTTGCCATCGGGCGAGTTTGCCAGATACTCCTGGAATGGTGTGTTCGGTTGTGAAATGACAAAGTGGTAGCTGTACGGGCCACTGGCGTGAGGCACGACGGGAATATCGTAAGCGGCAGCCATGGCTGACACCTTGAGCAGCTCCGTGAGACCTCCGAGCCACATGACGTCGGGCTGGATGATGTCCAGGTTGCGACCCTCAATCAGCTTGCGGAAGCCATATCTCGAGTACTCGTGCTCGCCAGTCGTGAACTTGAGTGTGGGATGCGCCCGCTTGATCTGCTCAAAGCCGTCCGTGTCATCGGGGCTCAAGCACTCCTCCCACCAGTTGATGTTGAGGTCCTTGCACTTTTCGGCAATCTCGATTGTGTAGGAGACGTTCAAGCTCATGTAGCAGTCGACCATGATGGGAAAGTCTGGTCCAACGCTTTCTCTGTGCTTGCGGAGGAACTCGATGTTCTTGCGAAGGCCCTCGTGGCCATCGGCCGGGCAGAAAGGCAGAGGCACCTTGGCGCCCCAGAAGCCCATGGACTTGGCCGCTGTTGGCTCGGGACCAGTACAGTAAAAGTTGAGACGTTCTCGGGCGGCGCCACCGATGAGCTTGTATACAGGCTCGTTGCGAATCTTGCCAAGCAGATCCCAGATTGCGAGATCAATGACCGAGATGACGGCCACGGGAAGACCTTTCCGGCCGTAAAACATGGAGGCTCTGTACATCTGCTCAAACAAAAGGTTGGTATTCCGGGGGTCGGCACCGATCAGGAAACGCTCGAAGTGTTGGTGAACCAGCCAGCAGCCAGGAGGGCCTATACGGTATGTTAGCCACTGTGATATGGTTTGAGGCGCTTGATTCTTGAATTTGTCAACTCACCTCCAAAACCGGTTGCAAAGCCCACGGTGCCATCAGTCGCCTCAATCTCAATCAAGAACGAACCCAGCACATTGATACCCCAGCTTGTCCGTGACTTTTTGTACTGATCCCAGATTGAGCAAGGAGTGGAGATGTCGGAGTCAATCAGCCTGAAGAAACGGGTACGTCAGTTGTGCTGCAACGAGTAAACCGCGGGGCGCTTCTCTTTTCAACCTACCAGTGGCCGCCCTTGACATTGTGATAGTCACCTCCAGAGCCAACACCACCGATCACATATGATCGAACCGCCTTGATTGTGGGGAAATCTCGCACGGCAGACATGTTGGGCAATTTGAATGTACAACGAGTCCGCAAGCGACTTCTGTCAGTGATGTCTCAACTTTCAATCTGCTCAATTGGTTACAATTGGAGGTGAAAGAAAGATGAGATTAGACCGAGAATTGGACGCTTTCCACGATGTTTGTATGTGGGCGATTCGTGGCTTTAACACACTCAAGTAAACACAAGATGATGCAATTAAAATGTAAAATCTAAACGTCTATGGAGGGGAAAGTGCACGCCTTTTTTACACTTCACAGAGCTTCACGGCTACCTAGAATCCGAAGTCGCGATGAGCTATGCCAAATGCTCCGTCGGTGTCAGATCGCCCGATGAATGGATACTGGCTTGGACGGAATCCCCACTATGCATCAATACCAGCAGCTTTCTGAATGCACCGCGCGGGCTCAAGTGCTCCCTAGCAGCTAGTTGAGCCGCGGTCGGTATTCAAGCACCGCCGTGGCCAGCAGCTGAGCATTTGGCGCTATATCATGTTAGACGGGCATCTAGTAATGTGGCCACGGCAATCTCCAGCTTGTGAAGAGACGAAGAGATAAATCGTCAGATGGTGTTGTTGTTCTGGCCCGTGTAAATGATAGTCACATGTAGGTTGTGTCCACTGATTCCAGATCGAATCGGACCCAGACAAACATACAGTAGGTTATTGCACTACGGATACTTGCCATCCACTAGGGATGCCAAACTATTCATACTATTGCGTGACTGGCGACCTGGTAGAAACTTTTCATCCTTTGTGGCATTTGACCGTGACAGCGGGATTGGGTGACACACACCGGAACTCTCCGGTTGCCCATGCACACCTTTTTGGCACACTAGACAAATCTCACTGTTTGAAAATATGTCGGCAGTCGGGTTACAACTGTTGCACCATGCTAATAAAATGGTAATTAATAAACAACTTCTTACTGCCGAAGGATTTTTTTCTTCTTCCAGGGTATCCACGGGAGCTTGTCATTGCTCGCTAATTCAAGCCACGCTGACCTTTCCCAGGACAATTCGGATCAGATCGAATCAATTGATTGATGGAATGTCAGGATCATGCTAACGATCCAATAGAAAAACACAGTTTGCTGAATTGGGTCGAGCAGCCATGGATACTCGTAACCAAATCTGGCCAGCCAAGGCCAACTCAGGCCGCTTCTGCCGAGGTTGGACAAGAACAAACAGCAGGGCCAGAGACAACGTTGCGCCACACCCGCGCCTAATATGAACCTCTCAGAGGCGTGTAATGGGTGCGTGAGTGTGTGTCTGTGGCCCGCCTTGCTTGTAACGCCATGATTCAGGCCATGGACTGCAAGCCTCCTGTAATTTGGGCAGGATCAGCCACATAGCGTACATGCAGGGAACGATTATCATCAGGCTCGATGCCAAGGTGAAGAGAGGAAGAAGATAATATTGAATCGCGGAAGCTTTTTCCTTGCATGGATTTTCTCCCCTATCCCATCCTCTCGAAAGCCACAAAAGTAAGCACATTCATGGGCAGGGGGGTAAGTTGGTTGCACTTTGGTCGGGATTGCAAAGAGAAAAGATCTGACTAGTGTACATGGTAGGAATTGAAAATGCCACGTGAGGGTTCGTGCCTAGCAGTAGTCACTTAGTCTGACATACCCCAGACTGCGATCTCCAATAACTTTTTTTCCCAGACGCTGCGAAGACGATCCATGATCTCCGCACCAGCTGGCGTGCTAGACAAGCTTCCCCGCACGAGGAAAACAGGGTACGGTGAGTCGTGTGTTTCGGAACAGGGAGAGGTAGTATTCGATCTACCGTACTGAGTAGGCGAGGTTGCATTGTCCTGGATGATGAGCATACACCACACAGTATGAGGCATGCTTCCTTTCTCGATCCCCAATTGGGTTGCAAGAATGAAAATTTGATGCTTCGTGAGATTCCGGAATGAAGCACGGTGCAAAGGAGGAAAGTCGTCCATCTGCCGATTCTCGACTCTATAGTTGAGTGTTTCTTACCAAGGTTCGCGGGGGTACATACATGCTACGAAATACATCAGAGACATTTGTCGGGTCGGGCCTTGCAACGGGATCGAACACAGACAGAATATGACAAGTGCTCGAACTTGCAAAAAGATAACAAGGCGCCAAGATTAAAAAAAATATTTACACGCGCGCGCTCATGGTAGGTTTCAAATCTTATTTTCCACGGGTATTTTCCGCGAATTCCTCTTTTAGATCTTGGACAATACCCTGGGGGAAGGTAAAAGATCCCTGACTGATGACGCCCAACCCAAATAATTGTACAACCTCTAATGCCCGGTGGGGGAGGGGTGGAAATTCTTCTTCTTTACACATTCAAGCAAATCAGCATCAAGAACTTTTGCATTCCCACCTGAACTGTATGTACGTGTGTGGTGATAATATTGACATGTATGTACATACGTGCATATACAACCTTACCCACCGTCCATCCAATCTCGAACATTCGAGTATACTTGCCTGCCTTGCCTATTACCCGAACTTGCTAGCACATAGACGAAATGCAGGCCAGTCATTAGACGAGGTGTGGTAGGTTGAGGTAGGTATGTAGGTAACTGGCGGTTGACACGAACTCCCAAGACCCGAATCCGCTTAATTCACCGAATCCACTGAACGTGGGTTGTTCCCCAGTGGCTCTCTCTGGAGGACACCCACCCCCCTGATTGGAGACCTGCAAGGCCTGGACGGGTGCCCCGAATTCTCCCCCTGGCTCCCCTTGTCCACAATAAAAAATCCCCACGCTCCCCCGAACTTCCCAAGCTCACACCTCTGCTCAACATTACCCCGAGCCACTCGAGCCACTCGAGCCGCCAACCGCCGCACGCCTCACTGCTGCCACCACCGGCGCGCGAGAGTCAAGCCCGAGAGTGACAGTGAGTTTGACTGCGTTCAATCTCAGTGCTGCTGCTACTGATGCAACCACGTCCGTCCCATGTACCCGTTGCACCGAAGATCTCGATAGTAGCTTGACCGTGCCATTGGTATCGGTACTTGAAGATCCATCCGGGGCTGACCGATTAGGACGCACGCACACACGCACGTACGCACTCACACATTTTTTTTTTTCTTGGTCCTTGCCTGCCGCTGTATGCTGGCCTGCCTGGCTGACTGGCTTGGCCGAGGGAGAGTGAGAGAGGAACAAGACAGTCTAGTACCCTGTTGACAGATCCTATACCCCATTATTCCAATTCTTGCTTTCTCTTTGCAGACTGCAGGGTTTGGGGTCCTGGTCGAGGGCTGCGAGGACCTGACTGGTCCCAGGGCCCGACCTAACCTGACCTGATTCAGGGGAAGCAAATGGGAAGAAGAAACAATAAGGAAGCAAAGCAAGAAAAGATGCAGCCAGCGTCTGCTGCTGCTCCTACTGCTGGTAGTGGTGGTGCCTCTGCTGCTCAGCCACTCGATGGCACACACCCACGCGTCTCGCCGCCACTCAGTCATGGGAAGCACGAAGTCGAGAGTGATGATGGAAATGCCATGCACAGCGGAGATGATGCTGACCCTGATGAAGACCATGAAGAGCCTGATGTCGCGCCTAATGGCAAGCGGAAGAGGCCCATCTCTGTATCGTAGGTGTTTTCTTTCCTTTCAGAATTTGTCCGTCTCCTTCTCCCCGTTCGCTTCATCACATCACTTATACACACACCAGTACTTTTCTATTCTTACTAATACTACCTTGCTTGTCTTACTTTGTACATTTCTACTCTCTATAATCTTAATGTTTCTTGTCAACTACCGGGAATGACTGGACGACCGGTATACGATCTGTTACCATGTCCCCAGATCAGCCCCAAGTCACTTCACCTCCTCCTACGTCTCCTCGCAAGCACTACACCGATAATTCTGATGATTCAGATCATGAGCCTGCCCCCAAGAAACCTGCTAACATTCCTCCCATCCCAAGATGTGAACTATGCAAACAGAGAAAGGTGAGCCCCTGCTATGCTTCTACCTAGTCGACAGTGACCAGATTGCCATTGCATTCGTGCGCTGGTTGCATATGTATAATGATGCTGATATACCCTGCAGGTTAAATGCGACAGAGGTCAGCCATCTTGTGGCTGGTGTAAACGTAACTCGGTGCCCTGCGAATACCGCGAGAGGAAGAAGCCTGGCTTGAGGGCGGGTTATGGCCGGGAGCTAGAACAGCGCCTGGATAAACTGGAAGAAATTCTCAGGTCTCATTCTGAAATTCTTCAACACGGCTATGTCAGTAACAGCCTCAACAATGCCTCCCATAGTGTCCGAACCAGCATCCCGAGCATCCCGAGTATCCCGAGTGACTCGGGGACTCCCCGGGAGCCAGCTTCAGTGTTCCGTCAGAACGACCCCGTGAGAACTCCTCGCGCAGAGACAGCCCTCTTCTTGCAGAAGCCCTCTTCATTCCCGCCCGTGACGCAGAGCAACGACTTTGGCTTACCGCCACCAACCCCGTCGATACATTCCATGTCTGATGCCTTCCATTCACATATGCCATTATCTGGAATATCACCGACAAGTCAAATGCAAGGCTTACAACCAAGTGCAGCAACACAAGAATACTATGGAAACCATCAGACTCAATCTCCTGGTATGGCCATTAACCATGGTCAAACGCATCTTTCAGCGGACCAGGACCTTCCTCCCTATGATCTACTTTATGCGCTAGCAGACTTGTATTTCAAACACATAAACACTTGGTGTCCAATCCTGCACAGGAAATCAACACTGGACACATTATTCGGCAGTTCCACCCTGGACGAGACGGACAGGGTGCTCTTACATGCCATAGTAGCCACAACTTTGCGGTACTCTACAGACAGCCGGCTTACGGAAGAGCGAAGGCGTCATTACCATGCCATTTCAAAACAAAGAGTACTTCTCTATGGCATGGAGAATTCATCCATCAAGGCCTTGCAAGCCCTGGTTATCCTAGCACTCGATCTTTGTGGAGACAGTAATGGACCGCCGGGCTGGAACATTATGGCACTCATCACAAGATCTGTGGTTCAGATTGGTTTGGCAGTGGAAACGAGTTCATTCTCAGTCTCGCCAAACTATGCTTCCATCTACACGCTCAGAGCCATGATTCTTCCAGAGCCAAAAGACTTCATCGAGGACGAGGCCCGCCGAAGGCTCTTCTGGATGGTCTATCTTCTTGACCGTTATGCAACGCTTGCTACTGCATTTGAGTTTGCTCTTGACGAGAAGGAGATTGATCGAACTCTGCCGTGTAGAGATGATTTGTGGGTAAAGAACCAGAGAGTGGAGACGAGATGGTTCCAACCCGAGAATCACCCATCAGATCTGCCCGATCATGACACCAATAAGCCCGAGAATCTCGGTGCCTTCTCGTATTATATCGAGATACTTGGAATATTGTCCAAGATCCACAAATTTTTGAAGCAACCGGTGGATATCAGCGCACTGAGTGACGTTGAACAATGGCAGATGAGATACAAAGATCTCGATAACCTCCTCACATCGTGGAAGTTTGGCCTCCCGGGTGAATATGGCAACATGGCCAAATTATTCCAGCCTGGTTGCTCCAAAACCCTGAACTGTGGTTGGATCATGCTGCATGCCACTTACCACACTGCCGTCATTAGACTGCACTCGTCGGCAGCCTACCCGACCACCAGGTCACCAATCTTTACGCCCTCATACTCTGCTAGTCAGCGCTGTCACGGCGCCGTAGAGAACATTGCAGCATTGGGAGAATACGTGGTCCAGAATGGTATGCTCCCCAAACTGGGCCCTCCGTTTGCCTTCACCCTTTGGGTCTCTGCTCGTCTCCTGTTGGTGCACGGCTCAACCGTCGAACACAAGCTATCACCTCAGATCGCCTTCCTCGTTGACACACTGCGGGAGATGGGCAGGTACTGGCCAGTTGCCGCTCGATATTGCCAACTTCTTCAACGTGTTCTTGATGAGCATAGCGACAGCGAGCGAGCCGTCGGGACCACTGGCGAAAGGGTGACACCTTCGTCGGTCAGGATTTTGGCAGACATGCGGAGAACCGCCTTTGATCTCGACTTTCTTATTAGTCGACAGCCAGGACATATTGCAGGTGGGCCAAGCCGAATGCCCAGCGTCACCCCAGCCAGGACACCTGCGGCCAATGAGCTCGAATATCTCGACGTGTTTGATTTCTTCAATGTCCCGCGGCTTCCCTTCAATGCCGGTGACAATGGGCCGACCAATGGTGGTGGTGGTGGTGGTGGCGGCGGCGGCGGCGGCAATAATGGGAATGGAAACGACATGAATATTGACCAAATGGACGGCAATGGCGTTAACCAAAACGGCGCGGCCAATGAGTTCAATATTACAAACTTCATGGTCGATGCAAACAGCGATTGGCTGTTCAAGCAACCTACGCTGAGCAACTAATTGATGGGAATGAGTATCACGAGCCACGGGAAGAAGAAGCATTTACAAACTCAAGCGAGGCGATTGGACTAATAGCGTTGGAATCACTGTAATCATGCATAAGGAATGGGGAAAATCGTAATTGTCATATACTATACCCTCGCTATAATGTTGAATATACATCACCCATTTGTTAACACATTTGAGAGAGCCTTGTGGATGTTATGATCATAGACTACGATGGACATTGAGGTAAGGATAATAGACTCATCCCAACTTAACCGAAGTCAAGCGCTGTAGTTGCATAGTATTTCTGTGTGACAGTAAGTAGATTAGCCACATGGATTCCCGGCTCAAAAGACCAATTCGCAATGCTCCGTACACATTTCATCCTTTCATCCTCTTCCGTTTACTTCCCTGACATGAGTATACTTCAAAAAATTAGATACTGCTCAACTTGGGGCTGCCTTCACACGCCGGAAGAGAGAATTTGGTCTCAATAAAGACCTTTTGGATGCCGTCCTGCTTCTTCTCAAAAGCGTAGTAGACCTTGTCAATGTCCTCGATGCGGTACCGGTGCGAGACCATTTGCAACGGGTCGAGCTCGCCCGTCTTGATCTGCTCTAGCAGGTCCTCCCAGTACTTGTGCACGGGCGCCTGGCCGTTGCCAATGAGGCGGATGCCGCGCTGCATCACGGAGCCAATGTTGAAGTGGTTGGTCTGGTGGTGAAGAATGTGTTAGTGAACTCGTTTGGCCATGCAGTTTTGCAAAGTAGCAGGTGAATAGGATATTGGTATTGGAAAGGGATAGCCGTGTCCATCAAGGTACTCGCTTGTACGACGACATCACGTAGTAAATGATGCACGAAATCCAAAATAAGGAAAAAGAAAATAGAGGACACTCACATAACCAACGTAAATACCTGTGACACCACACCTGCCATAATTCCGTACACTCTCGACCATTTCGTTCAAAATCTCACTTGTATCCGTCTCGGCGCCCGCGAGCATCTCCAACCAGTGCAGCCAGCCCTTGGCATACTCGCCAGCAGCACACTCGAGGGCCACATCGGGGCCGCGGCCGCCGCAGAGCTGCTTGAGCCGCGTAATGACCGTGTCCTGGGTGGTGACGCCAAAGCTGAGAGCCTTGTAGTCCACCACCTCGATCTTGTCGGCGTGGCGGGCGGGCCAGCGGCTCTTGATGACCGAGAGCCGGGGCTCCGTGTCGACAAAGATGATCTTGGCGGCGCCGGCATTGGCGGCAAAGACGCCGGCCATCTGGCCAATGGGGCCCGCGCCGAACACGGCAACGTGGTCCCCGTCGTAGATGGCCGTGTCGTGGGCGCAGTTGTAGCTCGTCGGCAGCACGTCGGACAGGTACAGGGCCTTTTCGTCGGGGACGCCGTCGGGTATCTCGAGCAGGTTCACGTCGCCCAGCGGCACGCGCACGTACTCTGCCTGCCCGCCCGCGAACCCGCCGGTAAAGTGGCTGTAGCCAAACATGCCGGCCGTCTGCGCCCCGTACATGCTCTTGGCCGCCTGGTTGGCGTTTGTCTTTTCGCACTGCGAGCTGAGCTTCTGCCGGCAGAAGAAGCAGTCGCCGCAGGCAATCTGGAAGCTGGCCACATACCGCCGGCCCCTTTGGCACTTGCGCACCCCCGGGCCGACCTCGTCGACGATGCCGCAGAACTCGTGGCCCAGGATGTCGCCCTTGTTGAGCTCAATCACGGCGCCGTGCAGCAGGTGCAGATCCGAGCCGCAGACGGTGCTGCCGGTAACCTTGAGGATAACGTCGCCGTCCTCGAGGATCTTTGGCCGTGGCACGTCCTGTACGGCGACCTTGTTCTTGCCGAGCCAGACCAGCGCCTTCATGGTTGATGAGGCGTCGCCCGTCTCCTTGTAGTCGGCCACATCCTGTTTGATAATGGCCGAGTCATCATGGCCGACCAACTTTTCCACCCCATAAGCTGCTTGAGCCACTGACATATTGGCCGGTCTATAAGTCTGGCTTGTATTGTTGTCTGTTTTTCCCTGGTCCAACCTGTTGGAAATTGCTCATTGATTTATACGCCAGGACCTTCAGATGAGAAGAAGCGTCAAGTTCTAGGACAAATGCATCCAGTAAGTATAATTTCGTCAAACTCACAGTAACACAACACGTTGAGAGAGGAGTTTATATATATCAGTATCAGCCGACATACACATGACAACCGAATGGGGAATGGCAAGCCCTCCAGCTGCCTAGTCTTGTCATTTTGCACAGTATAACGTAACGACGACGACATACGGGCAGTTTCTACTGGCTCTTTCACCCCGCGATGTGACCTGACCCAACGGATATAAGAACGACACAGCATAATCTCAATGACCATGAGCTTATAAAGCACTGCGCAATGCGGATATTCAAAAAGTGTATGACGTTTCGAAACTATAACCATAAAGATTGCACGTTGTTACACATGGTTGTTACGTCATGACTTTGTCGGTAGAACTCTTGCCGGAGCATAGTCCCCGCTGAAGTCTCGAATTGGAAATATGCGAGGGCCAGGGGGCTGCCGAAATACGAGGGCGATGGGGCTAGAATTTAAGCTTAAGTCCGATGTTCCTCGGCGACGTTATCATCGACTCAGCGGTTGTGTTATGTAAGCATTCCGTGTAATGATCATATCTTGTCGCGATGGCAGCATTTGTTTAAAAGAATATCGAGGCAATTCGATTCATGTTTGCAGTACATCTCGCGTCATACCTGGGTAAAGGAGCATGGATTGGATGATTATGGGCGGCGGATCTCCGGGAGTGATGATTGGTCGTTGTTTTACCTCTCTTGGCTTCCGCCGGCCGTTATGCTCGTTCACAAACAGCGTTTCGTCTAGACTCATGCGCACGCGGTTGTACAGATGGATTGCAGATTACTTCCTCCTCCTCTCAGTATCTAGAGCCACCACCAAGTGAAGAGTATAATTCAGTCAAGGCACAACTTCCAATTAATCCATGCTCCCTAGATGAACAAAGACATCAGATTCTTGTCCGACGTCCTGTAACCATTATAAACACGAAGAAACTCCCAAAAACGCCGCCCATGGGGCCAGTCCACTCCTTTTTCCATCTCACTTTACCTGCCAAGGGTATAATTAACGTCATAATTACATGAGGCCGGCTTCCCAGTAGCGAGCCATAATAAACATGTAGAAATCCCGTTCCAGGTCTCAGTTGTAAAGTGGGCGTTGGATCTGTAACAACAGAGGCTGTGCTCGTCACATCATGGTGACACGTTTGTGAATGACCAAACGAGAGCAATCCCAAAGAAGTGTAATAAATTTTTTTTCTCTTTTTTTTCTGTTCTTTTTTTCTTGTTTCTGTTCTCCTGTTCTTTTCTCCCTCTTTTCATCAAGGTGATCTCAACTGCAATTAATGCATTTTATTGGCAACTCTGCCCCAAGCCGGGAAACCTGGCTATGACTGCTTGTTTCCAAGAAAAAGAGCCTTGAAGTCCTCATTTGTTCTTGGAGTAGCTTTTTTGTCTGAAGCGTCTGTAGTCGGCTTGCTGGTGCTGGAAGTATTCGGGTTCGGGGCTCCGACAAATCCTGGACGCGGCTTTGGCTTCTGGCCAGCAGCCGGAGCAGGACGTCTGATCGCTACTTGCGGCATCAAGTTGGATGTCTTGACTTGTGCCTTGCCCTCCTTGAATAGCTCATCAATGGTGCCAGTCTGGATTTTCTGGTTTGCAGCTATTTCATGCCCATTGAGAGCCAGCATAGCCTTGCCAACAGTTGACGCATCCTTGAATTCCACGATTGCACCACCGCGATCTGGTCGTAACACAATCTTGACGATTCCTCCACAGAGCTCTTCGACAAGCGCCCGTACGCGAGCATCGTTGACTGTGTCAGGAAGCCCCAGTATCGCCATGGATCGTGCTTGAATCTCACTCTTTGTCGGCCCGTTTGTCATTTCCACGTCACCGTCTGGGGAAGTGGCCTTGGTCGAGGCAGTAGGCTTAAAATTCGTGTCCTTGCTGATTTCCACGTCGATAATGTTTGATGCCAATTGGGCTTTGTTTAGGGCAGCTGCTGCGCTCTCGGCCTGTTCCTTGGCCTCCATGACAATGAAAGCCGTTCCGCGGCTCTGCCCCTTGATGTCCTTGATGATCTTGACGGAGCTGACCGCGCCATGTTTCTCAAACATGGCACGCAAGTCGTCTTCTGTCGTCTTGTGCGCAATATTCTTGACTCGGAGTTCCCTGCCTTCTGCTACCGCACCCTCACGCTTCTTCTTGCCACCGGGATTTGAATACTTCGAGACGAGCTTGTACTGACGATCCAGCACTTTACCATCAAGGGCTGTGGCCTTGGCCGCTGCTTCAGCATCCTCAAAGGAGACGTAGCAAAAGCGACGGTGTGTGTTGTATTTCAAAGACGGGAAGCGAATGCTGAAAACTTCACCACAGCCTTTGAAGAGGTTACGAATGTAGTCTTCGTCTGCAGTCGGAGGATAATTTGTCACATAGATGGTGAGCCCAGTGCCTGGCGTCACGGAAATCTGGTTGCTGCCAAAGTATTTCTTGTCGCGGAGTAGAGCGGATCGCATGTCGTCGGTCGATTCAAACTCGACTAGAGCAGCTGCGCTATCGACTCCCTTCTTGGTCATCACATTGACAACGCTGCCATACTCCTTGAAGTACTTGCGAATCGCGGTTATGGTCACATCGATGGGTAGATTCCGGACCATAACCGAGGTGTTTTCCCTGTCTCGCTTTAAGCTCTGCTCGTCAGCAGTTGCTTCTTCAGTCTTCGAGCGCTTGTTTGTCGAGGCCTCAACTGACGCGTCACGTTTTCTTTTGGAGCTCGGTCCGTCTTCGTCGCCTGGAGTCGCTAACTGAATGGCTTGTGCTTGTGCCGCATAAGCTGACTCGGCTGCTGCTCGCTCCTGTTCACGGCGCCGCTCCACCCGCCGGCGAGTTCTGTGGATCATATCCAAGGCGCGGCGGAGTGTTTGGGACTGCTCATAGTCATTACAATGCTGATGACAAACCTCCATGATGCGTTCTGGCCAGTCGAGATTCTTCTGTTGCATGGCGCGAAGCAAGACTTCGGTGCCCATGTTGGGTCTGTTGGTGGGCTTGATGCCATTGGCGGGTGTTGCAGGCGTCGGGCTTCGCATTCGAGGTTGGGAGGCATACATTCTCATCTCCCATAGGTAGTAGTTGAGCCAAAAGTCGTAACTGTTGCCATGCAGCGGCTTGTCAGCCATCGTCTTCCATCTTGCGCGCGCACCCTCAATGTCTCCTCGCTTCTCAGTAAGGAACAGAATAAGGATGCGCTCGAGTCGGTAATTCGGATCGCCCTGGTATTCCTCCTTGTACAGCCTCCTGCCCCAAATTCCTACATCCTCTATTGCCGATACCAATCCGAATTCCGCAACGTCGGCGGCGTCTTCAGAGGCGTGGGGAGCCAGAGCGTTGCGCTTCAGGTAGCCACACCACGCAGCATACATGTCAATAACTCCGGGCATGCCGTTCTTGTCGAGAGCAGCAGCGTTCGAGGTGGCAGCGTGCTTGATGGATTCGACGTTATGGAATCCCCAACCCACCTCTTCGGCGCTCAAGATATAGCGAGACCAGAGTGAGCCAGACCCGGGACAGTGTGAGGTGGCGCGTCTCAAAATGTCCAGAGTGTCGGGTAGGGGATGATCCTGATTATGAGGCGTATTGACCGAGTCCCGTAATGTGGATAGTAAGACGAGAAAGTTGAGCCAGATATCGTCATCGAAGGCGAAGACACCAGTGAGGGCCCTGCCGTAGAGCGCCAAGGCAAGCTGGACGGACAAGTTCATGTCCTGAGGTGGAGGGTTTTTAATGGTTGTCTCTATTGTTTCCCAATCGAGGTATTCTTTCATGGCAGCCTTGTAGCCTTGCTCGTCGCCGGAGCGTGCCAGCCTGTTTAGCTCGAGCTCTCTGCGCTCCCTCGCAGCCCATGCCTCTTTGGCCGGCTGGGCAACGGCGGTGATGTCCTTCATTTCAGACTCGTATGCAGAGTTGTTGTACTCGCTGAGGAAGCTGGAGAACATTTGCGACGTATTGTCCCAGGTGGCGTGAGGGATCGACAGGCGGTCGCGAAAGAGGTGGGAGATGCGCTTAACACCATTAGCAGTCCGGGTTCTAGCCAGCTGTTCCATCTCAATCGAGGCCCATCGGTTCCAGAACTCGTGACTGTCGTTCATCCGATACTTGACAGCCTGGTAGCCGTCGCTCCAGAGGCTGAGGGCGTTTGAGAAGGAGAAGAGCTCGCGGCCCATTTGCTGTTCCTCCTCGGGCCATCCTGCCTCACGGGTCTGGCAGTCGATGAATAGTGACCAGTAGTACTCGCAGTAGGCGAGCCATATCTTGAGACTCCAGGGCTCGGCTCTGATGGCTTCCTGGAAGAGCTCGTAGACTTTGACACGGCCCTCGAGATTGGTTGCGCGCTTGGTTTCCTCCTCGACGTACGCGAGCCAATTATCTTCTCCAACGGGGGTCGCCATCTTGGACTGGAATCCGTCGCGAGATGGGCGATGCGGAGACAACGGCCGTCATGTGTTGATTTGGGTTGTGTGTCGCCTCGAAGGGGGGAGATAGTGGGAAAGGAACGAAACCAGGTGGTGTTGATGGTGGTGATGGTAATGGTAATAGGTAGTGTGTTTGTTGGTGGGAATTGGGGGGGGTTTGTCGAACGGGCGCGGCACTATCAAGTTCAGGTCGTGTCTTTTGATTTTTGGGGCTTTTTAGGCAAGCTTTTGGCAAGGTACCACCTCTAGGTGATGTATGGTTGGTTGCACGTAGGCCAATTGGAGGCTTCCACCAGCCAGTACTTGATTAATTGTAGCTGGGGCTCCAGGGTAGGTAAAGCACCGCACTTGGACCTGTGACTGGACTTTTGCAGTGGGTTCTTTTTGGACTAGGATTGAATCGGGTTGGAGCATGGACCGCGCCGACTGGACATGGGAGCTACAGGTGACCTTGCACATTACCTTCTTGGCCCTGCTGCTGCTACCTTCTACCTACCGTAGCCCAGCTGTTTCTTTGGCGCCCTGGAGCTAAAAAGTTTCCGCTGACTGCCGACTGGTCGAGAGTGGATGATTATTATGATTATTTCGTCTGTTCTTTGGGTACGAATTGCTTCCAGGTTCTACAACGACTTTTACTAATAATCTTCAAATGCTTACCCATGTCTCCCTCGTCATTTTATTCTACTTTTTGTTTTGATTCGATTTAATGTCCACCCGGTCGCCTTGAGTCTTATTCTCGTCTGCTATGAATATTTGTATTTCTTGTTACTCATGCTGAAAGCGGTGTGTCTGCGTGTCATGAGAAAGTGACAGTCGCCGCCTGTCACGTTTTGCTAGAGCTCGGAGTTTACAAATCCTCGGGCGGGGAAGAAGAAGTGGTGTGTATACTATTCGTCCTTGGGCCTGGGTCTGTTTGCTTGCGACCGACTGCAGCTAGGCAGAACAAGAGGAAGGGGAAAAAAATCTCAAGCCTTCAGGAGGGAGATTGGGAAGACTTTTTCCCGATTCAGTGCAAGATCTGCACAAACAACTGGAGATGATTTCGGTCGGCTATCGTTGACTCGTGTCTTCCCTGAGTTTCCTCTTGAAAAGTGGATATGGGAAAAAGGAGTTTCCCAAACGCGTGCGCATACGACCACGATGGATAGACACACAATGCACATGTACAAAGAGAAATAGGATAAATGTTTACAGTCTCTAATAATGTAGCTACGTTGTAGAAAAGTCAACAAAGGAGAGAGGCCCTGGCTCAAGTCAAGCAGGCAATATCTAGTCAGGAAGGGCATCAGAATTAAGACTACGTACGTACTCTGTACCTTTTACTATTATCACTGCCATGACTTTTTTTTATTTTTGCTTCACTTCTTTGCGACCCTCTCTCTCTGTGGACTGTTTAATTTTTTTTTCCTTCTTCTTCGTCCCTCCCTGCGCCTGAGAAGTGTCTCGTTACCGGGACAAAGATCTTTGGAGACCCCCCACCTTTTGTGGAGAGAAAAATGGCAGATGCAAGCCTCCTCAAAAGCAAATGGCCTGATGCATTGCGAATCACAACTAATAGAAATAAAATATCTCGTCTGTAGTATACCCTCTACTTGACAAAACATATCTCACTGACCATGGTAGCATTTGTTCGTCATATGTTGTAGTAGAGTAGCATTATGTCAACCTATCAAACCTCGCCGAGCGGTTGGCAGGTCCCGCGCATGGGCTTGAGCTCGACCCCGTCCAAATGTGATGACAAGGCCAATTGAGATGACCGTTCAATGCACCCCATTTTACTGTGATACCCATACCACCCAAAGAATTTACCATGACATCTTCTCAGGTGACATGAGCACTGGAGCTTGCCCGCGGGAATAACAGAAACACCCCCGGCAAGAAAAGGCATCCCTCCCCTGGGGTCTCCCCTGGTGCTCGGTGTTTGCGCTATGCTACAGTGAGGTAGGTATGCCAAGCCACCCGTGGACGTTCCCCTCAACTCCCCTACCTACCTGGACCCGGACGTTTGCGCGCCTCGCAAAAGAAAGGCACACTGACGAGAATCTCGCAAAGACCACACACGACCTTCGTGTTCCTTATGTTCCTTGTATGACCTACAGCTTCATTGTTCTAATAATGGATTTGTGCAAAGCCACTGAGCACTGACGCCTTGTAAGAGAGGAAGGAAAAAAGACGGTCTTCCCGTACACTTAACTCTTGCGGGCTTTTGGCCTCTGCCCAATCTTGCCGAATAACATTGTCAATAGGGAGAGAGGGCAAGCAGTCGGAGATATACATTGGTGGAGGACGGGAAAGAGAACAGATGACGGCCGTAGAGACAGCGGCAAGAAGAGACATTGATTCCATCCCGTCTTACTCTTTTATGTGTATACACACACAATACATGCTGATATTATAGGCGAATCCGCAATGTATGGTATAAAATTGTGAGCGGCCACTGCCCACGAGGCTTGCTTCGTAAGCGTTCGAGGCCACGATCGATTGGCAGGGTGTCAGGGCCTCAGTTCTAGGCCACCTCAAAAAGTCCAGTGAGTGGCTCTGATCCCCAGAATCGAAGACGACGGCAAGGAGGAATAAAAAAGAAAAAGCCCGTTTCCCAGGTACAGGCTTCTTCTACTGTCCGCCTATTTACCACCATGCACTCGTACGTACAGCCTATACCTGTTCAAACTAGCTTCTTTGTCTGCCGCCTGGTCTCTGGAGTCTCTACCCTTTCTTCGCAAATGCCCAAGGCTCTTTTTAGCCCAGCCCTGTCCTGACCCAGCAATGTCGTCACTCGCTGTTGACGCTCCTCGGCACCCCTTGAGAGCGGGCTGCATATTAAAGTGCCCCGAGAGATTAACTTCTCCACTTGCCTTGTGTGCCGACTACCGCCTGTCCAACCACAACACCCTCTCCCCCTTCTCCGTCCCGGGGGCCCGAGCTTGTGTGGTCCCAGCGACGTGGTGCCTGTATTGTGGTGGATGAGGGCCGACCACAAGGTCAAAGAAAGATACACAGTAAACTGACGACTACCACATGCTGCTTCATGACTCGTCAGTCTTCTGTACAACACTAGATTATCTCAGTCGGTGGCTTACTCTTATGGCGTTCGGATAATGAAGACGTCAAATATTTTAACTCTCAGAGATACGAACCCATGAGCAAAGCACTGTTTTATTCTAATGATTACGCATTAATATATTCCTGGCCATAACGGCAGCAAAGTCCAATCGCTGTGATCTCCACGACCGTCGCTATCTCTCTATATTGTTTGATACTGTTGAATTATTCCAATTTGCTCGAGGCACCAAGTGAACGAGTGGTCTGATTTCGGGAAGGCTTCTCCAGTGTTTTTCCATCACTTGTCGTTTCTTGTCTGAATATTGACTGAAGCGCTGTGCACACGTCAGTAGCAGCCTCTGTGGCAGGTGGGGCCAGTCGGTGCCAAAATATTGGGCGAGGTTTTCGTATAATTTGTAGCTGCCCTCATCCTCTATCTGATATGTTTCATCCATGAACACCCTGGCTTCCGCCCATCGCTGTTCGAAGTGCCTGATCAGTTCTGTCCCATTCAGGACGCCGGAAACTTCACGATGCCTCTCACGGAACTCGTGATTGAGATTATTCGTCCGCGAGCCGGGTTCGTAATCCTTTACTACAAGGACAATTTGTCAGTCGTCTGTTTTTTTTTTTTTAAAAAAAAAAGACGAAGAGGAGAGGGTTATATGAAGCCGAGATGGTGCACTCCATATCCTTCGTCAAAAAACAACGCAGTCAAGCCAAGACGAACCGGGCTTACTTACAGCTTTTAACAAACTGGTCCCATTCGGACACGTCCGCTTCAATCCCCAAGGTGGACATGAACCTTGGGATAGCACTCTCGACTGTGGATCTCGCCAATCGGCATTGGTAGCTGTCGAACGGATCGTAGAACACACACTGGCCTTTTATATCTTCTTCTTGAAATTGAGCACTTCTGAAGTACTGATCATACTCGGTTCTTGCTGTGGATTGCATAGACCATGGGCCATATCTCCTGGTTGCTGATGTACGGATTCTGGTTTCCCCCACGACGACGAAGACTGTTGTGAGCTTTGGGAAAAGTTGCGGGTCTGCAAAAAAAATCAAGAAATGAAGGGTTTCCTCAATGTAAGACTCGTGAATCACAATTTCTTTCGCCTCTCTCGTAAGCGGATCCAATAGTTGGGCGAGAAGTTTCAAATGGTAGCAGGAGTCTACCGGGAACTTCCAGCGATGACAGCCCCAACGACAGATAAATGTTTCAGGTTTCCAAACATTCAGATCTCGATGATGGGTACGAAAATAGTCCAATTCCACATCTTCGTAGCTCAAGACGAATCCGATGCGATCTGTATTTGGGTTGAACCATGTATACCTGTTTTCACGCCATGGCCCGTGACGGTCCTCGCAAGGCAACTCTATCCGCTTATATTGTGTTCGTGCATAATAATATGCATCTCGAGAGACAAGAGCGATTCTTGGTAGAGAGGTTACTGGGCGAAACCTGCAACATGCGACATTAGTCACTCATATCATGCTGAAAGGCCTATATAACCACAACTCTTGGCTTCGCGGCCGAAGAGGCGGAAAAAAGCCAATGGCCTCCATGTAGAGAACTAGGTCAAAACAGGAGTGGAAAATGAACTTACGAAACATTCAGCTCATATTCATGTGGCCCCCAACCATTGAATTGGTCTGCGCTAGCCACTGATTCTCGAAATAGCCAGAGTTGAAGGGTAGTGCGAGGGAACGCTGCATCGTAGATCTTGATTCTTAGTTCGGCACATAAGTCGGCCCAGGGGGAATGGGCTGGCAATTTATCGCCCTCATGGCTCTTTTTACTCTTTTGCCTCCTTTTATTTCTCTTTCTGATTCGCTTCTGCCTCCTTTTCGTTCTCTTTATGGTTCGTTTCCTGCATTCCCGACATGGGTTTCGTGTCATTTTTGGCAAGGAAGTAGACCTGTTTCAGAAGCGAGAGGGTGCGCCGGATTTTTGCAATACTGAAAAGCGAAGAGAATGTCGAGAAGAATGGCGATCATGCAATAGATGTTCTGTAATGGCGGGACACCGAAACGGAGTCGAGTATCGATAGTGTTGTAATGATACCGCAATTATCTGGTTCAAGGCGTCTGGCCTCGTGGCATAAGACTAAAAAGAAGTGTAGTTTTGTTGTTGTTGTTTGTTGTTGTTGTTCCTTTTGAGGTGGGAAGTGAATAGTTCCTGGCTGGTTCTGAGATGCGTCAATGGAATCAATCCAAAGCGCTCCTTCCACCATGAATATTGAACCATGTGGACGTACATGCCTTGTTTGATGTGAGCTTCTGCTTTCCATAGTTGTTAGTCTACGACGCTTCTGATCCCACGGCCGCCACTGGTCACCAGACTTCACTATTCCCATGTAACCATAAATACAATCGAATATGAGGTATGTTGTCGATGGAAGAGAGAAATTACCCTTGGAATAATAAGTCTCTAGATTTTCATGCTGCTTCGAGAGAGTAAAACGCGGCGATGAGAAATAATATTGCAAACTACCTAATACACTTATCTACCATGGTGGATCGTTATGGCCAAGATGTACGAATAGATTGTGGTGAAGGCCAGGACATAAAGCGCCATCTACATTCGAGAACAAAACTACTCGACCTCCCAACCTGGAAGGTTTCAAGCGTGGATTTTCACTACCGAAATGCCACTCAACACAACGGGAGAACAGTACAAGGCCGGGAAACTGCGTTAATCGAGCATGGAACCTTGGTCCGGGCAAAACCAGCTCTGTCGCGCAAGCATCCTACCCTGTAATTATCTTTTGTCCTGTACCAGTGGCGGCTCACGCGCATCAATATCCAATTCGATGACACTTTCCGCGACGCCGGGATATGTATAGATATCAACGACACGGAAACCGGCTCGGTCAATCAGTCTTCGCCAGTCCTTTTCAGTCCGCTCACCACCGTTGGTATGTGCCAGCATCTGCATACTTTAAGAACATGTGTTAGCAGTCTCTTTTTTTTGAATCTATATACGAGTGACAAGGAGTTCTGCGGAGAATTTGCACCAGAGATTGGTATAGCACAGCAGCCCCCCTTCTTCCAAAAAAAAAAAAAAAAAAAAAAAAGTAGAGGGACAAGGAAGCATTTGTTCGTAAGAGATCATGAAAACGGAGAAAATCAATACAAGAAGTCACTTACTCCATGGTGGTCGAGGCGAAACTGGGGCGGTCATCGGCAACCACAATCTCGAACAGCAGGACCCGCGAATATCCCGGGCGCAGGGCGGGACGCAGATTCTCGAGGATCCGGACGCCATCATCATCGCCCCAGTCGTGCAGTATCGAGTGCAGCGAGTAGGCACGAGCGCGGAGTGGCTGTGGGGTGAAGAAGTCGTGGACCTGCACCTCAAAGGGGGGTTCTGCTACTTCGATGCTGGCGAGAACCGCCTCTTGGTCCTGGAGGATAATCTTGCCAGGGAGAGATGGGTACCGCCCGGTGAATTCTATCATGTCGTGCCCGCGGCCGCCACCAACGTCGCATAAAAGAACGTCGCTATAGTCTGCATCAAATCCTTCAATGATGCGCTCAGTCACCTTGATACTCAGGTCAATTGATAATTTCTTGGTTATCATGGGTAGCAAGTATCAAGGAGCCTTCCATAATCACACTATAGATAGGTAGGTATAGAGACTTGCTTACTGGGTAAAAGCCGGAATCGAACCAGCTTGGTTTGCCTGCGCGATAGGCCGACATGAACTGAGCAAAATTTGCCAGATTTGGTGGATGTTCTTGAAGCCACGGGAAGAAGGGTATTTTCGAGTCCCAGGCGTATTGAAAAGGCCCGTCAGTGTCGGTTTTGGGACCCTGATATCCTGTGCTTTTGGTCCACTCTGGGAATCTGGTACCGTCGCGTCAGTCAGCTACACGAGTCCGAATGTGACTGGTTCAGGTCTTCATGTCGGAAAACTCACTTGAAAAACGACGGCATGCCACTATCATAACAGAACTCAATACTACTCTGGTAGTTCTGCTCTGCAAGGCCATTGCTCAAGGGCGTACTCTGCCACTTCCCTTGCGATAGAGTGAGGACGTGCATGGCAGATATATGACTAAGATACCTTTGAAGTAAACTCAAGTCCCATGATCGACCAGTCTTCTCAGCCAACTCTGCAGTCGTGAGGCCTTGCGGTGCATCCCTAAGGTATTGAAAGATCTTGGTCTCGACGCAAAGTCGAATGATTCCTGATTTGCATGGCTGTTCTCCCTGTTAGAGCGCCGTCTCGACTTCAGCGAGACTTGATGGATTGCCCTACCTCGGCCCAGAATGTCCTCTGTAGGAATTCACTGGGGATTTCGAGCTTTCCCAGAAGGGCCAGCGTTAGTTCAACAAGGGTGTCTCGACTACCGGCTTCATCATTCTCATAGGCATTCCTAACGTTTGCAACAGAGTCGAGCAAAGACAATATATCCTTTGTGGGCGGCATCTTTGTTATTACTGAATACGGCTTTCGCGACAAGTGATGGCAAATGACTCCTTCTTATCCAGACTGAGGAACGCTCTATTGAGGGAATCATATCATTTAAGAACTCATGCATGCGGGGTCATCGAATGTCGCCCGCGTCCCAAGATAATCCAGCATATCAGACTATTGAGCTGTGTTCGGAAAGGTTTCCTCATGCGTCGATGACGGGTGTGGGGCATTGATTCAAACAGGTATGGCAGTGGCCGAGGGACGGCCGACTCGAGCGCAAACACCATTCTCGTCGACCTTCGGCATATCAAGAAGGGCATCCTATCGACCTATCATCTCAGAGCTCATGCTAGCATATGATTGGTGGCTCGCTCGCTGTCTAGCCAAGTAACCTGGTTGAGATATTCCGAGGCCTGAGATGACGGGCTGACTCTTTAGCATGGGGGCGCGATGTGACCGCGTTTTTTTCCTTGCATGCTGACGCAGTGTGACGCTGCGGAGAGATCGGGATTGGGCGCCCTTGGAATATTGGACCACGTGTTTGCTATAGCTTCGGATCCGAATTGTCGGGCTGTGTAACGTGAATGGAATACAGATATTGGCCCAAGGATACCAGATTTTCGAGTCGGCCAACAAAGGATCTAAATCGACAACGGTTTTGATGAAATGTCCTGCTGTTTTTCGTATCACTGACACGAGAATCATTAATTTCTGTTGCAAGACTCCGCAATTCGGCGTCCAGAGTAAATAGACAACCCGGAAACCTGACAGTTCACCTGTGTTCATCAAACTTTGGGAAAACGATTGTTGGCTAATACCACTGGGTGAGAGTCATGGCTTTTGGATATCTCGAAATGCACTTACTGCAATCTTCAATCATGCAAAAGTATTGAGATCCAATTGGCACGGCCTCTGATCTTCTACTTCCTTTTTCACCGCAAGCCCCTAACCAAACTCTTACCTGCAATGTGTTCATGGCACCAATTCATTCTCAGAACGTTCACCCGGCCTAAAATGATACATATTGTCATGCCTTGAACGAATGAACCTGCCTCTCAACATATCTCCTAGTAAGAAAGAATGTGACGGTGACCGAGAAGATCAGCAACAGCGGTACACCGACACCAACACCGATACCCACCCCGCGACTCCATAACTGGTTGAACTCCTCCTGTCCTATCCATTTCTGGGTGACAAAGTACTGGTAGAGGAACGCCGGTTGCACCGTGAACGGGCTCGATGTATCGCTTTGGGTATCATTGTTGGAACCCGTCGCGACTCGGGGCTGATCGATCACGAGGACATTGCCCTGGCCCTGGCTCGCATGATCGCGCGCCTCGGCTGCCGTCATGTTGGGCGCTAGAGTAGTCGGGAATGAGCGGAGGACCTCGCCCGGACGAAAGATAAAGTAGCTACTATCCGTCACATCTAAGACGATATATCAGAATCATTGTTGTCGCGATACATGTGCTCCTCCAAAAGAAGAAGAAGGAAACAAGGACACTCGAGAGGGGCCCAAGGGGCCACTTACTGACTTCCCACGTGGCGGCAGATGTCTCATCTGCATTGACATTTTCCATGTGCCATTGAATTCGGACCGGTCCATCATGAAATGCCTTCCAGGAGATATTGAAGTTGTTCTCTTCGAGCAGGACGGCGGATCCGGGGGTTTGAGGAGTGGGTGTACGAGTATATGTACCCAATGGGTATGCACAATCCCCGGCTGGACTGTCCGGGTCGCACCAGATGAACGAAGTCAAGCAGATGTCCTGCTTACATTGGCGAGTTGTGGGATCCCAGCAAAGCCCCAAAGTCGCGAGCAGTGCTGTCCATATCAATGTACGAAGTGCCATGGTTTCTGGCTAGGCTAGGGTGACCAGTTATATTTGAAAAGATAGTAAATGGCTCAAAGCTTTGATAGTCACAATGTTATTGTCAACAGAGACGAGTCTTATATCTGTTCAGTAGCTAGCAATGGCAATTGTCAGGCGGGGGCTTGGTATATCTTGGCATCGCGTCAATACAACATGATTTATTTCTCATGCAAAAACTACAGCCTGTATGAACGTTGGATCAGCAGCCAAACGTTGTGTGGCGTAAGCACAGCATACTGATACCAAATTGAATAGAGGCTGAGAAGATGTCACCATAGCCCTGGCATTCAGTACAGAGTATATGATCTGATAAATGAAGGATGCGCTAAGCTGTGAGGTAGTGCTTATACTGCGCCGAAATCTAGTGGCAGAGTATGAGCCTCTTGCCATTGTCGCACGCTTTTGATGATCTGATATGGCCTGGTGAGCGGCGATCATGAAATCCTATCTTTATGACATGACAATAAAATTAGACGAATAAGGTTCAGAGACTTTAGGCAGAAAAAGACCAAATCCACTTTTGACGTGCAGAAAGACAAAGTCCGATGTGGCGAGGGTTGAAATCGGGGGCATGGCCTTGGTTTGATGAGCCAGTTTCAAGAGAACCCGCCGTGGTTTTTCTTTTTCCCTTTCTTTTTCTCTCCTTCCTTTCATCCTTTTATCTTGGATTGCTCCGCCTTTCTACGCTGTTATGGTTCCCAGTGAACTGCGGATGGCTCCGAGGTAGATCCATATTCTCAGTATATATACGTTGCCTCATCTCAATTCTTCTTCTCGGCCACATGAAGAATACTGCTCTCATCAGATCTTTCGGATCATCTGATCGAAGAACCACTCAAGGGGTTTGGACGGTCTGTCGAATTATATACGCCTTGCAGTAGAAAATGAAACACTATCGGCCCTATTTGACAATCACCCAGAGAGCCTCAACCACGATCCCTCAAGTGTAACCAGATTGAACTCTCGAATAAGGCGTCATTTCTCAAGCATGTGATGCCAATACATGCTTACAAATCTTCGTCATCATTGGTAAAAAAGTGAAGTGAAATACTAGTGAATCTTGACACTGCACCTGACTTTTGGAGCAGAGGCGGCATCAATTGTTCGTGTTGCAGACACTTTTCAGCTGCTGCAGTGTGGTGATCATAACGCCAATGAACAGCGTATATTTTCTGGCAGCTACTAAATAGGTATCACATAGATTCGATGTTATATGCAAAGCATACAAATGCTGGACTTAGTCCATGCGTAACTATTGGGGGCTGTCAGGCCATGGACAAGTGGCATGCATTGTACGTGTATTACACGACGTTATGTAGCTTCACAGAGCCATCTGAAGCCAATCAGCACAACCATAGATATCAAGTCTGATTGCTATTCTTGGTTTTGAGGTCTCATTGAGCAACATTCTGCAATGCTGACTGATACACTCAACGACTGGCCAAAGACGCTGGTTCACAGGTATCGTTTCGAGAGCGTAATTGTACACGAGCTAAGCACTGGGCTAGGACATCATGGTGGTGAATTATTTCGTTGCAATTTTTGTTCACATTGTCTCCAACGCATCTATGAGTCTATTCCTCAAGGCAGTGTGTACCTGATCGATAATCTCCATCTCGATGTTGTCACACTTGTCCTCGGCTTTCCCCTGCCGTTCCTCGAGTTCGAGTTGACGTTCTTCGATGGCGTCGTGACATTGCTCCAAGCCAGCAACTTGAGTTTCCAGGTCTACGTTTTTATTCTCCAAGCCTTGAATCCTCTCTACTTGTGACTGATTTCGAGCTTTCATTTCCTTGAGCTCGGCACTGATTTGGTCCTGGGTTTTCCGCATTGCACATAGCTCATCTTTGAGGGCGCTGTTTTCATCTTCCAAGTCTTGAGTTCTTCTGAGTACCTCGTTGAATTTGGATAGAAACATGGCCACAGGATATGACATATTGAGATTAACTTCTTCATTCTTTTCAACACGCAGGTCGCCGGCCAAGCGCTCGCTGTATGCTTCAGCATCGGCCGTCGACAATCTTTGACCATCCAAGCGCCGTCGGGAAGACTTGGCGTCGAGCTTTGCACTGTCACGTAATCTCTTTCTCGGTGAGTCGGCTGCTGTGCTAGCCTTGCCCTCGGATGCCTGGTAGGGAGGTGGACTAGCCGTGACTACCAGGTCGCTTGCATCGGACTCGGTGATCCAGTCGTTGGTTTTTGAAGGTGCAGGAAGACCTTCGACAGGCTTATCTGATCTCTTATATGCTGGCGGAGTGGCTGCTGCAACAGTCGAGTCACCCGATTCAGACGCTGTGCTGGTATCCTTGCGTTGGATGGCCTGGGAATCAACAGTCGCAGTGCAGGCATTCAACACCTTGCCGCCAGCCCCACCATATAAAGCCCGTAGCCACCATTCCTGCTCCTTTTCCTGCTGCTGTTGATCATCGAAAGAGATTGGTGATGTGATGGCTTGCTCGAGGTATTGAAATTGTTCTTTCGACAATGTTGTGTGTGGCATGAAAACGACAAATTCGAGGACTGTCGCCAACAAGGTCATTGTTTGGAGTGTGCGTTGGGAAGCTGGCTTTAGAGAGAGATCTTCGATAGGTTGAATGAGGTTGCCAGGGTGATTGAGTTGGAACCGCACGCGTGTGATGCCGCCCAGAAGCTTGGGAATGATATCTTGGTCCATTTCTGGAACCGTAGTCATGTCGACATGATGGGTCTGTTCAAGCGAATAGATGTGATGTCGGGGCACTTCGAAATACAGAGTCGTTTTCTGTTTCTTCTTGCCAGAGCCATGGCCAAAGACGGTTACATTGAACCTGAATGTCACAACAGGTGGGTCGTAACACGTCTTGAAGGACATGCGCATTTTCTCTCTGTCGGTCTCGTTGCCTTCATCGCTGTTTCCTCCACCGGCATGCGCCTCAAATGCAACGATGACATTGGCAGCCTCTTTGCGAAAAGGCTTGTTTCGTGTAGCATCTGGATCCGCACTGCCCGCGTCGTCTTTGGCGGGTTGCATAGTTGATTCACTCATGGACCTAGATGGAGCGGTGATCAAGAGGGAGCGACGAAGATGCTTACCGTTGAGTACAGATAATCGTGCTCACTATCATGGCTATCACTTGATCGGTCAGCAGTCAATCGGCGTTCCAAGGTGACTCCTTCTCTCGGTCACCTTGCTGGAAGCCTAACAACAAGACACGACCTAGGCTCGCTACCGGTAGCCTGTGAAGGCTCCTTGCCCAAGATCCCAATCCTTTCAGCTTGCGAAACGCACACTGAGTAGGAGGTGGTCAATAGATGATCGAGGGTGCGAGTGCTAGTCAGTCTTTTGATGGCAACAAGCAGCTAGGTAAGACCGAATGAAGGAGTACCGTCGAAACTGATGGAGATAGATGACCTTGGTTCAATGACTTAACACGACCTAGGCTCGCGACCGGTAGCCTGTGAAGGCTCCTTGCCCAAGATCCCAATCCTTTCAGCGAGGGTGTCTTGAGTGTTTGCTCACCCGCGACACACGCGCTGAGTAGGAGTCGGTCAATAGATGATCGAGGGTGCGAGTGCTGGTTTAGTACAGGTCATGAACAGCAAGGTAGGATGGGGACGAGTGTTGTGGTGATGCGTTGAAGATGGCGAGTGTGTGTGATTGACGATGGTTTGCAAAGGCCTTGAAGGTTGGCCGGGCCCCAGCCACCTTGATTGCCTCAGGTGCCTAGTGCCTGTCGCGTGCTTTAGTACTAGCGCGTCAATCACGTGACTATAAAACAGAGCGGGGCTTCAAGTTCGCTTCCCTGGCTTGCATGTGGGGCTGAGTGGTGGCAGGCTGTCCAGGCTCACACTAGAACTGCGGTACGAACCGTCTACGTTTGGCTGCATGTGGCGTCCATTCCAATCACTATGCGAATATTGGGTTGCGACACTGATGACTCTTGTTATTGGCACATGTTAGCATGCATGCATCGTCCAACAGTTTCGAAAGCGGCTTGCTGACAGTGTACGAGTTACTGCACTGCTATAATAAGCTCCATTGCCGGATGGCCCGCATGCCTCATTATGCCAGATATTTCTGTCGTCAGATGCAAGATACCAGATATGACGAGAAGGCTACAGCCTGCCCAGAGATAATGGGGACGGACAGATAATATCCGTGTGTTTTTACTCCTTGATTTCCGCTTTGATTAATGATAAATGTTCGGTCAAATTTATGTTTGTAAAGTTCTTATGTAGGCAATCAATGCAAGCAAGTCCTAGAGAGTATTTCTTATTTCAATACAATCTGCAAGTGCAAGAATAGACTGCACACCTAGTAGTGAAGGAATGTCTCAAGCCCGTCGTGATTTTGAGTTCTCAAATCTGACCCTCTCCTCTTCCCAATTCTTCTCAATGAGCTTCTTCTTCTCGACACTTCTGACCACTAGGCAAGCAGGCAGGTGAGAGCCCGGATTGCCAAACATGGCCCCGGGATAATCCATCGGATTCAAAGGAAGCTTTGCTCTAGGCGCAACAACAACATTGAAAGACCAAAGAATTCTCATGATGGAAACCGACAGACTCCTTTCTGCGACGTGGACCCCTGGACAGATTCTTCGGCCAGAGCCGAAAGCAAAATGGTCACGATCGGCGACGTCGGGAGAATTGATACTCTGCTGGGCCTAATCAAGGTTAGGATGGTTCTCGTCAGAGAAAATGTAAAAGGCGACTCACAGTAGCATGATCATGAGCATAACGTTCGGGCATGAACGCATCAGGGTCCTCGTGTCGTGATGGATCGTGTTGAATGGCCCTTGCACACAAGTCAGTGAATATGGAAGATGAGCTAGCAACCGAGGCACGTACCAAGCATTTATATGTAAGCGAGAGCCCTTGGGAATGAGCATTCCCTTGTACTCGAGATCCCTGGTAGTAACATGAGGGTGACCAAGCGCGACTGGTGGTCTCCATCTCCAGACCTCTTTCATCATGCATCGCACGTATGGAAGATTCTGGAGATCTTCCCAGACGGGCACTCTATCGCCCACGACCCTGTCTTCATAAAATCTCAGTTTATGAACATCAATCCGTAAGTTATTGTATGAAACTCACCAATCTCCTCTTGGGCCTTTCGCTGGACCTCAGGAAATGTTATCATTGCTTCTAGAAACGACATGGTGGACATTTTGCTCTGCCCCAGAGATTAGCGTCATTCACTGCCTGAGTGAGAGGTACTGTACCGTATCGGCAGCCCCCTGGATCAACATTAGATTCAAGTATGAGGCTTCCTCCTCGGATGCGAATCCCAGGCGCTTCTCATCGGTCAAGATCCGATACAGCATCGTCTCTTTGGCATTTGGAGCCGTCGAGCCACCGCTCATGAGTTGCTACATGGAGGTCAATATAGACTAGCGACTCGACCGTGGAAAGTTACTGACGTCTTTCAATTTGATTGCCCATTTCAAATTGTCAAGAAACAAATCGCGACCTTTGCGCTCCCAAGGTTTCAGGGTTAAGGGTAACTTTTGCAAAAACGGAAACGTATCAACGATGTAAGACCCGGGAATGGTCGCTGTCTTATTAGTATTGAAGTGCTGGTATGATCCTCATTGGCTCACCTTTGATGTACTCCAAGCCAGAGTCTGATTGATATTAGTAAACCTCTCCCTCCATGATCACAGGTGGATAGAAATACCGTGGATGTAGTCGATATTTGGGTCGTGTGTGCTCTTGATCTGCAATTTCGAGTTAACAACTGCGCTGTCTCAAATTGTGCAGCAGGCTGACCTCCAATCCCAAAGTCTGTAGGGCGAAAGTGCTGTACGTGTATCTGCCAATCTGAGCCCACAGGTTCTGCTGATCCGTCCCAGCGTCTTGATCAACCGATGTTTCATATATGAATTTGGCCGTCTCATAGTACAGAAACCTGGGAATATCAGCCTCTTTTAACACTTGACCACAAGATTTCCGACTTACGGAAGTCCGGCATCGGCTCTGACGGGGCTCGTTAGTTCGGAATGAGTAATCTTTCGTTGGTGCTGATGATTATGTTGTGAGATTAGTTCCATCGCATAAAAGCTTCGGGTCTAATTACCTTCCAACGTGGATCGGAGGCTCTGGTGAGTCAAAATATATTAGCTTCTCAATGTTTTCATGACTGTATAGAAATTTCCACCAATTGCTTAAACTACCGCTATCAGGTAGGCAGGTATTTCTCGAGACAAAATTACGGGACCGGGAAATTTCAAACATAGACTCTTCTTCAACAGCATGAAAGAGTTATGAACATCACAGATTTTGACTACTTACTGCAGAAAGAGCACATTCCAAGAGTTGGTCATGATGTCGTTGGCTTCGATCCAGTTTGGTCTTTCAGATGTGCTCGCAGACTTCCTGTCCATGAGCTCCTTTGTATGACATCAGTACGATATTGTGACAATTGATATTCTTCTCTCGTCTCACCTTGACAGCAGCATCAGAGTTGAGATAGTATATAGTGACCGGTCCTAGCTTGACGCGAAAGATTTCTCCATATTGGCGCGCCCACTTATTAAGCAGTAGGTGTAGACTGAGATTCTTCGCGGCAGGCACATACTGCAAGACATTGCCAATCAAGGGGAGTCCAGGTGGTCGAGGGGGTAGTTTGCCATTGTGCCTCCACTGCTGAATGAGGTGATAACAGACAAGGCACACCAGGCCGACGACACCAAGCAAGTTCAAGTTGAGCGACATTCTTTTTGGATTTTCATGAGTATCATTCAAAACTTTGCAAATAAGGTGATGGATAAAGTATCGTAGGAGTGGATATTTGAGGATTTCGTTAGTATTCCATTGTAACTATGAGAAAGTACGCGTTGTATCCCGAAGCAGACCGCCGAATCGCACATTCCTCACCAAAGCCGCGGGGATCTACTATTGTAGTCGATGCCTGCAGGCCCGGGGCGGAAATTCCGGCGTCTGGATTCCCTGTATGCCGGAGTTGTGTATAGGATGCAATTTTAGCGTTTCAGTATGCGGAGTAAGGCTTGAGATACCTTGTGTACTTTTCAGGAATGGGAAATCCCGAACATCCGCTGACTCAGCGGTCTCGGTGTATGAGGTGACATTGCAGCACGCATGTTCTACTGCCTTTTTCGATCTAATGTCGTGGTTTGCATGGTCGATCATCCATTCAGCGCAGCTCGAATGAATTCGGTTGCCAATTCTGTCTATTTTGGAAAGAATGATCCCTGTGATTGACTTATGAACTAAAAAAACTGACAAATGTCACACCGTAGATCACCGCTCTGGGTACATGAAATAATTCTTCAGCATCTTTCTTCTGAAGCTCGAAAAGATCGACTCTTGGACTCTTTTATGAGCTCCTTCGTTCACAACATCTCTTTGCTATTGTCTCAATTGAGACAAACCGAAGATGAGTCAGCCATGGCGGTGATCCATCTAATCGGCGGCCATAACATGTCCAGCCTTACTACCGGCCATCTTTTCAGCTAGTTTTAGAGAAGCCAGAGCTATGCAGTCTTCCAAAGTCTTTGCAGCTAGCGAGTATTGAGGGCGCAGCAAGTTCAGGTAGTCTGCCGTGGACACGAGATGGTGCGGCATCACCTCGAAGTCGCCGCGCGAAGTCGTGATGTAATCTTCCCATTGCCACTTCGGCCAGTCGATGGAACCTCTGCGATAAAGCATCGCAGCTGGCAGTACAGGGCAGGCTCCGCCGTGCAGTAAGACCATAACAGCTCTCAGAAGTCCTTCCTGCTTTACTGGACCCAGATTGCTGCCAATGCCGTCCCGCGTAGTTGACACATTGTCCAAAAATACTAGAAATGACACCCATATTGATCCAGAGTCTGAAATCTCGTTCGGGTCAGCTCCTAATTCTAGCGCTTGCTGAACAAGCGCCAGATCTGGCAAGTGGTTACCAATAGACGGCTCGTCGGCATGAAAGAATGCACCACGAAGAATATAGTCGAGGATAGGGCGCCCTCTTTTAGCATGTATTGCCTCTGTTGTAAGATTGGCGAAAACATATGCCGACAGATTGAAATCTATGGCAATAGTGAGGAAAGAACTGGCGTGATAATGATACACACATAGGCTCTGGCAGAGATACCACGGCCCCTTATAGAAGCTTTCATCAATGTTGGTTTGAACCACGCGATCCAGCACAAGTTGAAGACGGCCCGCGACAGTCTTACAGTATTCTGTTGTCCTGAGATTCGCCACTGCAATGGTGCTTATGACGAAGCTTGCCAAGCCGATTATGAGGTAGTCACATGCTTTAGACCTATTCAATTCTTCTATCTGGAGCATTCGGGAATCGCAGAGCAGAACTCTCGCATCGAAAGGCCTTCCAGAGTATTCATGTAGCTTGCTTTGGCTCGAAGGGAGAGACAAGAAATCCCAGAACGATCGGTGCAGAAAATCCATCTGCCAGTCAAATATCTGCGAAACAGACGTCTCGTCCCCGTCAAAATCAATGTCATGATACCAAGAGGTTGATCCTTCAAGATATCGGCATTCTAGCAGGCCGCGGCAACGACTGTTGATCCGACGTAAGGTTGAATCGAGGTGAAATTCCATATTCTGGACGTTGGAAAAGTCCAACTCATCGCTGGTAGCCTGGCCCTCGGATACAGATTCAACTTCGTCTTGGATACACACCATATCAATAAGGCGGAGAGGATGAAGCGCAGTGAACTCGTGTTCCTCATACAGTGCCAGCTGAAGGAATATAGAAGCCTCTCTACGATAGAGTGGCTCAATGGAACCCATCAAGTGGGTGAAATAGGCGTCAAGATCTTTCGGGATAGCTTCGACTCTTCTCAACAACTGATGCATGTTGTCTCCATCTCGAAGTGCCTTAACTAGCCCGTACACAACAAGCCGTACCCAGAGAAAGACTCCGGCAGCCTCTTCAAGAATTGTTCTGATGAGAGTCTTAGCTAATGATGGATTATGTTGTCGCAATTGTTCGAATCGTCGCTGGGAGCTCAATTCTTGATGTATGTAACAGTGTATATCCTCTTGAGTATGGTCTTCTAGTCGGATCTTGGGAAATCTGTCGAAGGCGTCCTGGAAAACATTCCCTGGTCGACTGGATACGCAAAGCTTGACGTGTGAGAGCGAGGAAATGCTGCCTATGAGATCTAAGAACTCGTCTCTCTCCTGATCAGTTCCTTCAAACTCATCCAGTCCGTCGATGAGGAAAAACGTGTACCACATCTCAGAGCGAACGACCGCTGTAATGGTCTGAATGAGTTCAGAGGAAGTCCAGTGTATGTCCATCGTGGATGCGACGCGCGCTTTGTTCCAAAGAACAGGTGGGACGAACTTTGCAATGATTTGTGGTAAGTGTGAGAACATTTGAGCAAGAAGTGACCGAAGAAGCCCGATGAACGACTTTTGCAAGGGCGTCCCCGGGGCCCAGAAAAAGTAATCAACCTTGAGAACAGTCTCATTCTCGCTCCATGGGTGGAAGTGAAGATCTTGGTCAAGTTCTTCGAGCAGGTACCGCATCAGCGTCGACTTTCCACTGCCTGATAGTACAATCAGTAAATCGAAAACGACCTCAGAGTCACTTCATCTACCTACCTGGCTTTCCGTAAACCCAATAGAGCTGTCGGTTCCCGTCTTGAGATCTCGTCCAGGAGAGCAGGTCATCAAAATGCCTCTGCGACTGTGCTGGATCTAGCACCCATTGGTACGTGCTTCTATGCGCACGTTGGATCTTGTTTCTCCGCTCATCGATTTGCGGAAAAGTAAGACTTTCGTTTATCCGTTGCTGCGCGACTTCGGTTGAATCCGAAAGTATTGAGAAGCGCTTCAATAAATCTGAAGTTTCCTGATGTGAAAGTATGGCATCCAGCTTCTGCGACAATTCAGCTAATACATCTTGGTGGGAACCTTGGAGGTCTCGAAGGGCATCATCCGCAGACAAGAGCGAAGTGCTGTTAAGCTGGGCTGTAAGAGCTTGAATTTCTGATGAGAGCGAATCGGAAGTAGATTTGAAAGCATCTATAATGCGTCTCTCTGATTCATCATGGGATCGTAGAAGTTCAGCCTGCTTGGATGTGTCGCCGTGCCTGTTCAGACCATGAGTGTCAGAGATATCTGGGGTGTGCTAAAAAAAATAAAAAAAAAAATAAGGGATATTGGCATACTGCATGAACAGCATGAGTGCAAAGCTGAGATTGTCTTTGGCTTCGGCCAAATCATGCTTCAAAGTTTTCACCTTGCCTTCGTACCAAATAGACTTGATACCCATCCGAATACCCTCAACTGTTGATGACTTTTTTACCTTGAGATGTTCAAGCAGGGCAATGAGTTCGTCTGCTATACGCATGCACTCTTTGTTTGCCGTTGCCAACCTCAGTTCCGGCACAGTGGCTTTCTGTACGCTGCCTGAAGGCGGCAAAGATAAGCCAAGCTCGGCATTGAGGCCCTTGAGCGACTGCAATACATCGTAAAGAGTATTATGTTCGTTCAGCGCTCCGTTGGATGCAGCCCGATACTGGGCCGCTCGACTGAGGACGTTTGCACCGTACTCGACGATCTGCAAAATGTTGCAGGCGAGCGAGAATGCGCTGAGAGGCTCCATGATGTCGCCTACAGGCGCTGTTCTGTGTATAGCTGTGGATCACCGTGGGTCACTTCGCTACACGGGCGTAGGTATTGGGATGCATTCATGGCGGTTTGGTGTGCATTCTCTCAGATCCGCTCGTATCGTCCAGGGCAACAACGCCTATCTATGTAGACATAGATACAATTGAACCTGATCTTGGGAACACGGAAAATGTGTCTTCAGTTGGCGGGGCTGAGTTTCTCGCACAACCGCATCAGATAACTGGTGAATACCATACTGCGTCTACAGACCATTAAACGCGGGGTAATAATGCCTCCGATGCCGTCGAGTGGCTCTGTGCGACGGTGGAAATATGCCGTGCTACCTGAATGTGCCAACGCGGCTGGGGAGGAAGACCTCTGTCTCAGTGGTTGGATTGACGGCGCATATCTGTGACCACTTCCAATGTAGCTGTGTAAAGCAGCAGTCAAGGGTGGTGAATTGGTATAAGCTGCTATAGAGTACCTACCTACCTGCTAAACTTGCCGCATCAACACTTGAAGTTTCGGGCGATGAACCCCTTCCTATCCCAACTCAACCTTTGTACCCTAATTGAGAAATGAAGACTGCTTTTGTCTGGTTCTTGGAACGCTGCACACGGGCAATCCAGGCGTAATTTCATTCGCTCAAATACTGATGCTGGAGTATCCCTTACAGGGCACATTTTAAAAGGTCCAGGCGGTTTGCTCTGCAGGTGGGGAGAATCAAATTCAGCGACCAGTACCTACTGTTCCCTCCACCACTGCTGCCTCTCACAACAGCACCTTGTTTGCTGCAAGCCAGCCGCTACATCCACAATCCTTTGGCTGAGAGGGGCGTTTTGTGAATATATTTTTATTTTCATAGTGAAGCTTGATATAATCGCTTCTTAGGTATAAATGACCGGAGCGCGCTTACCCGGAAAACATGCTTTAGAGCCTTTAGATTTAGTGCTGCTCGCTAGTAGCGGCTTTCACTTTACCCGGAGCATGCCACTTTCTTTCCCACTACATGGAGCTCCAACACGCTCTCATCATGCGTAACATCATCGCATTCTACTTTGCAACTCCGAGTAATGGCTGACACGCGGGGAAAACAGTCGAGTCAACGACGTGGCTTTCTCTTCGGTCGGAACATAACAAAATCGCTATCTCCTCTGTTACATGGTACTGTCTTCGCAGAGCTCGACTTGGATTGGTCCTATGAACGTGTAGACACCGACGATATTGACTTGGTGTTACGATGCTTGCAGGATGAAAATCTATATGGTATGCTTAGCCCAACACCTCGGAAATACACACTTAATAATTGACAATAATATCAGGCGCGGCAGTGACGATGCCCCATAAAGTCGCAATCATGAAGCACTTGGATGTCCTTACTGAAATCTGTCGGGACGTTGGTGCCTGCAACACCATTTTCGTCACCATGGAAGAGGGACGCCGCATCCTTTGCGGTACCAATACAGACGTGCTTGGTGTAAAGGAGGCGTTCTATCGAAATGTTTCTGAGCCACACAAGACCTTCGAAGACCGACCAGTGATGGTCATAGGTAGCGGAGGTGCTGCACGGAGCGCCGTATACGCTGCCCAGAAGTGGATGCGTGCTACTCAAATATATCTCGTCAATCGGGACGACCTGGAAACCCAAAGTCTCTTGGCCGAATGTGAGGCGGCGGCCAACGGCAGTATCCTTCAGCATATCAACAATCTCAACCAAGCAGATGACCTCCCAACTCCAGGTGCCATAATCTCTTGCATTCCGGATTTTGCCCCCCAAACTCATGGCGAGAAGCTTGTCAGAGACATCATGCAAGTCTTTCTACGACGAAGTGATAAAGGCGCCATCCTCGACATGTGCTATAATCCGACTCCAAACACTGCGATTAGCAGAATCGCCAAGCAAGAAGGCTGGCAAGTAATTGCAGGCACTGAAATGCTAATATGGCAAGGCTTAGAGCAGGTAAGATGTTGTTATGCCCATGGTTTCATAGCCCACGCAGCACCCGCTAATATTTGAGCCTCAAGGACACGTACTGGACCGGTCGGCCAATTGAGGAATTGCCAGTGCAGCAAGTCAAGACAGCCATTGCCAACAGGCTGGCATTGAACTTACAGACTGTAGTCAATGAATAACGATATATTTTGGTATGAATGCTGAAAGGCATTGGTCACCACGAGACTCATTCGCCCTCTCTGGCTATCGAGCTGCCTCTTTTCATCTCTTGTTTCCGTAGCAGATTCAAAATTACATCGCAGGATGAGACTCCGGAGGTCATATCACCAATATATTGGAAATGGCTACATCAGCTTTGCGGCAAGATACGAAATCTCTCTATTTTCCTACCCACTCTGGCGTCGATCGCCCTCTCCGACCTGTAGGCACTTCCCAGCCAACGGGAGATGATTCAAATTTGAATGCAGGCGCAAGAATCCTTAAATCCTCGTCAATGCCGTACTCCTTGCCAGTCATTGTCAAAAAGTACTCGGGATGGTCAAAAATGTCCGGGCGAGTTCTCTGCATCGACTTGTGCGTTTTGCCAACAAGCACGCTCATGTCGTCATAGTGGCGAGGGCTGAAGTCGGGATCACGCGCCCTCAATTCCCGTTGCTGTTCATCAGTGTACATTCCCAGGTTGTAATACCAAATGTTGTACTGAGTCAAGCTTATGTCGATATCAAATGTGACATCTTCTTTGGTGCGCGCAATGAGTGCTGATATGGCAGCTGCGGCGCCGACCAAGCCAGTCTGGTAATCGGAATTCGCTAATGAAATGTCAGTTGGTGGCACCATATTGTTTCAATATTTTCATGATGCTCACGAAGAAGAGGGACAACAGGCTCCTCGAGGCCGAGGAACTTTCCTTGAAGATAAGACAGACCGACCAAGCAGTCGCTGATTTGCTGCCAGCCAGAGCGGTGCGACAGAGGTCCCTTGAATCCGTAGCAATTCTCCCTCATGTAGATCAAGCTAGGGTTGAGCTTGCGCAGAGAGGCAGTGTCGAAACCTAGACGTGCAAGAGCCCCCGGTCGATATCCGTCAATGAGCATATCGGCGTCTTTCACGAGCTCGGTAAAGGCTTGCCTGCCTTCTTGCGTCTTCAAGTCGAGATTGGCGTCCCGCTTTCCAGTCTGCAGGTCCGGCATTGTCGCCGGATACTCGGGGAGCTTGTCGCAGGAAATGCGGAGCACATCGGCACCGAGCGCGGCGAGCATCTTGGACACAGCGGGCGCGGCAATGACGCGGGAAAAATCAAGGATGCGGATTCCGGCAAGAGGCTTGTATCGGTGGTCTTCGACTTGTGGCCAGGGCTTCTTTGGTGCTGCGATAGGCGTCGTACTCCAAAGTGGTTCTTGTGCCATGATCTTTCCATGTTCACTGGAAAAGAACTCTTCGGGGGTACGACAAACAACGCCGGCCTGCTTGTATTGCTCATTGGCCGTCTTCTCGAGGTCTTCCGAGTCCCATTGGGCAACCTTGTCGGCATAGAGTCTGATGGCCTCCTCAGCGGTTACTTCAACATCGTCCATGCCCATCATCGTCATTGTCGGAACCGCGTTCATAGATCCATGGAGATGATACCACCGACCATCTCTTGTCCGGTATACGTTGGTGGCCCAGCGTCGGATAGGTCTGGCGCTCTGGTGCACGTCCATTTTTGCCAGTTCCTGGGCCATCTGGGGGTTCTCCAAGAACGACTTGCCACCAATCGATGGTAGCAAAACTGATTCCAGGAAAAGAGTGGCCGCATCAAGATTGACGGTGACATCCTGGTATTCAATTCCATATCTTTCTGCCGCAACTACGTTTGCGGCTGTAGCCATGAGTGCAGTCAACGAAGCACTGGATTCTGTGATCTTGAGGGGAGTAAGAATCCATGGCTTGTGGTCACCGCCGACGAACTTGACCTTCTTAGCAGCCTCAGAAAATGAGGCTGGAAAGCAAAGCCCGGTATCTTGAAGCAATACCTCATTGAGTATACGGGAAGATTCATCAAAGATGGAATAGCACTCCATGGTGTCGACTCTCGAGGTATAGCCTCAGAATTATGATGAAAGTCAAGTGAATAAGTCACTTCGAGACAACAGAAGACTCCAGAGGACTACATTGATGATATTATATGTCTTTAGAATCATACGAGGAAAAGGGGCGACCGGTTTATTCCCTCGGCGCGCGATAGCTTGCCCCATAGACTATGTCATGACCAAAACTCCGAGCGTGACCCATCAGTGACTCCACTACTAACACGGACCGAAATGGCCGCGTTAAAGACAGTGTTCCGGATTTCCTGAACACATATAGTTCGGACTTCTGAGAGATTTATTGGAGCAGATCAAGATTTACTTAGAGTGCGGGTTCATTCGAATGTCAAACTTCGATCCACAATTGCTGATGTGAGGCATTGCGAGCCTATGACTTCGGAGTCTTGACGTCGGAGTTTTGAACGGCTAAGTTTTAGTAACTGGTCGATCGTGTCCGCAGATTCCGACGAACGACCCAATGCCAATGGAGATCTAATTTAGCACTAAAAACAAACAGCCTTGGAATTGACAAGAGAGGAGAAAACATGATATCACAATGGGCAATACCCCAAGTTGATGGCTGAGAGGGGTTGTGCTCGGACTGACCGACCAGTCCGAATATGATTGGTGTCAGGCCGAGGGCTGCCGAGGCCCCTTTGCTGGGGAATATTTGGAGGCACATTGTCTCTATAAATCCGATCTGTGAACCCCCATAGAATTGACCGTTTATCTTCCAATATCTCGATATTTGTTATCCTTGACTCAAAGTTAACATGGCAACTGATGATTCTTGGCGAGCTGGCGAATTCGGGGTCAGGCCCGCTCGTGTTGCCAATTGTTCAGGCTATCATGGTATGCGCATCTCTTCGGTAATCGACACCCGAAATGTGTAAGCTAAATTTCCACCTTATAGGCGATCCAGCGATAGCGATGTATCGGCAGGCAACGCTTGGCGATGTTGATTTTATTACCGGTGACTATCTGGCAGGTATGTCTTTACTCTTTCTGTACAATCAATTTGAACTTTGGCATAATACTAATCGGAGCTTAGAGGTCAACATTGCCAATAATGCTGAAGCTTATGCTCAAGGCAAGCATACCGGATATGAGGAGACAGCCTGGGACGGCCTTCAGCAGACCATTGATGTCATTGCAAAGAAGCGTATCAAGGTCGCCATCAACGGTGGTGCACTGAACCCCCAAGGCCTTGCTACTCGGGTGGCCAAATTAGTGAGTGAATGCAAAGACATAAACGTGAGGACAGAAAACTCACATTAGTCACAGGTAGAAGAGAAGGGATACGACTTGAAGATCGCATACGTCTCTGGAGACAATCTGCTGCCAGAGCTTGGGAAATACATGCCACAGAAGCAAGATGAGGCATTGCCGCACTTTGACTCCAACAACCGACGCGTGACACTAACAGCTGAGAACTTCCTCTTTGCCAAGGAAGGCTCAACACCGCGCGAAATTGTGTCGGCGAATGCCTACTTGGGCGCTCATTCCATCTACGAGGCCTTTGTCCAAGGCGCCGACATCATCATTTGCGGCCGCGTTTCCGATGCCAGCCCAGTCATTGCCTGCGCGTGGTATTGGTGGTCGTGGACCATTGAAAAGTATGATGAACTGGCCGGTTCCCTCATTGCTGGTCATTTGATCGAATGTTCGACCTATGTGACTGGCGGCAACTTTGCTGGCTTTGATGCCTTTGATATTGAGCAGTTTGTCGACCCTGGTTTTCCCATTGCTGAGATTGACAGTGACGGTACATTTGTCGTTACCAAGCACCAAGGCACTGCGGGTATGGTAACAGTCGATACATGCAGATGTCAGCTCATCTACGAACTGCAGGGGAATGTCTATCTCAACAGCGACGTCAAAGCCTATCTAGATGCTGTAGAGATTGAGCAAGTGGGAGACGACAGGTATGTGAAATGGCGATGACTGTATGAACCTATTAACCTAATTCTCAACAGAGTACGTATTTCCGGAATTCGAGGCGGTCCTCCGCCCGAAACTACCAAGCTTTCCGTTTTCTATAAGGGCGGTTTTGAAATGCAGGCATTGTTCAATGCCACAGGATATGGGTTCGACAGGAAATTTGAGCTATTCAGCAAGCAAGTGCGATACTTTATGGGCGAGGAATCACTCAAGAAGCTTGATATACTTGAGTTTCAGAAGCAAGTCTACACGAGATCTAAAGCCTTGTTAAGACACCATCACTAATCGCATTTGTAGGATTGGTGTTCCGGCAACGAACCCCTCTGACCAAAACAGCAGCACGGGATATTTCCGCATCTTTGCGCAATCTACCGACACGGAGGCGTTGCTGTCTATCGTTTACGCTATTCGAGATATTTCGTTGAAACACTTTTCAGGTAAATTTTCAAGTTTCTTCTCATTGGATTTTGCTCAATTACATGTCACAGGATTTCATAGCTCACTGGATATGCGCACGGCTATTCCTCGCCCGTACCTGGCATACTATCCTGCCTTGTTGGGCCAGTCTGATCTCCGAGAAGAAGTCAGCTTTGTTGATGCCCACAGTACCGTCAAAACTACTAGGACAACCCCACCAAGTACGTTTGAAGCTCTTAGCGAGCGAGAATCCTACGACACAAAGTCACCAGTCTCCATCGAAGGACCCTTTCGCAAGATGCGCCTGGGAGACATTGCACTTGGTCGTTCGGGCGACAAGGGCGGGAATCTCAACTTTGGCTTGTTTGTTCACACCCATAACGAGTGGGATTGGTTGCGATCCTACATGACCATCTCCAAGGTGCAGGAGCTCCTAGGAGACGACTGGCGATCGGATTACTCCATTGAACGAGTCGAGTTCCCAAACATCTTCACCGTCCACTTTGTTGTCTATGGTATACTTGGCCGCGGAGTGAGCAGCTCTAAGCGCTTGGATGGGTTTGGAAAGGGGTTCATTGACTATTTCAGGGACAAGGTTGTCGAGGTTCCCGCATCGATCTAATGGGACAACAGATAGCTATGGCCTTGATGTCTATTGAACTAGCTTGACTCATGCAGTATCACACTGATAGTTGGGATACCCGTATTCCTAGTTCATCTAGAATTTAATTCCGCTGGTATTGCGAGCGCACCGGTATAGCCTATGCCCAACCTTGACGTATATTTAATATTGACATTGTGGCTCAAAGGTTCTTCGTGGTGAAGCACCAATAGGTACTTGAGTCATATAGGGACGCTCTTGAATTCATGGCATAATAGTGGATTTAACCAGTGGGACTTGGTGAATCATTATATATAAGTCGGTATATACATATATTACTCAGTCAGAGTTTCCTGCGAGGCATAGGATTGGTCGGAGGTTGGGATGTTTAATGGCCGCCGCTTCCGAATACTTGCGTACAACACCTGAGCAACACATTGAAAGCATCAAACAAGTGCAATGTTAATTTGAATCGTCCGGCAGTTAGAGCTGTCGATGCGCCAAGATTAAGTCGTCCTGAACCGGGTATACTGGTAGTATAGAATATGGGTAATGCTATTAGCATATGCGAAAGTAGACAGTGCTTTTGTTACGCTGACTACATCAGGACCCACCGCCGATCACCCGCTCGGGTATATGGTTCACTCTTCAGCACCTCTCTTTTGTAGATCAGATAGATCAACTCAGATACCTTCTTTTTTTTTTTTTTTTTTTTTTTCCGCGCGCACTCGATGGCATCTCCTTTCACATTGGCTCAGGTGCAAGCTTTTATACACTACGTTCCCCTGCGTTCAATGGCTTCTGGCTCTCATCCGTGGGCACTTCGCCCTGCGGTACGTTCTCGGGAACAGGACGCGAACTAGCACCAGCAGCAGGGAGGAGGGGATGAAGGGGTCGGGTTCCCGGATACTCCGACTCCAGCGCATTCTCAATCAGATCGGCGACAGTGGTCATGTTCTTAGCACCTCGGACAGAAGCGACAAGCTCGCCATTCTTATATAAAATGGTCGTGGGATAAGCTATGATGCCTTGCTGTCTGCAGATCTTGTCGGTGTTGATACAGTCGACTGTGGAGAATTTGAGCCCGTAGTACTCTTCGAACGTGGTTGCTGCTGGCGCCGGCAGAGCCACGTCGTGGTTCACTGGGATATCTGAGGTGTAGTAGTACTCGTATATGGTCTGGTAGGTCGGCTTGAACTGTACACAATGCGGCGAGTACGGGCTTTCGGATCATTGTCAGCATAAGACAAATGCAAATGGAGAGGCACGAAAAAAAAAATTGAAAACATACCTTGCATATTTGACCACCAGATACTTTGTCTGATTGAATTCGGCTTCGTCGGTCAACACTGGTAACGCAGGAACTTGCTTGCCATCAAAATAAGTGGGCTGGGCGTCAGGCGTGGCGGCAAACCAGTCACGGTTGGCTTTCTTGACCTCTGCACTGACTGATTGCACAGTGGCAGCCAGGCCAAGGTACAGCGCGGCGATTGCGACTCTCATTATTTCAAGCGATCGATGGAACGTCGTCGAGTGAGAAGGCGATGAAGATGACAATACTTGTGAGACCGTGTACCTGGGGGGAAGGATGAAAGGGAACAATGCAAGAAAATGAACGAACGATTATGAATCCGCCTTCATTTTAACCAGGTTTGTCTTTGCTGCGCCGCTAATAGATCCTACCGAGCATTACTGCCTGCTCGCTAACGTTGTGGAGTGGATCATCCTTACTAGGTACGCATTTAGTAGTGTCGGGTGTAACAGCCTCAGCCAAGAGGCTCACATCATATTGAGGTAACATAAGACACAAGATCTGAGCAGATGTCTTCCTAGTGAAGTTTTCATCCGGAATACTTAGAAATCGCGACTACATCATCAGCTTTACACCATTGGCAACGACCAATATCCGGGGTTAGGGACACCGGAGACGATATAGTGTAAGGTTCAGAGAGATCAGTAAATATGTAGACTTACCACATCGAGAATGACGAGCTCATCTTTATTGATCGTTACCGTGAGTTTCTCAACCTCCGTTCTCCCTGATTTCTTTTCCACTTCAAATGTATAGGTTCCCGTTTCCTTGGCCTTTCGCACAATCGGTAATGATAACCCTAAATTCAAAAATTATATGAATTTCTACCCTAATCGCGCCGAGCCGAATTAACTCACATCTCCTTTAGGATAGTGTTGGTTGCACTTGAAAAGGCAAGAGTTTATATCCTCGTGTCGCTGGTTGCCTCTGGTGTTTTTTTAAAACTAGGGAGTAGAGAAGGCAGTGGACACAAATAAAGAAAAAAAGAATTTTTTTTTTTTTTTTTGGAGACGAGCAATTGAACTATGTTCTGCTGATAGCTCGGCCATTCAAATATGGACTAGATTTCCACGTATAGAATTCAAGCAGCAACTTAACTGTCACTTACCAGTGGTACCCAAATGTGCCATGGGCACTATCTAAACCCCCCCTTCAGGGAAGCCGACCGCACTAATGAGTGGAGCCTTGGACCCCTCAGCGGTCAGTCTCCAGAGTCCCCGGACCCAGCTGATTGCGTGCTGGGTGGGTGGGAGCTGGGAGCCGTAGCATTCGTTGAATCGCCCTGTGCTGAGGGTTTCCGGGGACACTCACAAGGTGCAGTCTGTCTTCTTTGCCTGGCAGATTACTCGCGTCCATTTTCTTTGCTAACATGTATATAAGGCGCCTAGATCTAGCGGTGACTAGTGAACATGAATGAGCACAGGGAAAGACGCAGCAGTGCGATCACAGGCAGCAGTCGCTCCCCTCGGAGAAGAACATCAATACAGCGAACTACGACAGGATGCCATACCTGTCGCGCGAGAAAGGTGAGCTAAAACCTTCTGTAGAATCATATGGAATTGTCAAAATTTCTTTGAACTCATCATTTTCCAGGTGAAATGCGATGAGCAGAAGCCCAATTGTTCTCGGTGCCAAAAGGGCCAGAGAGTTTGCGTGTGGGCGACAGGCCCAAGACCCGCGAGAGCAAGACTGCCAAAGAGGCCCAATGCAACCGCATGCGACACTTGCAAGACCAAAAAAGTAGGTATTCGGATGCAACGGAGAGAGTCAATATATACGAGTCTCCCATCTGCGTCTCTCTCATGTCAAATCTGCTGATTACATCTCCATTGCAGCTCAAATGTATTGGCAACACTTCATTTGCTTGCGAACGATGCACCGGCCTAGGCGTCGACTGTATCCGAACCCAGCCAGATGGAACTTCTGCTGCAGCACCTTGTGTTGGAGCGTTCGGCAGTACTGCACATAACGATTCCGAGGTCATCCCAAATCTTGAAACTGGCAGCTCTCTACGCCCTTCTATGAACAGACAGCCTCCTCCAGTGGCACACCTTTCAAGTGAAGTAACCCAGCCAATTGAGTCGCTGCCACATGGTCAATTCCCTGACACGGCAGAGCTCAAGCGATTGCTACAATCGTATTTTTCCTCGATCCATCGTATGAGTTCCCCCAGCTGCAGCGTTTCCAGATCATGGAGACGCGACGGTACTAATCCTTCTTGCACAAATCGCCAGTCTTTGGGTTCTTTGCTTTCATAAATGAAACTCACTTCAATGACCTCGTCGATAGAGGCACCGCGCCCAGGGAACTGACCATGATCATGATCGCCCACGTCTTGCGGTAGGATTGGTGGCAGTAGACAACATGCTTCATGACCGCTCTGTTGACCAATTGCCTACAGATTTGTCGAAAAGCCTTCCAAGGAGGTCTTGTCCCGAGCGGATGCCTATGCCGAATCGGCCGTAGCTGGGACTCTTCCCCGAACCTATCAAAGCTTTGGTGCAATCGAGCTTATGGTGCGTCGTATTTCGTTTCGCGGTTGAGTCCAAGAGATCTGTTGTTTCTAAAAAGCTCCTTGCAGATTCTCTTGCTCGCTCAACACTATGACATGCAGAGGGGCAAGTTCACATCTGCTTGGTTACTGATTGGGAATTGTGCTCGGTAAGTGATCACAATGCACCGATTGCCGGTCAAAACTTCAAGTCTCATTCAACAGTGCGTATGACTGATAATGACAGCATGATGCAAATGATGTCGCTTCACACATTTGATCGAACATATACAGCGAGATTGCCAACTGATCTTTCACCGCTTCTTTCGCGCGAAGCACTACGTCGCGTTGCTTGGGCCACGTTCTACGCTGATACCATGGTCGATGGTGGTCGTTTTGGGTGTCATGTTGTGGATGAGACTGCCCTTGGTTTCCTACAGCTGCCCTGCGACGAACCAAGCTTCGCTAATAACCAGGAGAGAGAAACCGAATCACTCTTTTCGCCCCGTGGAGTAGCCAATAACATGAGCTCTGCGAATCTGGGTATATCGGCATACCTGCTACGCACCGCTGCCACACGCCGTCGCGCTCTACACTTTGCCTTTCGTGCGACGCATCGAGAGGACACAGTTGAAGAACTCACCATTGAGCTCGCAAAAATTGAATCTCATGTCAAAGATGTCGGCGACTCTTTACCTGATCATCTCCATTACAACAGCCACAATAGACTTCTTCACCAAAATTGTCTCACCACCTTCATACTCCTCCACGTCTTGCGACACAATCTCTTCATCATCGTCGACCGTGCCGCGCTACAGATATATCGCCGTGAACCCGTGCAAAGTGATCTCATAGATCAAGCGCGGCGCAGAAGGATCGCGCATGCCTTTCCTATTGCTGAACTAATTGCAGAAGGACTCGAGGCTGGCATCATATTTGATCCTCATACTGGTGTGCAGGCATACGTTGCACTAGAAAGTATGACTGTTTCTTCTTCTCTATCTTTTTATCGTGGAAAAGACTCAGTCTAACGGTCTGAGGTCAAAAAGTACTTGTATATCACCTCAAACTAATCTTCATGTTTTATATATAGTCCTCCTACTTGAGCCCAGTCGGCTCGCCGCGACAGATCCTGACATGGATCCAAAAGCCAATAAATTTGAGATCGCCCTCGGCCACCTACTCAGTTTGATTCGAAGCCTCGCTGCTAGATCCGAGATTGTCTACCGCTTGGTAAGTTGACCCGTCTCCCAGTACGGCACAAACGCTCACATTGAACCAAGCATATTGAAGCCGTATATCGCCTTTTGCAACACCACTGGATACGTCTAATTGACGACAATGATTTGAAGTCATTCCAAAGGTCAACACGCATGGGCACATCATTGTTGATATTTTGCTGATGTGATTGTCTAGGGATTACCGTCTAGTTGGCCAAGACGGTGCCGAATATGACTTTCGCGAATTTCGGTGGGCTAAACTCGAGCGAGTATCTCGAGACGTCAAGACTTCTACTACCATGCCCCGCGATGAAGTGTTACTCGAGAGTCGAGCAGATGTGGAAGAAAACAACCATGTTTCAACCTCTGCGCCTCTTATTGAATCTGGAACCTCTTCTTCTGCAGCAGAAGCAAGTCCGGCACTGATGTTGCAGTCCCAAAACTACGACGGCCTCAACACGCTCAACCAAGGACCGTCTATAAGCGCCGAACAATATCAGCCGTGGTTGGAACAGGTTATTGCAGAGAATTTGGCTCAAGAATTTTCGTTGGATTGGTCAACATGGCTCTTTGACGGATCAGGAACTCCATGGCCTACTGGCAGTTCTGCAATGTTTTAGAGTTTCTACTCAAATGCGTATCAATCTTCCTCGGGCGCCATCAAATACAAGTCTTTGGACACTCTCCACCTCTTGCCCCCATCCAAGATTTCTGAAGGTCTACTTCGTCCTCCCACAACTGTGGAGCCTCATCAAAGCCCAAACCACTCGCCGTGGCCGCTTCGCCCCAAACGATACCGCATTCCACAACATATTCTTCCCAGCAAGCTAGTAGTTCTTGCAGCTTGTCCGGTTCCGCCTGAGCTAGATCAATAGTCTCACCAGGGTCGCTGGCAACATTGAACAACTCCCAGCCATCATCGCCCTCACCTGCGCCGCCCTGGGCTTTGGCGATGTGCACAATCTTCCAGTCACCTTTGCGCAATGCTCCGCGCGCGAAAAGCTCCCATCCAGTCGCTTCTGATGACGGGTGTATGGCCCACGTCTCATTGTCTTCCACATTTGCACCACGGCTAAGAAAAGGCACCCAGGACTTTCCCCGAATAGCATGCACATCCTTCCCGCGGAATTTCGACATCTTGCGCACAACACTCTTTTGATGCAAAGGCAAAGGCACTTTGTGCTCTGAAATTGCGGGGAGTGATACGCCCGCAAGTTCGAGGAAAGAGGGTAAAAAGTCCATCACTGTGGTGAAAGAGCGATTCAGAGAGCCTGGAGCTACTGTTGTATGAAAAGTATTGACTGGCGGCTTCATGACACAGGGTACAAGGATCCCACCCTGCGAGGGGAAACACTTGAAGAGCCTCGATGGAGCAGTAGATGCCTGGGCCCATAGTGGACCAAGCCTAGAACTGCGTGTCAGTAACAGCATCCCATGTTAGTCTAGACAACTGACCAGGTGAATGAGTTCCAGGCACCAATATTCTCATATGAATTATCGTAGTACTGATGGATCGCGCGCTTGATATTGTCGCCCATGACAGCTGCCAAGTTCCGTTAAAAAATGCTCTTCAGCAGGACAGATGTTTTTACTTACGAACTGCCTCCAGTCTACAGAATATCAAGTTTCCCTATCAGTCAAAGTTTTAAGCGATTTGAATGAGGGAGATCCGACACTTACGCAGCACCCTCTGCACCATTATCACTCATGAACACGATCAGCGTATTGTCGTATTCGCCAGTCTTCTTCAAGTAGTCGATGATTTTTCCGATGTTGACATCGATAGAATGGACCATACCAGCATATGCCTCCATGGCGCGCGACGAAAGCTTCTTCTCTTCCGCGGTAAGACTGTCCCATTCGCCGACACCTTGTGTGGATGTTTCCACTTGGTGTGGCACGACCGACTCGTCAATAATGCCTAGTTCTATCAGCTTCTTCAGTCGGCGTTCGCGCAGTGCGTATGGGCCATCGTCATAAACGCCCTTGTACCTACGGACAGTGTCAATTAGTCTCTCTGCTCCCGTAATGGGTCAATCAATGGCCAACATTGATCAGCTTCTAAATCAAACGCAGTACCGGGCGTACTCAACTTGTCACGTTGCGCTTTTGAGCACTGCAATGGCCAGTGAGGAGCAGTGTATGGCAGGAATGCAAAAAAGGGCTTCGAGTTGTCGTCGGGGGATCGGTCGTCGAGATATTGGAGGAGCTGGTCAGTATAGCGGTCTGTTGAGTAGAACCCTTCAGGGTCTTCTGTCTTGTTTGGGGGTCTATTTGGGTATTATTTGTGAATCAATGCGCTGTCCTAAAGGTTTTGACTGTAGTCGCAACAGCAGATAGCCAAAAGTGAGCCGTAATAGGACTTACATGTCAACCTTTTTCCCCTCTTCCGCATGGATCGGGCGACCACCAATTGGGAACCGCTCCTGTACCGGCTCCCAACCATAGTGATTACAGCATCCAGGAAGCATGGCAAATGCTTTTTTGAAGCCGCGCTGCCACGGACCTTGGGAGGCGCGCATTCCGAGATGCCACTGTCCAGAAAGATAGATTATTATTAGACTCGCTTGGTCTTTCTAGTGAGACATGCTCTCCAAAAATTCATATCGGGTTAAGAGCGGGTATGATACATACCTTGCCAGACATGGCAGTAAAATACCCATTGTCCTCGAATATCTCGGGCAGGGTGGCAACGTCTTCATTGAGGTATCCCTCATAACCAGCTTTACCCGACCAACGTTTGGCCCCCTGTTCGCTCTTTTTGTACTCTATGAGTACTCCCAGTCCGCCTAAATGAGCATCCGTCCCGCTCATGAGCATTGCACGAGTAGGTGAGCATGCCGCCGCCGCGTGCTGGTTCAGCATGCGCACCCCCTCGGCAGCCAATCGATCAATGTTTGGCGTATCGATTTCAGCGCCATAGCAGCCAATGTCAGAGAAGCCCTGTCCGTAATTAGTAAGGCAAGCCCGCCACTGGGATCCATAAAGGAAGACTTACAAGGTCATCGGCAAGAATGAACAAGAAGTTGGGACGCTTGGACATCTTGTCGTCCGCTTGTAATGGTGTTCAGGAGAGTAATGGACAAATCAATTTTGCAACAATCTCTACCAATCGAAGCTGTAAACAGCGCGAGAGTGCTGGCAGACAACAAACACCTGAGCTCAGTCAAAGACAGCCAAGAAGCTCACGATACGGCAGAATCCCGGACACTTTTTAAGGCCACTTCGAATCTCGTGACCCAGTCATGGACTAGTTCAATCCTCACCTCGAGCGCCGAGCTGATATTGGCAGCTCGCTCGGAACCGGTGGTGCAATTCGCTAGTCCCCTCAGTAAAGGTGTCGCTCGATTGGTGCGGCCAAGACCTCGCTCGGAACCAGTGGATCTGCTCCGAGCGAGGCTATAGTCGATCCCAACATCTCGCTCGGGACGGACCCATTACCCCAGATTTTACCATGCTGTACTTCCCCAGTTTTTGGATGTTGCATTAATGTGGGCCAAGCACATCATTCATGGCAAGACCATATATTCCTTGTGACCTAACTAGGTTGTATATGGCTTGCGAGGCAATCATGGATATGTTCACAATTCATAAAAGGCGGATGGCCGCTTCCCCGAAAATAGTTTTCAAGGGGTACATATTCTCCCTGCATGGCTGACATTATCTTGTAGTTGCACCTATATATAATGGCAGCGACTCAATCAGCATGGGCCATGGTCACGCCCATGCTACTCTTTTCAAGCTTTTGCTTGCTCACGGGTGATTTACTATTCGGCTATGATACAGAAAGCTTTGGTGGCATTCTTGCAAACCCAGTGAGTACACTTGGCCGCTGGGATTATCTGAAAATGGCAATAGCAAGCTGATGCAAAAGTTTGCAGGGGTTCATAAGACAGTTTGGAAAGTACAATGAAGAGTCCCGAACCTACGCTTTTGACTCCCTCCATACCTCGCTACTATCTTCGCTTGCCTTTATCGGAAAATTTATTGGGTGCTTTTCTGCTGGGCCGTTGATTGAAAAGTTCGGTCATCGTATCGTGTTTTTCGGTCTTTCGGTCGTTTCACTCATTGGAATCGTGTGTAAGTTGGGCTGTCAAACTCTTGCAACTTCAATTGGCTGATGTTTCTTCAACTAGTGGAAATCGCCGCTGCAGATACCGGTGTCCTGACGGGTCGCTTTGCCCAGTTCGTGGTGGGCCGCGTCATTGTGTATATATCAGTGGGCCTTGTCGAAGTCACTGTGACGTGAGTCAGTCCTGATCCGCCCATACAGTCCAATCGGCTCATCATCATCAAAGCACTTATCAGTCCGAAATTGTACCAGCTTCCTTCCGAGGTTTTGTGGTTGTATCCCTACAGCTCTTCCTCAATGCTGGAAGTCTTCTTGCGTCCGGTGTCAACAAGGCTTTCTCTCTAGACACCAGTGCTACTGGGTGGAAGGTCGTGACTGGGATACAGTTCATCTTTCCTGTTGGTATGTTGCACAAGCTTCTCGCCGTTTTATAGTCTAACGAGACTAATGTGATTTGTAGCAATCGTTGCTTGTACGTTCATCATACCCAGCTCGCCCCGCTGGTTACTATCCAAGGATCGCGAAGCCGATGCCATCAACGCTCTGAGCCATCTCCGACCCAAGACACACGCCGAACACGGTGACTGCGAAGCCGAAATTATCGCCATCAGAGAAAGTCTCCGCCAAGACGTACACAAAGCTCCCTGGCTTGCTCTTGTTCGCGGGACACACCTACGGCGTACAATACTCGTCATCGTGAGCTATTTCTTTCAGCAGGCACGTAAGCTCGAGAATCTTTGGTAGCGCGCATCCTAATCCAATGATGCAGGCAACTGGACAAGCTTTTGTGTCGACTTATCAAACCGTTTTCTATTCCAACAATGGTTACAAGGCCCAGGCTTTTACATACCCCATCATCAACGGCGTCCTCGGAATGCTTGCCGTGCTTCCTGCCATGTATCTTGTTGACAAGCTTGGGTAAGTCAACAACCCTTGCTCTCAATATTTCCCTTGATAAATTGCGCTGTCCTTGGCCTGACGCTTCCTCTAGTCGCCAATATACCTTGCTACTCAGCTACACACTACAAGCGTTCTTCATGTATCTTCTTGCAGGACTTGGACAAATCAGCAACAAAACAAGTTCCGAAAGCAACATGATTGTCGCTGCGTTTATGCTCTTTTCCTTCTTCTACAACGTGAGAATAATTAATCTTTTCGGGCTTGGAATTGATGCATACTGACTCGAGTGCTTGGTTTAGATGGGTGGCGCCTCCATCCCTTACCTGCTCGGAAGCGAAATACCCAATGCTGCCCTACGTGAGAAGACGCAGTCACTCGGCACTGCATGGAATGTCGTCTGGGCTTTCATTACGAATTTTATTCTGCCATACATGATTAGCAGCCTCCACTTTGGTGTCGGCTGGGTATTCGGCAGCATATCCGTGGTGGCATTTGTGTTCACCTTCTTCTTTCTGCCGGAAACCAAGGTGCGTCGTTCTCCGTGCTTCGAAGTTTTTGATTCAGTCACTGATATTTCTCATCACTGTACAGGGTCGTGCACTCGAGGATATCGATGCCGTGTTTGAAGTTGGCTTTAGTCCCTTTCGGTCTGCCGCGGCGACGAGTTCTGCAATCGAGCGCCGAGTTGGTTTAACAGGGGCGAGGATGAACGGTTCTGGCGATAAGATTGAAACGCTTCCAGAGGTCAAACATGTGTGAGCAAGTTGAGGCCTTGATTGGCTAGGATGCCACTGAGTTACTGTCGCGGCGGAATGTCTGGTTTAGAACATCCGAAATGCATCGGAATGAAATGCTAATCTGTCGGGTCGAATCAAGTGAAAGAAAGGTCCAGAACTATAATATGATTATCGAGCAGTTCAGAAACATTTGGTTAATACAATTCATTCCCGGCTCTTTTGCACGAATAGGTTGCCTATTAATGGCAAGACTTCCCTATAGCTACCGGATCTGTCATCTGGTCATGTATCCCTGACTATGTTGGTATTCCGAGGTTTCCGAATCCATTCCGATTGGGGGATCTTTTGACTACTTTTGGGCACTGTAACCATCACTTGGGCGGCTAGAGGGGGCGAGCGCCATCTATCCAAGTAGTTCTAACATGCTGTAACCAGTAATCTCATATAATAAAGAACTATACATCACCAGTACCAAAGTAAAAAATATATTTTCGTTGCAAATGAAATCTTGGACTGAATGACAATCGACTTATTATTTAGTTCCTTCTTGACAGTCTTGAGAAACACTCTTAAATATCCTTCTCCTTATCTCATTAATAAAGATATTTTCAACTTCCTTAGTATCAACACAATCAAAATGAGTTTACCTGGAAACCCCACGCGTAGCTCCGAGGGATTCTGTTACAATGTGGAGAATGATAACTTGGTCACTGGCCTGCAGACGGATGCCGTCAAAGTTTCATCATCCGCCTTTCGTTCTTATTATGATGCCATTGTGATTGGCGCCGGCTTCACTGGGCTGGTGGCTGCCCGCGATCTTTCCGCCGCTGGAAAGCGCGTGTTGCTCCTCGAGGCGCGCGACCGCATCGGTGGGCGCACCTGGACAGCCGACGTGGGAGACCACAAGTACGAAATGGGAGGGACTTGGATTCATTGGCTGCAGCCGCACGTATGGGCCGAGATTACGCGATACGGACTGGCCACGGGGCTCAAGGTCAGCACGGGAATGTCGGGCGAGGGCGAGGTGTCGTACGCCCGAGAAGGGGCCGCCGGCTTCGTCAAGGAGCGCCCGGAGCTCTCGGACCAGCGACTCCTCCCGCTCATGGCCCAGTTTCTGGACGTCGATGGCTGTGGCGGCCGGACCTTGTTCCCCGAGCCCTGGCTGCCGCTCAAGTCTGTCGACGTTTGGCGGCGTTGGGATATCAGCTTGCAGGAACGGGTCGAGCAGATCAACATCAGCAAGCAGGACCGCGACTTTCTCCTCCCCTGGTTGTGCATCAACACATGCGCAGCAGCTTCGGAGAGTTCATTTCTGAACTTGGTGCGACTCTATGCCTTGTCGGGCTACGACTACAATTTGTTCATGGAAATTTGCGGAAAATTCAAGCTGAAAAACGGCACAACAGGACTCGCGTCTGCTATTTATTCAGAATTCAAAGGCCAGTCCATATTCAGCTGTCCCGTCAAAGCAGTAAAATCCACCACTAGCGGAGTCGAGATCACGACGAGAGCCGGAGACGTCTTCCGCGCAGAGCAGGTTGTCTGTACCATTCCCCTACACTGTCTTTCCGACATCGCCTTTTCGCCGCCCTTGCCAGAATGCTTCATCAAGGCCCGACATGCCAATATCGGAGGCAAATTCCATATTCTCTCATCTACTCCCATCGCTCCGTGGTTTGGGGTCAATGACGAGCACCACTCCGTCTGTGCCGCTTTCACCGAGTCGCCCGCATCTGGGGGTGGCACCCATCTGGTGTCGTTTGCCGTGGGTGACAAGCTTATTGCGCAGCAAGATGTGCGGCACGACCCCATGACCTATCTTCGAGCGGTGCAGAGGGATGTGGTCCCAGACTCGGTGCATATTCGCCCGGTGCAGTTGACGTGGCACGATTGGGCGCGAGACGAGTTTTCCAGAGGTACCTGGGCATCTTATGGGCCGCGCCAGTTGTCCAAGGGACTCGGAGAGCTCATGATGCAAACGTATCACGGCCACAGAGTTGTCATGGCGAGCGCAGATTGGGCAGATGGTTGGGTTGGATACATTGATGGAGCGCTGGAAATGGGCAAGAAAGCAGCCGTCACTGTGAATTCGAGGCTAGATTCTCTAACCCCACAAAGCCATATCTGAGGTCAATGTAACTTGGGCCATCCTGAGGCCTTGCATTGCCTTGGAAAGAGGGTTTTGCATCTCTCTAATGACATATGCTCTGGACAACTCGTCAGTTCATTAAAAGCTCAGCTCCTGACGATGGTTCATTTCACACGCTCCTTCGATCACGTCTTCCCATGGGCGTTGGCGTAATCTGTCAATTCAAGACGAAGCATGGGATTCGTATGCAGAACCAGAAGTCAGGAGGAAAGACCCATACGGTGCCTATCTTGCAGTGTGCTGGGAAAAGGGTGACGACATCATTCTTGGGGAAGGGAAGGGGAGGATCCATATCCAGATATGTCATTTAATGTCCACAGGATAGTCTCACCGGACACCTGTCTGCACGAGAGACAAAAGAAGGCCGAATGGTGCAACCAGTCATATGTGGCCAAAGGGAAGCTCGATGAGGAGCTGGGACTTGAGTGAATCCGATTTCTTTTTCCAACACGTTAGCCTATCGTTATGTCCAGGAGCTTTACCGATTTTGGAATGATCTCTCATTGGAGAAAGGGTTGGGTTGACAAACCCAACGTATACAAAGAAAGAAGACAGATTAAATAAGCACAACAGGTCCAAACTCCGAAATGAAATCATCCGTCATTGCTTCTCCACGCATAACACCATGCATGTAAGTTTCGCCAATCAACCGGTACGTCTCGCCATCCGCGTTTGGCCTCAGTAAAAAGGGTAGATGACCATTCTCGAAAATCCAAATCTCATCCCCCGGCTCAAGCCACGACGCACCCACTGCAAGCCGTCCATTTGTGGCGATATACATGCAAGCGCGATCCATCATTCTTGAATGTCCTTGAACATATTTGGAAAAACTTTCGTTGACGTGGAGGATCCAATCCTTACTGAACACCCCAGGGGATAAACCTGCTCCCAGGGACTTTTGGATCTCGGCGCCCTTGTCCGTTTCGAAATGCTCCGTGGATACTTCGGTCTCATATCTACGCAAAAGCCATTGCTGAAAGATAATCTCCTGGTCCTCTCTTCCAAGGGGCAACTCTCGCCACACCATTGTGTTCCAGACAGTCTCTCGCATGGATTGCATGAGTTCAGGATACTGTCGTGATTCTCGACACATATCAAGAATATAGTTCGAGAAATCAGTGACTTCATGTCCTGCTATCTTTTCCTTCACTGTCGTAAGGCAAGCACCGTGGAGATAGAGGCGATTCCCAATGACTCGAGGCACAGCACTCACGCTGCTTGCACCATCCGTTCTCCGACGACGCGTATCGCGTGCCAGTGGGTTTCCTGATCCGCGCAGAAAATTCGAATAATCAGGTACCCAGGATGGCATGTTCTTGTAATTGCGTTCTTCCTGATTCTTAACAAGTGATAAAACTTGAAGTTGAGACATCTTTTGTAGAAGTACGCCTGTAAATCTTGTATAAGTCTCCTCAATGCTCAGATTGTAGTCTGGAACGATAGCTGACTCGATTCCTTCTGGTGCGATTTGGAGCATCATCCCAAGGCAAGCGTAGATCACGTCTCTTTTGTCTGACATTGCATGTCTTCCGGCCACTATCATGGTATCGAGTAAGCTTTCATACCACTGTTGCTCATGTGTTCTTCCTTCGAATGGACCAATCGTTCGACGAATCCTCTCAAGTATTAGTGGTCGGCCGGTTGCGCAGAGTAAAGCATGCTGCGAGTCGGAATCGGTGTGATCTTGGATGTAGGAGAACCATCGACTTGACATCACCAAATCAAGAAACCAATAAATCTGCGACCAGGGGTATTTTCGAGTTCCTGCAAAGACCGAGATTGCCGAAAGATCGGGTCTGGCTACTTCTTGTATCGTCCATCCTCTGGAAAACCAGCAGCGCTGAACAAGATTTACATACTCGCGCCAAGAACTTGCCCAAATTGACCAGGCATCTGAGCCAATGGCCTTCTCGATAAGTCTTTCTTGAGAGCTCCACAAGACATTTGATTGAAATTCTTCCAGAAGCTCTTTGTAGTGTTCAAGGACAGCGGGAATGAACTCGTCCAGTATCCGATGCGCCCCTTCGCTCGGATCACGGGCCCCTAGCCAGATCCAAACGTGTTGAGCAGAAGCGTAAATCTTGCTCATAAGAAGAACCTGCTTAGATCTCTCATCCAGGTCCACCTGATTGATACACAAAGCATCAATCCACAGTAACGGCACCGGATGACCAAGAGTTCTGGTTTGCTGGAGGAAATCGAAAAGATTCTGACGAACGAACAAGAAGCCGCCTCCGCATCGGAGCTGGTATATCTTGTCCTCGTCGAATGCTGGATCCATATCCAACGGTTCTGGACGCCCCCATGTGTATGACAGCGCCGTATATTTGGCATCCTCCAAGTCGACCTCGGAAAGGTCCAGAACGATGCCGTGGGGTGCGCTTTCGTCCTCAGTCACGCTGAGCAGCCTGATCTGTTTCTCTTGCAGAGAGCCGTACATATATTGGCTCGACATGTTATATACGTCTGAAGTCTGTGAGGGCGAATTGTTAGGCTCGTCGCGTTTGAAAATAAATCAGGCTGAGTGATGCCCGACCCCGCATCCCAGGGACTTCAGGGAGGCTCTTCACCCTGGTTCGTCTATATACCTGATAATGATACCTCAATGTATGATCACGTGATTTAATCACTTTTGTCCAAAAGTAAATATATCGCAAATGGCATTCTAGCTTCTACCAGCCACTGTTACTAGCCACGATGAGTGGCGCTCTATCTTTCGGTCTGCTGTTTCACCATGAACAGGGCAGTTGAGGCTTCGTCATAGATGCCGCCGCGGAGAACAGACGTCACTTATTTGTGGTGCTCTTTTTCGAATGTCCACCCAAAAGACTCACCCTTGGTTTTAGATCGATTATCCTAGTTCACGAGAGAGAAGCCGGGAACCGAAGGGAAAATCTCCAGAATCGGTAGATGAGTTACTCATGACTTATGGTGCATTATGGCTTCAGCTATCAAATTTTCCCCAGTAATTAATCTAGTTACGTACGGACTAGAAACTCTCGTGGTCCCTTCCTATACAGTGCCCCAACCAGTTTCAGACTTATCAAGAGATTTTTTTGATTTTTGTTTGGTTGAAAAGCTCTTGGTGCCGCAAGTTTGAGTTGGGTTGCAGGCCCGTGAACCTGGTCGTATACTCCTACTGTATGGGAGGCATGTGCTAATGGGACTATGCCACTAGTGAAATTCTTATCTACACTGCTCAACCGACAGAAAACAGGATCATTGAAAGGAATTCTGCCCTGAGGCTTCAAACTTTCTTCAAATGTTGCTGAAGCATTCTGTCCCACTTCATGGTTGTAAGACCTCCCTTGCCTGGCAAAGTTTTGGGAATATTAAGAATTTGTTCTTGACTCAGTTCACCGACCTCTGTTGTACGAAGTCTAGACGGTGCCGTAAGCAACAACTTGAAAATTGCCCGGCTCTTCCTCCCAGTCTTGCTTGCTTGGGCTATGCTGATCAGACCTGCTACTAATCGCTGCGCAGCTTTTGACGCTTGGTCGTTATTGGCGTAAAAGGAAAGGGCATCAACAATACAGAAGACTATGAAGTGCGATGGGAGCTGTTTCATTAGCAGTCGAAGGAGGCCTAAGCCATCCTTGACGTTGGCATCGTTGACGTCGAGATACCGAGAAGATGGCAATCGAGAGACATCCACGTCTTGACACTGAGACACAAGTTGTACCAGTAGACTGTTCGCAACTCCACTAGGGGATTCCCAGGACTCGGAAGTATCGTTATGCAAGTGTTCGCCGCAGAAAAAGTGAATTGGCACGATCTCTGGCCTGGTGATATTGCCCGAGGTGGGCTTGCCACCAAACCTGATCTGGTCCAGGCTATATATCAGTCGAGCGCAGAGAAAGCTCAGTCCTGATCTTCGACTGCCGCTCCCGGTTCCATTCCCGTTTATGACAAGTACTGAAGACCTCTCTGATTGCATCCATTGAGTGAAGGTGAATGATTTGATGGCATGGAGGCACCTTTCTTGTTCATCTTTAGACAAAGTCGGACCAATTTGATAATTTGATGCAACATCATGTCGGGTAATCTCTCGATCGTAGTCTAGTTGACGCAAAAGATCCTTTCGAGCCTGAGAAGGTCGCACTAAAGTATACTTTGGTCAGCCATAAACAAACAAGAAGGATAAATGGCATCAGACGAGTAGGATTCTTTTCACCTTTTGGCTTCTGGATGCTGTCCAGCAGTGAAGTACGGGGCTCTAGGTGATATGCCACTGGTCTTTCGTTTTCAGGAAGTCGTTTTACTGTCATTGAAGGGTTGGTAATCAGCAACAAAAACCAAAGACTTTTAGGAGTGTTATGCGTACCATCATTGTACGCGGCTTCGATCACTTTCGAGTCACTTTTCAGAGTGTCAATGAAAGATCTCATGACGCGCATATTCTGCAAGAGTTCGAGATATCTGTGGGCCATCAAGTCGAAATATTCTTGAATCGTCTGGTTTGAACGTGCTTGTTCTTTTCGACCCATATCGACAACCAGCGTCAGATGCAGTATCGCGGCATGAAATTGCTGCCCACCCCGCGCAGTAACATCGTGAAGCTCTCGGAGCGATTCCTTGTGGCAAACTTCCGCCTCTTCATTGAACAAGTCTCGTGAAGCGGCTATGTCTTCTATCGCTGATACCAACTTGGATTCAAATGACTATTGCTTGAAGAGGGCTTTACCAAACTTGCGGCTTGCCTTTCGTTTGAGATACTCCAGCATTCGTCCTAGGGCTACCAGTAAGGAGTGATAAATGGAATCACTCAGCTCGTTGAGTCTTTTGGATTCTAGATAAATTTTGAGGATCCTTTGAACGCTGCTGGGGATAGCAGGGATCCGGGCGACTTCACCCAAGACCTTGTCTGCAATGTCGCGCAGACGAGATGCAGCCTTCGTGGCTTTTTGTTAGCCTTTCTTCCAATGCGGAACAAACTGACCTAGGCGTATGGACGAGATTGAATATATACCTTGAGTATAAGCTTGAGTCCCCCACAGACTACCGAAAGATAATGCGACTCGGTCGGCAATAGGCCTAGCTACCCTTGAATGGCTTCACTACCATCCCCAAGCTTTCTAAATCCTACCCTGATCTTTCCCCAAACTCCGTCTTTAGCATTAAGCGTATAATCTTCAATGGTCTTGTCGATTATTTGCCAAAGTTGCTCGACGCCGTGTGTATCGGCCACATCTACTCCAGTCTTGTATTTTTCCTTGACAGTCTCTTCGTAGTCCTTGATTGCAGTTTGAAAGCGAGTTTCTTGTGCTTTGACATCATCTCGTCTACGCTCAAGAATCAATGACCTTTGTTCCTCAAAAAACGGAACAGCGATGTAAAATGGTACTTACAGGCCTAGCGGTGGCGTGTCATGTATATCAGCACTAGGTGCCACAACTTTGACGATCCACAGGGACAAAGAGAAATGTGGCTCCAATGGTCTCAAGGGACAGACCTACTCGAGATCCGCTCCCCTGATACATTGCTCGAGGAATGTGACAAGCTGCTTCCTGCCCGTGTCTGGGGATATATGTTTCTCCGTCGCAAATGGTGTAGGTCATCAACTTTCCATGATAGACTCAACAACAATAGGGGAGTGTGAATTTGATGCTGACTCGTGGGTAGATCCATTGAATATTGATCTCATTCAACCAGCGCAGAGTATGACCCCAGGCGCCGCAGACGGCTTTGAGAAGCTGGTGCTCCCATCCGGACACAAGGACATTGTTCGAGCACTGGTCAGGACATATTCAAAGAAGTTGGGGAGCATCGACACAGAGAGCTCAATCAATCTTCAACGCGAGTTTGATCTTATCAAAGGCAAAGGAAAAGGACTCATCATTCTACTCCACGGTGCACCAGGTATGCAGATCAGCCCGAAGGAGGGGCACGGAAGTTACGCAGATCAATTTCAATGCTAACATCTCAAAGGCGTTGGAAAAACTTCAACAGCCGAGTGCGTTGCCGCAAATGCAGGCAAGCCACTCTTTCCCATCACTATTGGTGATGTTGGAGGAGAGTCAGCAGCGCAGGTAGAGCAGAACCTTGAAAAGTACTTTGACTTGGCTCGCAAGTGGAATTGCGTACTGCTCCTAGATGAAGCCGACGTCTTTCTCGGCACGTGTGTAGAGGGCAACACTGCCCAAAACAGTTTGGTTTCTGGTAGGTCAAGAGCTTTGTAATGGTTTGGGTCATCATGACATGGACTCCCCATTTATTACTAACATTTCACACTCGCTAGTTTTCCTTCGCGCTTTAGAGTACTATCCTGGTATTCTCATTCTCACAACCAACCGAGTCGGTTCATTCGATGAGGCCATCAAGTCTCGCGTTCACTGTGCACTATATTACCCACCACTAGACAAGGATCAGACCATGAAGGTGTGGCAGATGAATCTCAAATCGCTAGAGGAGCGAAACGCTGGATCTGCTCCTGGGCAGCGGATCCAGTTCGAGCCGAAAGAGATTGGAGAGTACGCGCGGCATCATTGGAAGAAGCGAAAGCGCGGGAACAGGTGGAATGGGCGACAAATCAAGAACGCCTTCCAGACGGCGGTCGCCCTGGCTGACTGGGATACTCTCACGTATACCAGCGGGAAAGGCAACCCCGAAGGTACGGTCCTGAGACGAGAGCATTTCAAAAAGGTGGCCGAGGCCAGCGCACATTTCGACATGTATCTCGAGCGGACCAGGACAAGTGATCAGCAGCGTGCCCGCGAATGCATGTACAGAGAAGACCGCCGGCTCTCGACTCAACGATCTTTCCGAGTCCGACGAAGAAAGTACGTCGGAAGCAGAAGTCAAGAACAAGAAAAAAAACGCCAAGAAGGTCTCGGCTAGAAAGAGCAAGAGCTCAAAAGACAAGGGGTCGAAAACGAGGAAATAAAGGAAAGAAGAATCCGACGAAGAGAGCACAGAGGGCTCAGTGTCCGAGGAATCCTCATCATAGGCTCCAGGTGATTTTCGGTTTGCTGCTTGTTTTATTTTATAGAAATTAAAGCTTTTTGATAGATGTGATATCTCTTTCAACTTGGCACAAGTTTTCTATCACAAAGCTTACTTTGTGGTTCGACCAATCATACCATCTGTCTAGAATGACGGGAATACCCCGGAATGGAGATTGCGGCTCACGGCAAGCTATCAGCGGACGAATTAGACAATAGTACACGACATATTCCGTACATTATAGCATGGCGGTTTCGTGTCTCCAGCCTATATCATCTTTGCAGTCACTCTACATCACAGAAAACCCCTTCTCGCAGAGTGCGCAAGCGCATCTTGACTCAGTATCAGAGTACAGATTACTGAGCCAGGCTCAATCTTCGCTTAATGTAATGATCCACCTGAAAGATATCATCCGATCATCACATGCGGGTGCTGCAACCTAATTAATGTCCTCTGGGGCAGGCATCAGTCTCGGGAGGACAATGTACTACCCTCGCTACCTACTAGAGAACCTTTTGCTGACATTTCAGCAACCAATACCCCCAAAAAACTACTCCGAGAACAAATTCTCCTTTGTATCGAGAACCAAGGTTTCAAGATTGGAGCTATGTCGAGGGGTTGGGACACCAATCGGCTTTCTACGAGGGAATTCAAGCAAACTTTATTGATGGAGTTTTTCTATTGTTCCGAGCATGTGTCGTCCGTGTTCATACATTAGGTATAGTCACAAGTGTCGCAAGATGCAGACCGAGTGCTAGTGAGGGGTCAAAACAATTACAACGTTAGCTAGGGCTTCACTCCATCTCTCTCTTTAGCATCAACGATATTATATATATATGTGTGTGTGTGTGTGTGTTCCTACAACCGTTTTCCACCCTTCGATCGGTGCCAGTGCATATGTAGGTAGGTTAGGTAGGTACCTATATACAAGCAGTAAGAGGACTAGCGTCATACGTGACTGAGGGTCGAATGATTAACGGCTTCCACGCAAGCTGTAAGGCTGAGTTGGGGTTGGGACAAAATCGAGCGCATCTTCACGAAAAATGTACACGAATTCTGGACGTTTGTTCTCGACAAGCCGCGAATACTAGGTCTAGCATTTCATCGTACAGATTACTTCGTACTTACCTCGACCTCCCCAGCTTTTTGAAAAGAGCCCAAGTCAGGGTAATTAACGAGCACCCGATAGACTGACATGGTTTTGTACGATGGCCAGGGGGACCATGCCTGAGGTAGGCGGGGCGAAAAATAGAGCCCGGGCGCCATTTCGTTGTATCTGACCCCACGTCCAGCCATGGAATAAGTTTGAGGGACAAGAGACGGTGTGAGCTCCATACAAAAAAAATACAAGAGGCATATAAATTATGCCTTTGGTTTAGTTCTTTCTTGTCTTCTTCAACGTTGAGCTATAATTACTGTAAGCTAAGTAGTTCGGGGCGTCATTGTCTCATGACCAAATGCCGACAAGTTGATCCGGTAATGTGGCTGCATGCCATGGTGGAGTTGGCATTGCTTCCCTCGATTTGCCAGGTCAAGCATGCAGCTTGCCATGTGTGTGCGACACTGCAACAGATTTGACCACGCTGCTTATCGGGCTTCGTGTCATGGGCGAGATCAAACAGCAGTTGTTGGTTCGATGCCAAATGATCTGGGGTCACATTGCTTTACCTCGACCAAAAGTCCTTCATGTCGCAAGCACTACTTGACTTTGTATCACGAGAAGATGGCCGCCCGTGGAGAGGTTCCCGCAGAGGATGAGACTGGAAGTTCAAGACTTTTAAGACACGGCACGAAATGGTGCCAACGAGATGCCTCGAGCGAGTCCGAGGCCTTTAAGCACCGCTATTTATGCATAATTTGCTATCTTATGGAGTGTTATTCGAGCAATACCAAGAGGGAAGAAAGGAATCGGGGGAAAGTAGCAAAATAAATTTGTTACGACATGCGGCACTATCGAGCATGGGCTGCTTATTTGGGGCCTCGCCTAACTAGACAATTGGCCAGATGCCTGGTGGCAACTACTCATGATCCACGCTTAGAAGAGGAAGGAAAAGGCGCCGGGGAAGTCTGAGCAGGTACATGGATAAATAATGCCGTTGTCAATGCTGTAATGTTGCATGTACTGGGCGCTCGTGAGCACGTTCGTGTTTCCCTGGTAAACAGATACGAATGTGCTGTAATGTATTCATAGGTGCCGTAGCTTTGTTTATTGGTATGACCCACATGTAGGGTGGAAGCATGAAAAGAGAGAACGACTGGAAATGGCGGCAAGAAATGGAGCACAGTGACAAATGGACGACGGGACCATGATGTGGAAATCATCCAAACTTCGGTGAGATTGATCCATTGGCAGCTCGAGATTAGTATGAGAACAGAGAGAGGATGGGAAGGGAACGCGCGAGAATATACGCATCAGCAGGGATCGAGTGTCGACGGAAATGCGATCTCTTTCGGCTGGGGCCTGTCAGCGTGCAAAGTTGATGATGGGATGCGATTGAGCCAAAGTCGTCATTGAATCGGCCACAGAAAGAAGTAATGAGTCAAATCAAGGCGGTAATTCCTGATCATCCTTGGGGGTTGCTCCGGATAATGGCGGCGCCAGGCCCAAGCCAGTGGATTATCCAGGGAATTTAATCCCAAGCCTATGAGTGTGTGGAATAACAGAATCCCGTACAACAAGCAAAGGACGATCGTGAATAGGACCCGAGCCCTCCTCATCAGCCATCGTAAACCAGCAAGGGCATGATGGGCGACAGGGATATGAGTGAAAAGAAAAGCAAAGAGGACTTGTATTGCCAGCTTTGACACACGCTCGCACCAGGAAGGTGGCCGAATGGCAAAAGGTGGCTCAACTTAAGAGTGCAGCTTGGCTCGTGACGGCCGATCTACGATTAGGAGACTCTGTATTAACGGTGGACAGGACGCCACTTTCCCATTCCTTTCCCCCATTTTCCTCGTAAGAAAAGAAGCGACCATGAACTGAATAATGAGATTAAATCAAAATGAATGACAAATTCCCAGGATTACAGGGCCAGCAGGGGAGAGAGAGAAAAAACCAAAGGGATTCGCCATCCGAGGGAAAAGCACAAACAAGAAGCACCAGCACATCGTAATCCTAAAGATTATGTGGTCGAGAGCGGAGAGAGGGGCCTTGTCCCTGGCTCAGCGGAGAATTCTTGCTGCTAGGCTAGTGTTGTTCGTTCGTTCAAAAATTCATCAGAGCCAGCCAGCCGTCTCTCTTCTGACTGGGCTCGCTCTGGGCCGGCCCCGATACTTCGATCCAGGTACTCTGTACCCTCTGTTCAATGTTAAAGCTTCCACCCCTTCCCCGTTCCTTGTGACTGTCTCTTCCTCTTCCGTTCACCTTTCTTCTCTCTTATTCTTCCCCGTCCCTTGCACCTTTGACATGATTTCCCCAGATATGACTGGCGTCGTCTGTCGTTGCGCTGTTCTGTTATTCCAATCGGTGACTGACTGACATACACAATATGTACACGGCCAATGAACCCCCCCACGGCATTAGCGCAAACGTGCAAATGGGTTATTACGGGCAACGGATTTTCCATCAGGATGAGACGCATGGCGACGCCTCAAACTGGCAGCGAGGTGACAGAGTCAGAATTTGCCGGAAATGAGTTGGAAGATCTGCTCGTGAGCACTTCTTTGCATCTTTTCCCTCTCATCCCACTGCCCGCAGGGTCGAATTGAGACACAACCGCCAGGGCACCAACGTTGCGCAAAACGGCACTTACGCCCGCCAAAAGCGGACTACCTTGGACGGTGGATTGACTGCACTCACCCCCGCTACACAAGAATCGGCTTTCTCAATGCAGATTAACTTCTGCTAGGGATTAGCAGAGCGAACTGTACTCACAAGAGAACCATTTTGGCCTCTTACTTCTCTTTCGGCATCCATCTGCTACCATTCAGTCTGATGGATGATGGGCAAGGCCCCGTGTCCAGGACAGGGCGAATGGTCAAGACGGCCAAGGATGTCTAGGGTGTCCCAGCTGGGCTGTTGCTCTACTGGTGGCAGAGTATGTATTGGCGCGGCGGGTAATACCGACAGGCGACATTCAAATCCTGCTAGGCTGCCTGTCCGGGCAGAGTGCGTAATGTATGGTGTGTGGGAGCGTTCGGGCACTACTGCTAACACCACTTCACACCACACTTCGGAAACAAGGATTTCTATTGGCCACGATCAAAAGTCATCGAATCAATCTGAATTGATCGCGGTGCTGTCAGCAGTCCAGATGATGGCCACTTTGGTCGTTCTACCAGCCGAATGACGACGAACTCCCAAGCGACTCGTCAGTTGGCTGGCTGCACCTTGGCCCAGGTTTAATCACCTGAAAAGGCTAACGATATTAACATAATATCCAATTTTGCTGGTAGAATTCTCTACGGCGATGCAAATTGGCAGATGCATTTCGCATTCTACTACTTCATGACTTACACCAGGACGTCCTCACCCATATTCACGCTTTCGAACATCATTCGCGACCACTATATTCCTCATCTATTGTGGCGATCAAAGAGGCGGTCCTGAGGTCGAGCCGCGATCTTACAGCAAATGCGAATGCCGGCAAAGCTACAACATGAACAGCTGCTTCGCGGGGGACACCATCAATACCCAATGGCCAGTTGAACCACAAGTCGTCCTGCGTCTAGGGCAAGTATTTCTTCAGCCAAAACTCGACTTGTGCCTGCAGTTACTGCTACCGTCTCTCATGAGCAACGCATCTACATAGTAGCAACCCAAGTCCGCTTCACGAATCAGCTCAAGCCCCATCCCTGGTCAAGGTAGGCGGGTATGTAGGAGCAGCGGGTCCAATGCATCCTGGTGAGTTACAGCTCACTAACAACTCAATAACTCATAAAAAAGAGGTAAGACATCTTCTGGTAGGTCGGAATAGGTAAGAAGCTACTTGAGCATTTTTCATTCTGTTCTATTCATTTCTCTCTTTCAATCATCATCAATCCAAGATGGATTTCCACGAGGTTGAGCAACCAAAGAGTTTTGCCTATGCTCAATTGGACCAACAGGGCAAGTCAAGTTTGGGCCAAACCAACCCAAATTGAGGCAAGGCCCGTGCGCTGCGTTTGTTTTTGTTGTAATGTTATGCACGGCAATAGTGCCACGCGTTCCTCTTCTGCGACTCTTTGGCCTCTGCACGACCAAAACCATCGAGCTCAGGAACCTCTGCGCCTAACAGTTGCGACGCTCTTGCTTATCGATTTTTTTCTTGACGTCGCGTCGAGCTGCAGCTAGTCTACCTCGGGACTAGCACCTTTCACCTCCAACAGCATTGAAATCACATTCGCTCCCAAAGGCTCCAAGATCACCCAAGCAAAACTCTCAGCGCGCTCCCGAACGTTAGGTAAGACCTATTCTCATCAGTCGCGGTCCATTTTCCTGCCCACCCCGTCCCCTGGCCCGTCCGATATACTCGGAAATATCGAATAGAAGCTTGTCTTGTGCCACCGGCGTTGGTTACGGGTGGCCGAGACCGTTGCGCTGTGCTGCAAACTGCTGGTTGTGTCCAGATCGGCCTTAACATCAGCTGCGGAGTGAGAGTTCACTTCCCTCAGCCAGCCGAAACGTGGGCCCTGCTAGTAACAGCAAATTCTCCGCACCAAGCAGCCGTAGGGGAAGACCAAGGAACGCAGAGAGGACACTGGAGACCCAAGGGGAGATAGAGAGGAGAAGAAGAAGAAAAACCCTCTCTTTTACCTACCTAGCCCAGTACCTTCTCTTGCTTGCCTGCTTGCCAGCTACGCTACTGTCCACTCACAATCAGTAAGCACGGGCATCTTTTGGGGCTCTCACTCGTTCGCCCGTCGCACTTCCACCAGGCGCTCACTCGCTCGCTCACTCCCACGTAACCCCCCAGCTTCCGTTCCCCCCCCCCCCCCCCACGTCCACTCTCTCGTTCCCAAAAGGCCAGAGCCTTTTCCCACCGACCCCCCCAGGCGCTTGTGCACTTGTGCTTGTTGCGTTTGGCCCGACCCAGCCCCAACAGCCCGAACCGACACTGCTACTCCTTCTTTCGCATCGGTCAGTCACCCCCATCGACCCGCGACAGACGCGACGCTTGCATCGCGACGTGTCACTGCCCATCAATTTATACATCATTCCTAATCTTAATGGACCTGTCGCTATCCACTCCGATTGCTGACATTGCGTAACCTGTAGGCTGATGGGTGCTGTTCCCGTTTACCCAATCTTGCGTTCAGAGTCATGAGTTCTTGGATGAACGAGGCAGCCACTGTCCAGAACCATAATGGCAATAACCCATTTCCACACATGAACGACCCGAATAATCTTGGTGGACAATCGACCATGATGGATCCCTCCGCGTTTATGGCCAACCCAGGCCAATTCAATCCTGCCGCGAACCCGGCCGCCGCCCAGTTCGCCAACCCACAACAAATGGCTGCTGCGATGCAAAACGGCCCGATGCGCAATGCGTCGCCGGGCTTCCAGAACCCCGTGTATCAAACTAATCCTGTCGTTCCTTCAAAACGACCTCGTCCGCGAGAAGACAGCATGGGCGCATCGCCGAGACAGAACCCAGGCATGCTCCCGACGTCGCGCGCCGATACGCCACAGCAGTCTCAATTTCCTCCCGGCTTCCAGCCGAATGCGATGGGCCAGCAACATCCAGGACAGCCTCAGCAATATCCCCATCTCCAGCCGAATGGCTCTGCGAACGCGTCGCCTTCGCCAGTGATGGCCGGGAATCAATTGCGACCAGGAAGCGTGCCGCAACGCGTCAACACGGCGTCTCCACATCCATTTTCTCCAGCTTCGCAACATTTCGGGCCTCAAGCGTCGCCAGTACCGTCAGAGCACGGCGGTACGCCTCAGCCGAATCCTTACATGCAAAACCAGAACCAGAACTTTGCTCAGGCCTACAACCCCAACTACACGCCTTCCCCCTCGCCGGCCCGCCCGCCATCCACTCAAAACCCGATGGCTCCTCAGATGATGCCGCAACAAATGGGTCAGATGCCCGGGCAAATGCCAGGACAAATGCCTCCGCAAATGCAACAGATGCATCATAACCAAATGCAACAGATGCAGATGCAACAAATGCAACAGCAAATGGCCGGTCGGGGAATGGACCCTGCCCAGCAGCAAAAGATGATGTATCAAATGCAACTGCAACGACAACAGCAGCTCAATATGGCTGGAAACATGGGCAACATGGCCATGACTGCGCAACTGCAGGCTGCCCAAGCTGCCCAGGCCGCTCAAGCTCAAAACATGGCTGCTGGCCGTGGCATGATGCCTTCCAAGCCTGGCATGCCCATGGCCAATGGCCAGATGCCTCCTGGTGCCATGAACCCGCAGCAACAGCCACAGATGCCGCGTGGCACCAATCCAGAAGCTTTCATGAAGAATCTCACCAGCTTTATGCATGCCAATAATCTGCCTCTGGATACGAACCCCATTATTGAAGGGAGGCCGCTCCACTTGATGCAGCTCTTCATGGTAGCTAGCAAGTTTGGATTCTTCCGCAACATTACGCAGCGGAACATGTGGTCGCAAGTGGCGCAAGCGAGTGGCTTCCCTGTGGTACAATATCCAACCGCACCAATGCAAATCAAAAATGCTTATGAGCGCAATTTGCTCAAGTTTGAGGACGCTTGGAAGAAGCAGAAGAACCAAGGGCAGCCTCAAGGACAAGCAATGGGCAACGCGCCTGGCATGGTTCCTCAGCCCGGTCAGATGACGCCTCAGAGGATGACACCTCAAGGCCAAATGCCTCAAGGGCAGATGCCTCACGGCCAACAGCAGCCCATGCAGCCCGGGCAGCAACCTCCAATGCAACAACCTCACGCGCAAACTCCCGTCAAGCAGATGCCTCCCGGTATACAGCAAGTGAACGGGTTCTCGACACCGCAACAAGCACAGGCTGCACAGCAGCCGCCGACCATGGTGCAAGGGCATATGAGAAACAGCCTCTCAAGGAGTGTTGATGCGACTCCTGTGACCGGAGAATTTCCCATGCCATCTCCGTCACCTGCCAAGCCAGGTGCCATGCCTATGCCACTTCCACAAGGTCAGCCAGACTTGATGCAGCCCAATGGGGCGCCAGGTTTCCCCGGGCCTGCTGTAACCAACCCCGACGAGTACATTGTCTGTTCCCGTGAGATGAATGAAAACAATTATGGCGGATATGACCTAAAATCCATTCACCAGCTCGGGACCGAACTGGAGCAGTGGCGCCCAGATATCCCGCCGCCCATGGAACTAGGACTAATCGACCTGCATGCCCTGACAAAGAGTCTTCAGAGTGGCATACATGGAGAGATACGTCTGGCATTGGACACTCTCGGCACTGTGACGTACGAATCTGCGCGTAACATGAACTTGGTCATTGACCTGAGAGGCTGTGATGACCTGGTAGAATCACTTATTGATTGCGCAGAAGATCAGGTGGATATTCTTGCAGAAGGCACTAAACCGATATCCGATGAGATTGATCTCACGTCCTACGAAGATGTCGTGAGACAATGTCGCCATGAGCAGCGCACCCTAAAGAAGGCACACTCTTTTGGTGATGACGATTACGAGCTCGACCATGCAGCAGATCGTCTCATAGCCATCACCACGATACTCCGCAATTTATCATTTCATGATGGAAATTTCGACCTCTTGGCAGACGAAGTTGTCATCAAATTCCTTTGCAGCACAATCCGGTCACTTGGCACTCTTGAAAGTCTTCTGCAGTCGCCCAAGAATACGTTGGATTTCATGAAGGACGTAGTGGTTCTCCTATCCAACATTTCTGGCTCAATAGAGTTGCCAGGCCGGGAGCAAGCATTTTGCCTGCTCCAGTTTTTGCTCGCCTTTGCTCCTTCGCCAGCACCGACGACGACGACAGGCAAGATCCTATTCTCGCCTTATGAGCCTGCCACGCATGTGTACCTTCCACACGCAGTCGATGCGCTAGCAAAGCTCTTTGCTCGAGACGAACCGAATCGGACACACTACAAGGCCATTTTCGCAATTGATGCAGCTTCTTCGCCTCCTTGTGAACTCTTGACCCGCACGTTTGGTTTGGCCATCTGTTCCATTCCGGATCAAAACAAGGAAAGCAGACCAACTAGCCTCCCGTCTGTTATTGAGGCACGGAAACCTCTGTTGATGCAGGGTCTGCTTGCTGCAGACATTATTGCCTCGTTAGCACCGGGTTATGAGAGTGGAGTTACTCGTGCTTGGCTCTCGTCAAGTGAAGGCTTTGCACAAAATCTGTACAGGTTAATACGGTCGCTATGTCAGCAAGCGGAACCGACTCCGCCGGTTGGGCGCGGAAACACAAGAGCACAGCCAAAGGAGGATTCGGATGTATTGCACATCATTAGCTGGGGAGTATCACTTCTCCGCAGGCTGTGCGAACGGTCTCGGGACCCCAACGATCCTACCAGCATCCCGCCCACTGCGTTGCCGTCGAGGGACAGCTTGTTCAATGCATTTCAGACTTTGAAGGCGCCGAAGTGGGCGGCTCTTCTGAGTCATTTGAGTTCTTATGCCGGCTTGGAATATTAACGGGGGAAAGGGCATTTTCAAAGGCGTTTAGCGGAGTTGGAGCCAGCGATTCTAGAACCAAAGTAGATATGTGGATATACTTGTACCAAAACCTGGCTTTGCTGTAGATTATGGATTCATGGTTGTATGACATGGTGGAGGCGCGTGACCGCCTTCAAAACCATCGCAGGGGGCTTAGTCCATAAGAAGTATGAATTTGAAGAAGTTGAAAAGTACAGTGATTATGAGCATTACTAGGTGCCTCAGAATGCCTTCTGTTTCCAATCTTGGCGGTATCTACTCAGGGGGCCCGATTGTGTATAGATTCACCATTCTTCTGCCGTCCCATTGTGAATGATATGCTCTTTTCCCCCCTTCTGTGCTTGCTTCTGAAGGCCGGTTGCCTGATGGCCCGATTTCTCCAGAGCTGTGTGCCTGGTTTCCGCACCACCCACCAGTATGAGGCCCAGGATTGTTTGTGATGGTTGTGATTCCATGACAAGAGAGGTTTCCGTCTGATGTGGGTTTTTCCCTAGGAAAAGCGGAGCAGTCTTGACGGCACACCTCCTGCTCCATGCCTTTTGAGGGAATGCATTGACCCTGGGAAGGAAAATGGACTGGGGAGAGGGGTGGGTGGGCACGTTGTTCGTCTTCTTTTGATGTCTCTGTACTTTTTTTTTTATTATGAAAATGTGGAATCATCTTTATGCTAACCCTTGCTTGATGTAGTTATTTATTGCCCCATGACCATGGAGAACCGTGTTTCTCTTTCTTTTGCATGAAAATACGGTCTTGCTGTCAGAACCCGCAGTGGTTCGTGTGTTGGTTCTGGCTGGTGCCGCAAAACAAAGACGTTCTATCTACATGTATATTTAGAATGTGGACAGCTGTAGGGTGTATGTGGAAAGAAAAAAGAGATATGCGCAGATGCAGTTGCTCTGATTATCGGTCTATACAACTCGGAAGTCGGTACATAATAACCTTGGTGATGTTGCATAGGCCACGACGGCCATGGCTAACAGATGACCCAGCCGAGACATGACCATGTTCAATTCGGGTCTGAAGAGTACGTCAGTGGGACCAAGCTTTTTAGGACACCCTTGAACAGCAGCCTCCGATCTTCCGTTGATATCGTCTTATCCATCTTCTCCATCATACTGCTCAAGTGCTGCTTCTTTGTTCAATGGAGAATGAGGACAAAAGGTTTCTGGAATTGGTTGGCTGGCATTGACAGAACCTGAGACGCGAACTAAAAGAGCCATTGCGCTAGAACTTTGTATGGCTGTTAGAAGTGCCATGCCATCTTGTGCCCCCGTTGATCAGAGCAAGTTTACGAGGAAAGCAGCACGAACTTGGAGGATATCCAAGACTGGACAAAGAGAACTGAACTTGTCCATATCAAGACTTTAAACTGAAAATCTACGGCCTTGTTGTTGATTTTGAGTAGTGATGGACTCGATTATGATCTCATGCTTGTTTCCAATGGCTTGCGAGTTATTCGAGGTAGGTGCGCTAAGGGACACGCTACTACCCCCGCGCTGTTGCAGTTACGTCGGTCGGTCGGCACTTGGGAGTTGGGACGGGTTGATTGTAACTACTACGTAGTAACCTTTTCAACCGCCATCTCGTCACGACCATACACATTCAACAACTCTGTCACAAGCCCTCAGAGATGCTTGCATAATTAAATTGGGATGTGCACGACTCAGCCTTGGGACCGGGCGCGGGCTGTGATTGTGAAAATCTGCCTTGTTGGCGGGCTGGGAAAAAACAACACATCAGAGCCTCTTCAGGAAATGTTTTGAAACGGCCATCGGTCGCCAACCAGGAACACATACAGTGAGGTCTGACCATGACGGCCTCCCGAACGGATAACCTTTTTGCCACTTGGGTTTTGACTAAAGCTGACAGCTTCACGGTGCTTGGCATGTATCTTCAAGGGGTGGCCATCCAGGGCATCTAACCAGTTACAGGCGAATACCCAAAAGAAGAGAGCGAGATACCATGACAACAATTCTTGTCCAAGCCAAGCCTTTTGGAGGCTCAAATCAGGAGGCTCCCTTGTGTGTTAAGGGTTTTGGATTCCGAAGATCCCGTCGACGATCCTACCAGCTTTTCGGCACTGCGACCGTCCCCAGAGGCCTAAAGCTTGGTAATTCAGCCCGCACTCGACACTCTGTTCAGCTCGACCAGCTGCCGAGGGGGTGGTCCGGTGACAGGGGGGTTCCGAAACGTACAACGTGCCGGAACTCGACGCCTCCCCCCGACCAGAGGCCTCTCACTTAAGCTCACTTAAGCCTATTTTGGGTGCCGTCCATGACCGACCCCTGTCTTCTCCCCCAGAGACGTGGACTGATGGGAACCCTTTTCGTCTCTGTGAAGCATCATAGAGCCAGGGTCCTGTATGTGCACCTGTCTCACGTCGGACGATCCAGTTGCGACGAGTGTTGGGATGGAGGAGTGGGTAACAATGGGGGAGACTTGGTTTTGACTGCTGCTCGCTCCCAAATTAGGAGTATTCGTGTAAGTCGGGTCGGCGATGGGATGTTTGTCGATCAAAGCAAGAAGGCAGCATACCAAGCTTTCTTCTGTTCTGGGCACTACCACCATCTCTTCTCTCCTTCTTTTTCTTCTCTATTACTTTGCTTATAGATTCAAGCGGTGACAAATATCTTTTTTGTTTTATTCATTTTTATCAATTTCAATACTAAACACCAATCAGCAAAGCGTTTGCATGAGAGAAATCTGACGATTATCGACTCTTTTTTTTTTCCTTTTCTCCAGTCTTTTCCTTTCTCTTCGTGGAACCTGGTGTTCGTTGCCCTGGAAAAGCCATTTGTGATTTTGTATCTGTCGGTTCTAATCGCTTACTAAATCCACAATGGCCGGCCTTTTGAATGGAGTTTTGCCCGACGTGTCGCTGGGTTTGGGCTTGGGTGACGATGGTGCTGGCACCACGGCCACCGCACAGGGAACAGCGTCGCCACCACCGCCTCCCCCTCCCCCTCCATCTTCAGCCGCGGATGAGTCAACAACAACTACATCTGCGGCAAAGAAGACTACGGCGGTGAATAATGGGGACTTGCCTCAAGTGACGGGTGGAGCGGGATCGGTGTTGAGCCCGGAGGATCCTGATGATGGCGATGACAATGACGCGACAACGACTACTAAGGATGGTGGGAAGAACGGGAACGGAGGCGCAAAGGATAGTGGTGACAAGACAACAGCGTCCTCTGACTCTACCACTTCAAAAACAACGGCCGCGGCCGAGACCACCGCGGACAAGTCTACAAAGATCACGTCCTCTGCAGACGCCAAGACAACAAGCACCAAGGCTGCCCCGGCTCCGGCGACGATCCCGACGTCCGCAGCCTCAACTACTTCCTCAGCTACTAGTATAGAGGTTACCACGACATCCTCTTCTGGCCTGCCCACGACGTTGGTCACTAGTATTGCGTCAGGCAAGCAGAGTACTGACGTCAGCTCCGCTATCGACCTGAGCAGTATCCTGCCCAGCAGCCTACTCTCCACGACCACGTCAGCGATCGCCGAGGCACAGCTGACCTCGGCCCTCTCCTCAACGGCCACGGATGCCCTGGCTACAGGAGCTGCGGGAAGTAACACGCTGACGCAGGCGTCGACTTCGGATGGCGGCTCGGGCGGCATGTCCAAGGGGGCCACGATCGGAGTTGGTGTCGCGGGCGGCGTGGGTGCCATTGCGCTCATCGTGACGGGCATCCTGGCATGCCGACGTTACTGGCGCGGTCGGCGCGAGGCCAACGACGATGCCCTGCGCAAGCTTGACGACCTGTACGAAAAGGGCCGTCCCGTCGACTGGGTCGAAAAGGACAATAGTCGCTGGAACAAGGGCCTGGAGCAGTTCCACGATGCTACTCGGCCCGCCGAGCTCGCCTCCCTCTCTTCAGGAGCCTCCATGCATTCTCGAAACGGCAGCCGAGCCGACAGTGTCAAGGAGATGCCTGCTCATGCCATGTAAACGGCAGCGTTGGTCGACTGTCTCTCAAAGACTCCATCTCTTTCTGACGCATTCTGTCTTCTTGGTCTCATGAGTATGGTTGCTGGTGCACTGGGGTATAGAGATTGCAGAGTTTATGCGCATTAGCAATGCGTATCAAACTCGTCGAAGGAAGAAGAAAAGAAAATGAAAACGAGAACAATGAAAACAACCATAAATATTCTAATTAGTGATGTACTTACAGGCATATGAAATTTCAGCCTGGTGGAACATGTGTAGGATTGCGCAGGAATTTTGATTACAAAACTTTGCTCTCCCGTTCGAGCAAGAAAGATCTATACTCTTAGAACTCGCTTTGAAAACCAGCATAAATGAAGTTCGGATCACTCGCTTGGAATAATACCAATATTAAAAATCAGAACTTTGCTTTTTACTCCCGCCTCATCCTGTAATTTGTCATAGTATTATTAGGTATCGTGTATTCCGTCGTATCTGATTCCAAAAACTCCAAATATATGCAATGCTATGCACGCTGCCATGAATATCATATGTTCCACTCTTTGTTCATTTGTTTAATCGTAATTCCTCGCCACCTCTTGGGAAGACAACCTACAAGGGATACTCGGTATTATGAGAGAGGCGTCGCGGCCGGCAACACAACGACAGGTCCATCTCCCTTGACCAGGCCCTCAATCTTGGGCATGAGCTCGGGGATACGGAAGGGCTTGGAAATGGCGTCATCCATGCCGGCCTCGCGAGCCTGGGCCACCTGCTCGCTGCGCGCATTGGCGCTCACGGCCATGATGGGCACGTGGCTGGTAATCTGGCCGGTGTCCTGGAGGTCGCGTATCGCCCGTGTGCACGTCAGTCCATCCATTACAGGCATCTCGATATCCATAAGGATGACGGAGAGCTTGATGGCTTGCTGGGATGATGACTGTGCTACTGATCTCGTGTCCAGCACAGGCGGCGACTCGGGTGGAGATGTGGGAACATGGCCATTCATCATGGGCATGGGCGCAGAGGAGGAGTGGCCCGAGGAAGGAGGAGAAGGTAGCGGATCTGACTTCCAGTATTCTGTTTTGCGTAGAAACTCTAGGACTTCTTTGCCGTGGTTGGCTACGTAAACCTCGCAACCCGCCTTGCGCAATTGTTGGGACAGGACCTTTTGCTATTGCTTGGGTTAATTGCTATTCTCAACACAAATTAGCAGGGACAAGGGATTAAAAAAACGTACGTTTACAAGATTGTCTTCCACAATTAGAACCGAGTACCGAGGCGCCTTTTCTATGCTCGCATTCAATGCTTCCTGGCCCTCTATGGGGTGGCCATCCTTGCTCATGACTCTGGTAAGGGGATAATCTCCAAGCGTGTCGAATCTTCCGGCTGGGGTCGGAGGGTCGGTCGTTCGCGTGGCCACAAAGAAGGCAAAGGTCGAGCCAACGTCTGGTTCAGATTGGACTCCAATGGCTCCGCCCTGCAGCTCGGTGAGCTTCTTGGATATGAACAAGCCCAATCCACTGCCACCATAGCGGATATGCGTCCTCGGCGTCGCTTGTGAGAACCTCGTAAACAGGTTGACCTGTTCGGCCGTGGTCATGCCACAACCCGTGTCACGACATTGTATCCATATGTACACTTGTCGGCCGGCCCCCCAATCTTCCTTGTCCAGCAGACCGCTGGCATCCGTTGTAACACTGGCAAAGGGTATGCCTCCAAAGCCGTCAGAGGGCTTTGTGACGCGCCCACCCAGGATGACTTCGATCTTGCGGTGTCGCCGGTCGCGGGTGAATTTAATGGCATTGGTCAACAGGTTGATTAGAACTTGAAGCACACGACTTGGATCCATCATGACAAATTGCGCGCCAATTTCTTTCAATGATGGATCCTCGACAAACTTGAGCTCAATCTCGTCCTTGTGGCATTCAAGCTCAAACATGTGAACGGCCTCGGAGACGATACTTGCAGGGTTCACTCGAATTGGTGTAATCGCCAGAAGGTTTGAGTCCATCTTGGACAAAGTGAGCACGTCGTCTATGACACGCTTTTGATGGTTGGAACATGATATAATGGTGTGTAGCGAGTCCAGACAAACATTGATTTCGTTGTCGATTTGCTTCGTGACCGTGACCAAGTCTTCGTGTCGCCAACGCGCCGTGAGCGACGAGACGGATCTTAAAGAGTCGATAGTGGAGTCCGCACACTGGATGACCGCTGAAAGTGGATTGCGCATTTCGTGCGAGGTCATGTCTATGAAGTTCTCGTGCTTGTGTTTGGCATCAAGAGCCTCCTGTACTCGCGACTTTTGAATCTCTTCTGCCCACTTGAACCGCGATATATCCGTCATGGTTCCGAAAATAGAGACAACGTTGCCCTCTTGGTCGAGTTCAGGAAACGCTTGACTCTCGATCCATGCTTGCCTGACATTGCCATCTCCAAGCCCCCAGGTGTGCCGTAGGCGGAAATGCGCCATGGTGCGCTGCTTTTCGTGAACGAGCTTCTTCCACTGTTCGTCCACGATGCTCTGATCTTCTGGAAAGGCAACGTAATTCCAGTTGATGTTTCTGTACTCGTTCGTAACAGGATGTCCAGTCAACTCAAAAAAGCGATTGTTGCAGTATGTCATTCGTCCTTTTGCATCGCAGATATATATGGCTATCGGTGCTAGAAGTGCAAATCTCGCAAACTTGCGCTCGCTCGCTCGGGCCCGTTCCAGTGCTTCCGCTCGTTGAAGCGCTTCCTCTTGCACCATTTTCTGTGCATTGATATCGATCGTGTTTCCCGCGATACTGAGAAGATTGCCGTGATCGTCCTGTATTGGCACGCAGGCTGATAGGACCCATTGGAATTGACCAGGCTCGTCATCCCCGGCAGAGTCCCGGTAATCTTTCCCTTTCCATCTCATCTCAAAAGTAATGGGAATTCCCTGAGCGAGTTTGTTCCATTGTGCAAGAACGAGAGCCGTATCTGCCGGATACACGAGGTCCATGAAGGAAAAGTCGGGTGCTTCCCCTCCCGGCGGGTGGAGGCTCAAACGGTACCACGATTCATTTGCGCGTAGAAGCTGCCCCTGCGGGCTGTACTCGAAGGTGCCAACATCACTCATTTCCATCATCTTGTAAAGGCTTGCTAGCCGCACGTCTGCAATATTGACGCCCTCGAGGGCTCTGGTACTCGATGGGGGCAGCGCGAAATAGCTCTCCTCGCCATTGCTGTCCTTTGCGATGCCGGTAGCTTGAATGCATTTCCAGTGGCCTTGAATCTTGAAACCAGTCCATATTCTTCCTGCGAAACTGTACTCCTCTCTCCAGTGCTTCACCACCTGGGTCCACGCCCGAAAGTGTCTGCCCTCGTTGGTCTCGGCCAAGGTGTCAGCCTCAAAGTAGCCCTGTAGGAAAGCGGCATTTCGAAATGATAGTTCAAATAACACGGGTCCAAACTCATTAATAGGAACAAGAAAAGTCGGCCTCGGATCTGCATCCAGGAAAGACGTCAGCGACGGCAATCTGGGGACGGCATTATAGAGCTCCACCGCATCGCAGCTCTCAGCTCTCAGGGAGCTGATAGACATGGGTGGTTCCCGGATGCTTCGCATCACTTGAAAACGCCTAGATTCAATGTCGCCAGTAGTGGTGGTGCAGACATGCTCCTGCGATCCCGACGTTTTGGAATGCAACAGGAGCAGTAGGCAGGAGAATAAAAGGGGGATGAATCCTAAGCCAAAGCAAGTTGCCAAAGTGAGGAGAAGGAGTACAGGGAAATCGCGAGTTTGGCGGCCGGTGGGTTTGGTTCTTTGGGCAAAAAGGACCTTTGGGAAAGCCACACGGGACTAAAATGGCAGCCCCTTTGGTGACCTTCTTAGCTCCTCTCCGGGCCAAGGCAAATAGCAGTACGTAGGTTAAGTATGTAGTAGGGCAATCCGGTCACCCACGTATGGGAATTTTTAAAGTTACAGAGATATGCGATCTCTGTACTTAATCGGGAGAGGCACGTTTCGGGGGTGGCGTGCGCAGGGTCTCTCCCATACCTCTAGTCCCGCCCTGGGACATTGGGAAACCGTCTGACCACGATCTGACTCGTCCGCTGAAGTCCGCACAAACTCGGAGGACACTTGCAAGAGACTGGCTTAGCTTGGCTGATCTGGCAAGCGGACCGACAAGTTTTCACCAGACATATCGACGATCGCATCGGCGGCTGCTGGAAACCGTGAGGCCAACCACTCAGTGCCGCTTGGTGCCAGGCCAGTCAATATGCCAACTAGACCCAAGCCAAGGCGGGCCGTGGGACAGATTTTGGTCGGCTCTAGTCTTGTCGCAAAAATGCGTACCCCTAGTCTTAATGACATCATTGGCCTTGTGGATTAATAATAAATCATGAGAGCCAGACAAATTGAACCCAGCTGAACAAATTTGGACTTTTGTTTAAAAGGGTTTGATCTTGCTTGACAATTGAAAAAGGTCCTTGTGAATCTGAGAGCCTATATAATCAGCACCCTTGGGCGGGGACGTGTATACTGCTCACCAGCAATGCTGGTTCTGACGTCCGAGTCATCAGTCGAATCTATGTTTTGTGATCGGCAATAAATTAGTCAGTAGGGGCCGTCCAATCAAGTGGGAATACTGCAAGAGTCGTTCATCTCTTGCTGATCCGTTGACCTGGACCGACCACCTGGTTGCCTGGACCCTGAACCCTCTGAAGTGCGCCTTTTGACTTGTCGCCAAGTCCCGTCGGGATAAATCAATCCGGGCAGCATCAACCAATTCTGGTAGGCTGCAGGTCAATCCTGCCCACGTAGTATGCAGAATATTTGGATCCATATGAGAGTGAGGGCCGGCACGTACCTGACTACTGACCAGTAGCTCACGGACGTCACTATACCCAAACATCTAGCGAAGTGTTCGCAGATATCCTGGTCCCTGGGTACCTCAGTCGCTGTTGTAATTTCATCCTACTTCAAACGTCTGCTTGAACGCCATTCCACTCCCACATCATGTCCCATGATTTCTCTAGTAAGTGGGCGCGCGATCGAACATGTTTATGGAATTGACTCTTTCCTGGCGCCCCCAGCGGGTCTCTTGCATGGATCTTGTTTTTCAAATCACATGGGTATCTCACAGTCCAGTCGTGGTTCGGCAGATCTGAGTGGGGCTATAAATGTCGCTTGAAAGGGTAAACCGAGCGCCCGCCAATGGATATCCAGGTGCATTATGAGCAAGACCTTGTTTAGTATTGCTTTGGTTGCACTTGTTGGTTGTGCTGCGTCCGCAGGTCGAGCTTATCGGAATCCCCAATAGCTCGGAATTCCATCAACACGACAGTGATGCATTGGCAGGTGTAGGATGTCTTGGCGGTGTAAGTGGCATGTACAACATTGGATCAAGATGCTGCGCCCTTGCCAGAGATCGAGACGTCTTCTGAGGCTGCAGTCTCTCTGCGGAGTAGCTAGTGCTCAATGTCGCTTGTTTGTTCATAAGAGGCTTTGTCTCATTCACAGCAATAGTCAGAACAGGTCAGGCAGCTTGTTCCTCATCGCCGAATATAGATTCCTCCGCGACCATATGCCTTGTCGATCATCGTGGCACTGTTGCTTCGAACTCCAGCCAGATGAAGTGGGATGCTATCAACTCTCTTCTGTACCTGAGTCCTCGCAACAACGTACTTGTCAGCTAATGATTGTGCTGACTTCTCGGACTTCATTCTCTCCATCGTCACTTGTGATCCCCATGATTCACGACTCAAGCTTGCCAGCGCAATGTCAATATCAAGAGCTGCTGTATCGGCGGAAAGATTCAATTGTCGTGATCCGTCTGGTAGTGATGCCGGACGCAAATAAGCCATGACGACGCTCTTGAGTTTTGCACCAACAAAATCGGCTTCGCCAAAGTCATGAATCATATGCACAGTAGCGACATTACCTGCGGCAATATTTGGCGATGCATAGGGCGAAATAGCGACCGTAATGATGGCTTCATGCCAGTCTTGTGAAATGTTATCCATGCCTTTCACAGGCTCTATGCGAGCCCAGCCGAAATAAACTCCATTTAATCGAAGGAGCAGATCGCTGGAGACACCCTTGAGATTGGCGGTGGGCAATCCCAGCTGGGCTCGACTTTGACCACTTCCTGCTACAACAGTTCCAGTCAGTTTGATTGGAAACGGCTTGTCAGGTCCAGAGTCGGCTCCGATAACTTCGGGAGGAGCATCCAGTATCAGAGCATCATGGAAAGGCTTATAAGAAACATCTCGGGCACTGTCGAAATTTTGTTCCAACGAATTGAATCTATCTTGCAAGCCAGACTTGGCAAAGGCAATATGTTCCGCTCGTTCGGCGATGAAACCTGGCTTGTATTTGTTTGTGTACTTCTGAACACGGTTATCGACTACTGCCCTTGCTGGCCCAATGTATCGGTTGGCGACTGTGGTGCCAACTACGGATGCCACTTTGAGGCCAGCCTCGATGGGCATGGACGAAAGACTCGCACCGCGGAAGATGCTGACATCGGTCGAAGTGCTCGCGATACGGAATACAGGGCTTGGGCACAGCACTTTCTTTCGACTCTCCCCTGTGCAGAGAACGAGGCGAAGATAGCCATCGGATGCTGCTGCCGGGACGCGGATAACACAAGTTTCGCGAGCGACATGTCGAGACCCTTTCTTTAAGAATCTCTTGATGTCTCGTTGATAGGCACGTTCATCTGATTCCGGAACGTCGGTTGACATGGCCTCGTAGGTCGGCGTCACATCGATCCAGTTGGCTGAAGTGCCCAGAAGGGTGCTGACATTCATGCCCAGATTGCCCGAGAAGCCCTTGCGTTGGAGCCACAGCGAGCGGTCTTGTGGGAGTGCTACGTCTGAGAAAATGGTGACTGTGACCCTCGTGGAAGGGCCCTTGTAGTAGACAATCGCAGAAGAGTGTCTCAGGATGCTGTAGTGCTTGGTAGTCTCTGCTGGGCGCGATATCAAGCCGCCAGCAAAGTAGACCGTCTCATCAATAGCAGCCTTCCAGAAAGACTTGGAAGTACTGGGCTCATCGGGTATGGTAATTTCCGTTTTCGTGATTGTATCTGATGACGATGATACGCCTGGGACCACGGGAAGAGTGTTTGGCCGGGAGGGCATCGTTGGCCGGGACACCAACGTAAGCTCAGTCGCCGTCCCAACCGAGTTGTTCCTGCTTTCGCTCTCATCATTATCATCGTAATAATCGTCGAGGAGATCGTCAAGGGCATCTTTAGCGGACGAATCTGCCTCTTCTGATTGTGCCTGTGCCTGCGCCTGTGGTAGAGGCTTGCGTTTGATATTCTCCATGGGGTAGTTGGAGCTCATGTTGTGGCCATACTGGAACAACGTTTCCAGTCGTAAGAAGCAGCAGCTCAATGGGTGTAAATGTTTCTTGTTGAATTGGGTGTGGCGCTTTCTACATATCCAGTTTGCTCATTGCATTTACAAGGGGACAAATGTCAAGAGAGCATTGTGTGATGCAAATAAAATATATCCTGCATCAGATGGGAGATCTGTAGAAATTCGAGTCTCCTTTGTTCAGGGTAATACCTAAAGGTCCATTTCCCCAGCCAATTCATCAAAGCCCCCCACATTATGGCCAATACAGGTCTCACTTGACGTTTTAGCGGGCTTGGAGATGCCTGCAAGCCTGTCGCATTCACATACTCTGGGGATGGGGGATGGTACCTAAATGCAGCTGATAGCGGTACGGGGTCCCCCCTCGAGCTCCCTGATAAGACATTGCCAATCGGGCGTTTTAGCGCCGTCCTTTACCGTCCCTGGCCGATCGATGCAGGCATGTCTGCCTTCAAGGTAGCAGCACTCAGTGATAGTGACTGCATGTGAGCTACGAGCTGCATTTGAGCTCCGAGCTTCCAGCATGAATCGGGTTGGACTTTGTTTCTTTCCTCTCCTTCTCTTCTTTTCATTTTCCACCTCCATCGGGTGTCAGAACTTATTATCCATCAGATCCTTGGGTTGTGACAATGTAGCATGTTAAGCATCTGTCGCACATAAACAACAACATTACCGCCTTGGAAACTTCAACAGTGCTCCTACATTTTTCGTCACCATGGCGTCTCGAAGATCCTCAGCCTCGTCTTCCCCCCAACACTCTCGCCCGTCTTCCCATCATGGCCAACTCGATGATTCGCACGATATACCCGTCGAGACTCTTGTCCAGCACCTTCTGGAAGCCAAGAAGTCACTATCGTCCATGGCCCAGGTCTTGCGGGCTAACGAGATCGTGACTGCTGCCCGGCAAGCTCATGAGGAGTCAGTGATCCTCGGAGCCCAGGCCCAGTTTCTTCGACGCGGCATAAATGATCAAATCAGACTGTTGTTGAGAGCTCGCCGTAGTATGACCAAAACCTACAACAGCGGAAAGCGAGAATTCAAACAAGTAATCAAGAGCCTCGATGCCGCCAACGGACAACTAGAGATCACCATGGATGTGCTGCGCGACCGAATAGTCGAAAGTGCCTTCAGGCCACAGGGAGAAGAGAGGAGGAACCTGCTGGACTTTGTCGACGTCGCGCAAGTTGAAACGATGCACAGCACATTAAAGGATAATATTGCTGCTCTACAGGTGAGTCAAGCACTGCAAATAGCCAACATCCCGCGCTGACCATCACATCTTGAAGAGTACTCAGACATCATTTGATGGCGATCTTCTGCGCTTCGACGACGACCTTCGGGCTCTTAACAAGACCATAGCCGCCGCACCTTCTCAACCGTCTCCGTCCGCTTCAAACTCCTACCAACCCGTCCCGCATCTACTCGCTTCGCTGATGGAAAGCTCTCAAGACATGGCGGAACTCCTTGCATCCCTGACACAACATTTTGATCTGTGTGTCACTGCTGTGAGGACGACCGAGGGCGGAGCGGCCTTGGCCCGACGAAAGGCCGCCGAAGCCTCACAAGCCCAGGGTGACGGTAATAACGTATCCATCTCCGGCGTCATTGCAGAACAAGAGTCTCATATGGCTGAGCTGGATCCGATCTCCCCAGAGGAACGCGTCGAGATGCTCCAGGTGGTAGCACAAGATGCCTCCGAGGTAGCCGATGTGGTGCAGGAGATTCACGAGCGTCTCGCCAACATGGAGGACGAATATTATCAATTGGCAGAACAGACAAATCAGGTCAATGCAACGTACACGAGCACACTCGATGCTTTTCAAGTGTTGGAAGACATAAGCACGAGGTTCCGCAGCTATATAGCTGCCGAAACAGAGTTTCGCGATCGATGGGTCGCTGAGCACGAAACCATAGGTGCCAAGATGGACGAGATGGAACAACTCAGACTCTTCTACGAAAACTATGCCGGCTCCTACGACAGTCTCTTGCTAGAGGTCGAGAGGCGAAGGGCCCAAGAAGAGAGAGTTTTGAACATTTGGCGGAAGGCAAAGGAGAGTGTAGATAGGATCATCGATGCTGATGAGAAGCAGCGAGAGAATTTCCGCCACGAAATTGCCGAGTACATACCAACCGATCTGTGGCCCGGAATGGACGACCCCATAAGGCGGTGGGAGGTGGTGCCGGCAGGACACGACCTGACAGGCGAGGATCATCAAGGAAGCACGCCAGCACTCGACAAGAGCGTTGTACAAGCAGCTGCTTCAAGGCTTGGTCGCATTTCCGGGGATCGGTCATGATTATCACCGTTTTGGCGTTTTGGTTTTAGTTCTGGTAGCGTGATTATGGTAGCGATGTGTTCCAGTCACATCTTGGTTCCCGTGGCTTTGGCGTTTGGGTGCCGTGGGAGTTACTTTTCTACTATGTAGATATGCATCAACTTCCACTGGGTTCAGAAGATCAGGATATAATGATCAGACATGGCAGGTGATGGCTCAGATTTGCCAGTTACCTTTTCCCTTTGGCTGGGTTATATCTAGTCCAATAGAATCCGTCCATGTTTCCTGCAGTTCATCTTGACAACAAATGTTGGCTCCACTATAGGCCATGGAATTGAATGGAGCCACACAAACGAAAAAAAGATAAAAAGTGGATATTTCAACTTTCATTATTTTAGATAAAAATTTATTCTCTCATCCAATCACAAGAAACATCTCAATGGTTGCATCTCGATTAGTATAGTGGTCAGTATGCCAGCTTGTCAAAGAATGAATAATTCAACTCGCTGGAGACCGGGGTTCAATTCCCCGATCGAGAGAATCTTTTGTCTGATATCCATCTGACTGACATGTCTTACATTTTATTATTTAATCTTTTTTTGGCTCGCAAATGCGACATGTCTTGTTCTCCGTTTTTTTTTTTTTTGTCACTTGTTTATCGAAACACCATGGAATAAGTGTACAGAATGTTACAAGAACACTATCTTGGTCTTTCGCATCTGGAACTGTCAAAGCAAGCAAAAACCCTCCAGCGTTCGGCTGTACCTATGCCACTGTGTATTGGTATTCGTTTGTTTTTCTCACTTGCTTGTTGTATGTTGGGTTGATTCATCACGATTGGCGTGCTCCGGTAGTTGCAATTTATCCTAATATTGTTTCTTCGTCTTCCCTCTCCTATCGTGAATCACGATTCGAAATCGTGGCGGGCATGAATGAGCGCCAGATGTGACCGTGATCACATCAAGTACATTGCGACGAGGACTGTCATGGCACGAAATCTATGACTTGGGCAGGGCTCTGTCTGACGATCAACCCTGGACATATCCCTCCCTTTATAATGAATGCATTTGTTTGCTTATTTCACACGAGACTTGAATTTGTCTTCTACCGACGAGAAATATGTTGCAGCAGAAAATCAACAATGTATTATAGTCTTGATCCGCAAAGTCGAAGATGTTTCATTTTCCTAAAGTTTGGCCAACAACCTTTACTTTATGCCCAATCACATGGCACGCCGTCGCAGTATGGTACATCATCAATGCACTCGCCCGATTCGCCCGTCTCGTCCGAGCACCAATAACCGGCACAGCAATGGCCACTGCAGTGACAACGCGCCTCAAGCGGATGCTATAAAAAGGGGGAAGATTTTTGGTTAGCAACCTGTTTCCATCTTGTGACGCAGGGATGAATGAGGGGTTTGAACAACGTACAAGTGATGAGACTGGTGTCATTGCTGCCGCGTTCACACTGGCTAGAGTGAGAAACATTGCAGAGATAACACTGGCGAGCTTCATTGTGTTTAGAGTGCCTGTTCGAGTCTCGTATTTGGATCAGGAGCGCAATTATAGAGTAACAACAAAATATAATACCAGAACAGTCCATCTGGCTGCACCGACAGTCTGCCCATATTTATATGGTCTCAATCCATTATGGCTGAGTTTAGACGCGAGAGGAATAAGCCTGTTCATAGTTTAGTTGCCAATAAACCCATGACAAAGTGGTAGATGAACTCAAAGCTCATAGCGCCTTTGATGAGGCCAAGATGCTCCTGTCAGACTCCTTCGACGCTTGGCACTCCAATTGTCAGTATGGGCCCATCCCAAGTTTGAGAGCCTTGTTTCTTGGCGTCTTATAAGTCTTATATATTTGCCTCCAATGTTTAGTCCGGACCGCGTCGTGAGTCTTTCGGTATCCTAGACTCTGTCGTTTAACCCATGGATACGTTTCTTGGCTTGAACTTGGCTCAAGCTATTTGGTCTTTACCATTCTTAACCCGTGGACAAACATGTCCCTATTTTAATCGCCAAGAACCTAATCACAGTCATCACGACTTAATGCTGACTTTTCATTTTATAGCTTCTTGGCCAGGAATCCAACATGTTCGTTCTCTCTCAATTATGATCTACTGGTTAATGGTAAGCTGCAATGTGTGACCAATCTTGAAGCACACGATACATGCAGTCTTCTGCGAGTGATCAAAGGTTGGAAATCAAGAAAATTGCGCTACTATATCACTGACGCCTTCACGTTCAGTGATTACCCGGCCTTGTTCACAACGGTGGAAATGGCTCTTGAATCACAATATACCACTGACTCTCCTCGGCATAATCATTGCGCAGCGTGACCGTTTAGGCAGACAATCGGAATATTGTATAACATCCTTGTGGAATATTCAAGCCGACTACAACATGGTTTGCAACGATGGTGCGATTGAAACATTCCCTGCTCAGAAATAGGTCTCGTCTCTATGAGATGAAGAGTAGACATCACCTCATTCATTAGATCAGATTGGTTTCAGTTTGTGGCGTGACGATGCAAGATGCCCAGAAACTGTTGCCGGACAAGCATATGCACCATATGGAATGGAAATGCACTCGTTATCATCACGTGGCTGGCGTGCTGGTAATGTCGGTGCTGAAATAATCCGACCAAGCCATGGGATAAATTATTGCAACTTTTCCCATTACACACGACATTATTGTCAATTTAAAAAACCGGGTGCACCATTCAATAGATCAGACGCAGGGCGGGGATCGCTCGCTCTCTACGGAATAAATCCTAGGCTAAAAAAGCAGCAGCTTTTCTTTCTTTGCATCTTCCAAAGGCGGCCCGTTCCTAGCGGCTATGGAGCTTGGGGTTCGTATATGGTAAATCACATTTGTAATCTTCAGGTCCTGTGAGCAATTATGAAAAACCCGATATACCTGGCTAGGAAAGCTGTCAATTCCCCCCCTCAACTAGGTTTTCTTGCTTGAATAGCTTAGTTATGCAATATTAGTGGTTCCCCAGATTTCCGCGACTTTACAAGAACCGTGAAAACTAAACTGGAAATATGGTGACTGTAACATGAGATTTCCTGAGCACTTAGACATCTCGCCAGTATTGTCGATTCGAATCATGGAAACTACCTACTGTCGACAACATACGACAATCTCCCCTAGCGCGGAGCTGATGACTACAAGTGCAGGTACGGACAACGAGGTCCAAGGTCTTGATCATTCATGTTTGCAAATGCGCCCAAGAGCAGGCCGAGATGCATATCATGGCAAAATGAACGGATTTCCATGCCTGTTTCTCTCAAAAGGTGGACTTGTCACATGCCAGCAGGCTATTAGTGTTTGAAGTACAGAACAAGAAGATTTATACACGGTTCTGTTGTTTATACAAACTTCCGATTACGCACGATATATCATGCAGTATTTGCTTTCTATCCGAGTTTGTTAAGGCGGATGTCGATCGATTTTCTAACTGGAACGGCTTACATATGTATTCTATAATGCCACACAGGTATAAGACCATAATCCTCAAGGTCTTTATTGTCGATATGTCATTAGCTACAATACCACAGTTCATGCGTTTACTCAGGAATCGCCTTGCTGATTCAAGATTTACGAAGATGATAGGATGCTTCAATGCATCTCTTATAGACTTTTGGTGTGACTCAAATACAGTCACAAGTTGAGCCTCAGACTCATCAATAACGTGGCCTGTTCAAAAGAAGTCTGTGACCTGACCTGTATCAAGCCCTATATGACCCCCTTTCAAGCAAGAGGCAGTCATAGGTCAAAGCATTCTGCCCACTGTAGAGACATGACGTCGAGGAGGAGAAAACCATTTACTTCACCCCAAGTCCATGACAGGAAGCTATTCAGGGTGTCTAGTCTAGCACTCGTGTAAGCAAGCATGTGGATTTAGACCCCGGGTTTGGGAGGCTCCTTCGAGCCAGGGAATGAAATGAAATGTGATGCTAGTTGTGGGGAATGTCGGATTCATTTATCATTGCATCATAATTTTACGGCCATGGCAAGTTGACCTTTTACTAACAAGCAAAACGGTCTGCGACATCAATGCAATGATTCTTTTCTTCTTCTTTCCGACTTCCCTCCCGATGAATCGCAGGATGCTGGCAGCAGACCTTGAACGACTCTAGATCAGAGTTGAGGCATCAGGACGCATACCGGGAACATGAGGATATTGCTCAAGACCATACGGGCATATGGGCCAAAGTGGGCCAGGAAGGGAGACACGGTGACACGGTCTTCATGCTGGCTGGCCTGGTTGTCAATGCCTAGGTGGTGCCGTTGCCAGTTGTCAAGCGAACCCCAGCAGATTTGCTCATATCGGCAGTGATCATGCCCATGGAGTCATTGTAGGGGTTTGGGAGATTTCGCGATGGGATCGAGTTGGGTCGATCTGTTCGTCATTCGATGTTGTTCCTGACTAGACGAGACTCCATGAACACATGCGTACATGAGCGAAGCGGGATCCGGCCTTGAATCTCTGGGCCGTCATGGCCAATGCGGCAGTCCATCAGGGGAGTACCCCCAATGTTTATCTTGCAACGACATCTTGCATGCTATACGTACTAGCAAGTCGGACGTGGCTGAATGGACATTGGCACAGATATCATTGTCATCCTCGATCGAGGTTATATGCAAAACCGGACACGTGTTGAGACGAGACGCGACGTTCACAATATTGGTTCGCCTCGGACAATGTGTGAGGGCTGCCGGTGGCTCAAAGTTGCCTGTAGTGTCTCTAGCATCCACCTCGCTCGACTGAATAGAGTCGAGTCCAAGCCACACTGTGGATATGACCGTCAGCAGATCAATTTCAACGCGAGCTCATCACCGACGAGTAAGAGCAATGGTTTGCTCATCCCTTGGCCCCATCCAACGCGAGACCCGTTGGCAATGGACAGGTATTACCGGTAGTGCAGAGCCCCGTGCAGTACTATATCGCTCAATGCTCAGTGCACAGGCGAGTTTATGAATGTTATTATTAGGGACCATCCATGGTCAGTCGCGGTCCTGGGTTGTGGCTGTACGTGACGGTAACGCGTTTTTCTGTCCTTTTTTTCTCTTCTTTCTGTTTTCTTCTCGTCTTCTTCTTTTCCTTCTGGCTGCTAGCCCTAATGGTAGCCTGGCTTTTACAGCCTAGTTCAGACACTAAATGAAATGAAAGCTCCATTAGTGGATCGACGGGTTGGCGCTGGCACGGTCGACACGTCCCCTGCCCGCTGCCAAAAGTGCAGCAGTTTGGCAGCCCCATGTCCTAAAATTGTCTTTTACTGTACCAAATGATCCCGTTAGAGCTCACTGAATGAGCACCAGGCCACTTGGCTGTTCTGTCCTTCAGGCTAGGTCCAGGACTCGCCGAATCCCATCCGTTACCTAGTATTAGTTTGTTTCTTGGACCTCACCTTGAACCACTTCGTTGCGAACCAAAAGTTTCACCAATCAAGCCGCCAGCAAGACGTGAAATATATCAAACTAGTACGCATTCGGAGGCCATGCTGTGTTGCACGTGTGGCAACTGGCTGGTACGCAGAAGGTAGTAGTTGTTAACATAGGTGTGTGCGGGCGGTGAGCTGATGGGTGCAAGAGGTTCGTCCTTCCCCCCTTTGCCCCCCCCCCCTGGTTTGCGACCTTTGCTCTGTCTGCGACCACCCCCAGGCCATCCTAGCCTCCTAGGCCATCAACTTTCTCTGTGCCACAGTCCGCTGCTCAGTGCTTACCCTGCCCCTTTCGGGGACCGTCTCAGGGATCCCGGGGTTCTCCCATGAGAGCGCAGCAACTGCTAGCAGAACATGAGAGAGATGCTCCACTGAAACGTCAGTGATCCGAGGCCAGATTGGCGGTGACGATCGGGGGTGCAATGTAACCGCTACGAACTCCTTTGCCCCACGCTTTATCTCGGCCAGGCGAAATTTCCCATCCACGAACGAAAGAAAAGAAGGTCCCGTCCGTAGCCCGTCAAGCCCGTCGCCCGTTGGACGAGAGAGAGGAGGAAGAGGATCCATCCAGTTCAAGCCAGTCCCAGCAGCGAATCGACGCGAGTGGACGAAGGAGTGGGAGGGGACCCGACAAGACATGGGGACATGGACATGGGGGCGAAAATAGTGCGCTTCTTTTTATTCTCGCTCCCAAGTCCCAAGTTCAAAGAGCCACGGGGGTAGGAAGAAAAAAAAAAGACAGAAGAGGAAGAAAAAAAAAGACGCGGTGCGCGCCGTGAACGGGTAGCTTCGTCACAATTTCCACACGATCACCCGCCTGGGTATTCAATATCTCCATAGTATCCTGTCGCGCTCCCGCGCCCCTCTAAATCACCTCTCACCTCTTTTTTCGATCGCAAACAATAGACCCGAACCAACCCCTCCAAGCAAAAGAAAGAAACGATAAGAGATTGAAATTATACAAGAAAAGCCACAATCAATAACAGCAGGTTATGTCGGCTTTTCTGCAGAGCTTGCTGTCGTCGGCATTCCCCAACGTCAACCCCCCAGGGGCGCCCAAGGGAAGCTCAAGGCCCGCTACGACGTTTAGAGCTTCCGCCAACCCTGTGCGCGCTGCCGCTGCTGTCGCTGATGCTGATGCGACAACGGCCGCCACTTTCCCTTTCGGACAGGATGCGGTAACGCCTGCCGCCTTCAACAACGATGTCTCGGCACCTGGCTTTGTCGTCGCCAATAACACAGCCGTCGCCGTTCTCGCGGCCACCGTTTGCCTGTGGTTTGTGTGGTACTTGACGCGCAGGCGCAGTCGGAACGCAAAGATCAAGGCCGCGGCGCAAGATGCTGCGCGCGCCCAGTTGGAGGATGATGCGACCCGCAAGGTATTGCAGCAGATGGTTGACGAGCGGACTGCTGCCTTTGAGCTACAATTCCAACAGACACTAGACGAGCGACGTCTTGCCGAACACCGGGAGGATCCCGACTTTGTTGCCGTGGAAGCCACTCTAGGTGAGCGCATCAAGAGCCTCGAGGCCAGCTTCGAGAAGACTCTGAACGAGCGCCTTGAGGCCATGGAGGAGGCCGTCCGGCGCCGCGTCAATCAAAGGGTTGAAGCCATGGAGACGCGGATCAAGCTGGATCAGGAGGCCATTGAGAGCTTGCATCACGCCATCAATCAACGCATGGAGATCCTGGAGGAAGGCGTTCGCATCCTTGACGGAAAGCAGCTGGATCAGGAAGCTACGCACATTACTGCCCGCTCTCTCAGCGTGCGCCTCGAAGCCGCCGAGAACACCATTCAGGCATTGGACAACAAGACTCGCGCTACAAGCCAGAGAATCGAGGCCATGGACGACAGCTCGAGGGTAGTTGACAGCAGGACCAAGTCGCTCAGCCAGCGTGTCGAGGCAGTCGAGGACAACTTGAGCGCAGCCGAGGGCCAGGTTACACTGCTGTCGCACGATGCCAACCGCGGTGTCGAGGCGATTGAGAAACTGCAGAAGCACGTAAGAACATTACCTGGAAACGAACGCCTGCGCGACTTCAACACGGCCTGGGAGGAGCGTTTCAAGGAGCTGGAGCGCCGCTTGGAGCAGAACCAGCTGGCGATCGAAGAAGTACACTATGACTCCGAACAGACCTTGACATGGTCTCACATCGAGGCTCAATCCATTGAGCCTGTTGGACCTCTTTATACTAGACCTTCCTACGAGCAAGAACATAGCTTCAACCACTCACCTACACAATCATTTGACGGCTCTCTGCCACCCACACCTTCATCCAGCAGCCGCTCGTATTCCTTCTCGAGCTCGACACCGGGCACCTCAGGCATTCCAATCTCTACGCCGACAAATTCAAAGAAGTCACGTCGCCCCGTGGTGCCCATGGTGGAAGACAAGGGCTTCACAGACACCACTTTCTCGTCCAGACAAAAACTCTTTGCCGCACGGAGGCATTCGAGGTCGATATCCAGACAACATTCTCTTGCATAGTCAAAAAGCGCAGACGCATATACTCTCTCTCTCTCTCTATCTCTCTGGGTCGGTCCAATATATCGGTGTTTAGGTCCTTTCATTTAATGAGGCATCGGGACGGCTGGTGTCAATCCATATTTGTTTTGGATCCATGATCTTTTTAGCCATCTTTTTATCTCGCAACATCCAGCATTGGCCCTCCTCTTTTTCTCGGAGTCTCGCGGAGTTTTACTTGTTTGGGTGGCATCCCTGTTATACAACAAGCATTTGGTCATCACCATATCGGGGTCACACAGTTTTTCCATCTCGGACAACAGCATGGGTTTCGTTTTTTGTCTCTATAGAACGTAATGATATCCTAGAAGCTTGACACTTGCGCTAGTTCAGCGCGCAATGAACCTGAACACTTACACGCCTCCCTTACATAGTCACATAGATGGTGGTGTTGGGAATAATTTCAAATCCAAATTATATAAGTTACAAAAGCGACCCGAATGACGACATGCAAGCCTTACTAGGGGTGTCGGTATTACCGTATATTTCTTGTTCGTAATCACAAATTATGATTGAGCCTCCCTCACGTGTAAGTCGCCCTGAACAAGAAAGGGCCAAGAAAAAGAAGAAAAAAGAGGTGGCTGGGAGAGGACGCCACGCGGACGAGTCATGTTCTCGCAATGCGACCCACTCATAATATTAAAAATATACCATTTTTAGTACACAGTAGTTCTTTGTAACGAACCGGCGCGCCGTTGCAAAAGCCAAGTCACAGGAGCCGACAGGAAATTATACTTGGAGAAAACCAGGCAGAGATACTGGAGGAGATGAAGATTCTACGGTAAGTCGTCCCTGCTATCGTGCATGATTCCCATCTAGTGTATCACGTCTTCTCCCGAGAACAAATCAGTCATCTTGTGGTGTTGATGGCATTTACATGTTCGTTGCCTATCACTAGCAGCCTTTTTTTCGAGTTTAAAAGTGCCCCGAAAGACTCAAATCAATGTGAGATTCTGGCAGGAAACCTCGGCGTCCTCGTTGTCCCAAGAGACGAGCCTGATTCGAGACATTCCATGATTGGGTGATGCGGCCGTATTTGGTGGATGAAGACTTGTTATTGGAAGAGGTGAGAGGTGTGCTGCTCTTGCCTCGACGATGTAGTTTGGTCGCATTGGTGACATGGAATCATGTTGACTATATCGACATGTACAGTAGGTAGGTAGGCATGCTTGATGGGGTTATAGATGCGATGCAACTGGATCAATCTGCTGTTGAGATAGAATGGCGTTGGAAACCTGCCAAGCTTGCCGTCCAATGCGCAGTATCGATGCAATTCGTGACGGCCAAGGACATTTGTCGAGGTCGACTGTTGGACTTGTATGAGTCTTGTTGTCCGAGGTCTGCGATCCCTCATGTCCCTGCAATACGAGCTGAAAATTGTCAAGATCGAATGGGGGAATGATACAGTAGTCTCCCTTGAAACAACTATAGCGTCCATCTGCAGTGTCTCACGCGACTCTTATGCACAAAGGACGAGAGAATATGCCATTCTCTTTGCGGAATACCTGCTTGGTCAGTTATCTCACTGGTCTCACATCTTTTTTTTTTCTCGATTTCGAGGTAGGGGGATGGGCTGATGGGGCGGGGAATGTGCGAATGTGGCTGTTCAACTACAAGAGCTGGTAAAAGGCCAATTCGCCTCTGGGTCCAATTGACGTGTATTTTCGCCATGAGTTTTGTCCTGGGTACCAGCGGGTAGCAAGAACGGTCTTACGAGTCCTCAGAACTCTCAATGGTCACTGCAAGCAAGTCTGCCAAGTATGGACTTGCCGCGTATACTTCCAGTCATCTCCCATAATTGCGTATGAGCGCCAGACATCACGTCGAGATCAACACCGGTGTTTAATTATCATTTATACATCCAACATCGCTAATCTCGGGGATGTTCCGTTGATTAGTCTTATCAAGAGACTTAGAGACGACAGTGTTCGAGTCCCTCAGCTTGCTTGAAAGGAAAACCGAGTCCTTTTGAATATATAACCCGGGTCCATTTAACATGTTTGGATGGGGTATGCAAGTGCTTAAAGCTCTGTCACCCTCAAGGGCTACCAACTCATAGGAATTAGCATTGTGAGTTACCAACCTCAAAGACGTATGCCCTGCACCACTGTGGTAGAAGCTATGATAGCAGGTGTCTTGCCAGCCTCGGCTTGCCGTTATGCGACCTTTTGCAGAAAAACTTGCTGCTTCGCAAGATCTCTGCGCTTTGTGCATTGTTGACATGGCGTGTTGTTCTTGAGAATGTCGCCGGTCAAGCACTTGTCAGGTAGGATATCCCAGAGAGCAGCAGCCGTGAAGATCTCCTTGTAATTCATGGACGAGGCAAGCAGATGATGAGCGCAGAATTTGTCATTGCAGGGACAATAGGCTCTCACAGGGGTGCAGGTCTCCTCTCGGCTGGGTAATGGTCGAGCTGATGCGTGGTTATGAACCATAATCGTGTATATGAGTATCCCTACAGTGGAATAAAGTGGTCAATATGAGGTTAACTTGGGTAATACATTGATCGGCCTGTATCAAAGCCCGTTACTTGCGAGGTTAGGGGTGAATTTCTAGGTCTGGTTGTCGGGATCAACATTATATTGTCTGTCAGTTCGAGACCATTGACTTGGTGACCTACTGTCTGGCTGCCCAATTTTGCGTATTGTTGAACTTGAATTAGGATGGAGTAATGACGTACTTGAAGTTTTCGCAGCCGATGGCTGCAGGATACGCTTTGCCGTTGGTTGACTGAACATGATATTGCTCGTGTACTTATAACCTTGAGTTGGCGGATGACTCCTACAGCCGTCGACATATTCAAAGACCACAATGCCTTGCATAATACCAAATCTCAGCGTAAGGTTAAATAAGAGCAAGATCTGTTGAATTATTCTCGAAAGTTGAACTAGAGGACAACCTATTTACATCTAATCTTTGTGGACCTAGCTAATAATTGAAGATGTTCAGAGCATAGTCATCCACTATATAATATTTAAGAGTAAACAAGCAACAAGTCGTCATAATTGGATAGCGACTAAAGTTGTAGTCATCAATCAACCACCACATTGACATGAAGACCAGCCGTAAGTGCACGCACAGACGTACATCATCGTCCCCCTAGGTAATGAACATGGGCAGCCGAAAGGCAATTGGGTCCTCCAAACAACAGGTCGATGGCATATAAGCTGCATGTTAATTCACATGGGCAAATTCTTTCAACAGTTTTCCCAACGTTTACGCTAGTCCCAACATTTATTGTCCAAAATGCCGTTACTCAATGCAACCAAAAGGTGGTGACATCTGGAGATGTCAAGGCAAACAGGTCTCAAAGTAAGCCGACTAAGCAAATCGGAGCAAAAGAACTCAGTCAAAGAAGAGACAATCAATGTGCCGCTGGACCTGGCAAGCAAAGTGCCCAATCACCAGACTTAGAAGTTGCAATAAAGCTTCAAGAATGTGGCCATCGGTCTGCTTCCAGACTCCTTCGTAGCACATGCGACTCCGCCTTGGCCATTATCCATTTGCCGACACAACGTAACACAGTATAGTGGTATAAGTGCCGAGGACAAAGAGGGGGGCTCAACTCTTGAGATGCTTGTGAAAACCTAATACAGATCAAAATTTGCGCGTCGCCATCGAGCCTATAAGCCAAAGGAGCCAATGTCAATGCCTATGAATTGGAAGGTCGTCAAAGTAATATATTCCATGAACGCTTACCAAGCCTATTGGTTGTACCGGTGTAGATAGTTGAACCGTTATATGTCATAACGGGCAGGTACTCCCCTCACAATATTCCGTGAGACGCGGCAGTGCAACACACCATCATCAACTAAGCGAGAACATTCGTCGCCGGACTCCGAATCTGGGGTTCCCAAGTGCCGCGCGATCTTCAGGGATCAACCGGTATTGCATTTGGGGCAAATCGACCAGCAATGTACCACAACATGGCAAGTATTTTGTCGATCATGTCAAGGATTGGGTATTGACTACCAAGCAGTCATTCACTCATGCTCTTGCAGGCTCACTGATTCACTGCAGCAGCTAGAGAAGAAACGATACAGAGTAAAAGTAAAATATCGTAATATGTGCATTTCAGATCCTATTTACATCTATATCGTGATGAATAATTACTCAATTACCATTCGAGTTTCTTTCGTTATGAGCATCGCACTAAGGAAAACGTGAGAATATGTCGCCTCCTTCTTTTCCATTCTTTTACAGAGTCGTGTGTCCGGCAGTGTCACCCTTGAACACCTTTGCCGGCCAGCCCTGTAGCGTCGATCTTTCGTCGACGACGTCTCCACCCATGACAAGCGTGTGCTCCATCAAGCAGCTGTCATTCTGCATACTTGCGCCCGATAGCAGTCTGCTACCACTTCGCAGCACGCAACGGTCGCCAACGTGCAACTCGTTCAAATCAAAGGTACCACGAGTGTTGATGTGACCGACAAGACTCGCGTCGTCAACAACGCAGCGGTCACCCATGGTAATCAAATCGGGCTCGGTGAACATGAGACTCGGGGAGCCGTTCACAAACAGAGCGCAGTTGTCGCCAATCTGTGCACCCAGCGCACGGAAGTACATGACGAGCCAGTGCGTGCCCGTAAGCATGCCAAGAATACCGTGGCCACGGTAGCAGTGGCGACGAATCTTCTCGATCGACAAGAAAAGTTGCCAGCGCTGACAGTAGCTGCTCTTGTCCCAGTCGTAGTTGCCAGGCTTTCGGTGGCCGATAATGGTCCACTTGGCCACGATGATGAGCAAGATGGCAAAGATGGCCAGGCCAGTAGTCAAGACAACAATGCATGCAGTCATGAAACCCCAAGTGTGAAGGGCATCGCTCCAGAAGCCCCGACCCAGGATTTCGTCGTAGTTCATCCAGTAGATAATCTGGATTGAAAGAATAAAGGGAATGTTCCATAGCGCCGCGGTAAATGCAGTGATAAAGGATGAGTATAGGAAGATGACGAATTGGCCCATAACTCTGTAAGGGGCCTTGCCCTGATAAAAGGCTCGGCCGAAGGGGCTCAGGTTTAGCTCTTCCTCCCGCGCAGCTGCCTCCTGAGGCGTAATCAAGACTTGACGGCTGGACTTGTTTGACAGGATTCCGTTTTGAGGAGCGCCCATGGACAATTGATTGGTGCTGGCCTTTGGTGTCAACATGTTGGGCGTCATTGGCGACATTGGCGACATGGGAGCGACTGATGCGAGCGTCGATGAGGCACTGGAGCTGACTCCGCTCGAGGTGGCAGACTCCACGAGAACACGCACGCGCTTCTGGTTTGCCTTTTCGGAAAAGGATGTGTCGAGGTTGAGCTTCTTGGGGTCGGTCTTTTCGGAATAAGTCTTCTCGGGGTCAGACTGCTTCGGGCGTGGGCGAGCCAAGTGGATAGCATCACCTCCTCGAGAGCCGACCCAGGTGCTGTTGTCTTCGTAGAACTTGTTACGCCTTGAAAGAGCGCCCGAACCCATGACTGTACTCTTACCCACTTCGACACCGGGCAGCAGGCAGACTCTGTCCGCAATCATGGCGTTGTCACCAATCTTAACCTTTTCAGAGCTGAGGCCGTCAGAAGTAACCAGGTGAGAGCGCGAGCCAAACACAACATCGTTACCAATGTCAATGAGGTGGTAGTCGCCAATGGATGGGCCAGTACCGGGCCAGTAGACACGCTTACCGACCTTGCCACCTAGAAGTCTGACTGCAACCGATGTTCCTTCGTAGTGCTGACCCAGAATCTCAGTCATCTTGTGCAGCTTGGATACAGGCATGATCTTCTTCATAAGGGCCATGCGCCATCTATCAACAGAGCTTCGGGTGGCTGCAGGGCTGGGCTTGAGTTTGCCAAACCAGACGTCGAGGAATAGACGGACGGCGACAGCAAAGGCAAAGACGAAGAAAGGGCTAAACATGGATCGAAGTACCAGTGCAAGGTAGTGGTAACCGACTCTACCTTCTGATGCAAACCAGTGAATAACACTGCGCACAGGGTGGTCGGTCGGAATGGGCTTAGCCATGACAAGACCGAGTAGACCAAGTGCCCAGGGAACCAAGGACAGGATGTAGCTGATGAAAGCAAGAGGCATGGTGACAAGGATTGTCATCACCCAAGGAGCGCCGGGGACGCGGTTCGAGGGTAGGTCACGGAAGCTCTCGTCAGTGTCCTCCAGTTCCCAAGCAGATGAGTTCGGCGGCATGCAGGCATTGTCGGGAACACTGCAACCGGGCGCGACAATCGAGGCCTTGTTGATGACGACGTTGCGGCCAATGGTGATGGGCGCAAGGTACATGGTCGTGTTCCTCTCTCCAGCGAAGGGGCGAATAGTGCAGTGCTCAAGCACGGCACCATCCTTGATATCAAGAAGATCCCACTCACCAGTCCGAGCGCCGTTGATGGTGACATTCTTTCCGATCTTGGCGCCCATTAGGCGGTAGTACATACACTTGCTCCAGTTGGACATGCCAAAGACACCCACTCCACAGATGTCGGTGATCTTCTGGACCAACCACCAGCGGGTGTGGTAAGGTCCCCACATGGGATAGTATCCAGCCTTGTGGCGTCCGATGATGACCCATTTGCAGATGATACCAACAAACGGCGAGAAGATACTCAGAATCACCTTGGATGCAGCAATACTGCAAACTAGAATCAGGAGACGACCGATAACTGACTGGTTTGTAGGCCACCTGAGGGTGCAACTGAGAACGACCATGAAGATTGTCCATTGAAGCGCGCGGCGCATGGGGTAGAAGAGGACCATGGGCATTAATTGAAGCAGCATGAGGAAAAGGTTGGTAGCCGAGTACTGCTTGTCACAGAAGTGGAAATCCTTCTCGTTGGTAGAGCTCGAGTCGGATCCGTTCAAGGAAGCGCCCTCCTGCTCCAGGTACTTGGCAATCTCGCGGGCAGAGCCGTGGTTGAAGACAAACTCGATTGGCACGGAAACCTTGAATTCGGCTCTGAGCATTGAAAGAAGACGACCAGCAAGAATTGAGTCTCCGCCAATGGAGAAGAAGTCCGCAGTCACTTCAATGTCAGTTGGGCTACGAGACAAAACCTTGCCCATGATCTGGACCACGGCCTCATCCAGGTTGTCAGCACTGGCATTCTCGGCATTGCTGATTTGTTGCTCCGCAATGGCGTGAAGTGCTTTCTTGTCAACTGTACCGCAGCCACAGAAGGGAATAGGCTGCTCCAAGTATTGTATCCGCTCTGGAATGTTGTAGTTGTCGGTCCTGGCTGGCAACAGCTTTTTGAGATCTGCAACGGCGGCGAGACCGTATTCTTTGGTAACCTCAGTTGCTGGCCTGGGTGCCAGGAACATCTCTGGCCTTCCATCAGAGCTGATGTCGACGTATGCCTCGATAATGGTCGGCATAATCTGGCTGGCGACATCTTGCAGTTGAGCTACGTCAACTGTGCATAGGCGAGCCGAAATCGGCTCCGCAAGAGGAGTGTCGACTGGCGGGCAGACCGCTTCCCAATGCTTCTCCATGAACGATGTCGTTCCGGTCTGCTCTGGAAGACTCAGGCGCTTGGCCAGATTGGTTCGCAAAACCTTGTTGTTCCTCTTTGGAACGTCGTCCATGTAGACAATCATGGTTGGCCACTTGGCCTGTTGCAGAAGCGATCGCATGGCGACATGAAGAACACGGATATCGACGCGTGGCTTACCCTTTGGTGTGACCAGCACGATACCGACGACTTCTTGGAGCACGTCATGGGTAAGACCAAACGCCAGCGCCTGGGACACTCGCTCGAAGATGGGGCTGTCAGGGTCGGCTGCAGCCGAGACGATGGCGTTTTCGACCTCAAACGGCGAGATGATTTCTCCACCACGGTTGATGACCTCTTTAGAGCGGCCCGTAATGTAGAGAAAGCCGTCCTCGTCCATGTAACCCAAGTCGCCAGTGTCGAACCAGCCATCTGCATTGAATGGAGACCTGTCTAGGCTGCCATCGGGCTTCAGGTATCCCTCAAAGACTGGCGAACCACGGACACTGATACGACCGATGGTGTGTGGAGGTGCCTGCCTTTCTGCACCATCGAGAATAGTGAGTTCAGGGCCGACCGAGATACCCGAAGTACCTTCACGGTCTAGCTTGTAATCCAAGGGAGGTGTTGAGATGGGCATACATCTGAAATATTGCATTTAGCGAAAAATCCACGAATCACTGCAGAGGGCAAACACCTACTCGGTCATTCCGTAACTTGGCAATACGGTACAATTGAAAGTGTCCCTCAATTGCTCTGCAAGTGCGGGCAGCAAACCACCAGCGGCATTGCAGATGAGGCGAATCCTGCTCTTGCTCATATCTGCCTGTCGGTTGATGCCCTCGTTCAAGATGAGCGAGTGCATCGTGGGGGATGCATAGTACCATGTTGGCAATTCCTGGTCAACCAGGTCCCAGAACAATCCGGGGTCAAAGCCAGAGCAACAAATTGTTGATCCTCCGGCGAAAATGGGAGCAAAAACGTTGCGAATAAGTCCTCCGCTAAAAAGTAACGTTTAGCTTCCGTTCTTTCGGCACGCTCGGGTAAAAATAGATTAACTTACACGTGGTGTAACGGCATCATATTCAGGCACGTCTCCTGTGGCGTCAAGCCCCAAGAGGTAATGACCTGGTGGGCGCCGCTAATAGCTGCGTGTATGGAAATTGGAACGAGCTTCTTGTTTCCTGATGTACCACTCGTAAAGAGCTGAATACATGTATCCTTGGGGGCGCTTGGCTGCGGGGCAGCGAGGGCTCCGAGGCTGGAACCCGATTCGCTCGTAACTGTAATGCTCATGTCTGATTCTATCCGAGCCAGGCAGATCTGGATTCCTGCCTCTGCAACCCATCCATCCTGTAGGGCCAGTTTCTGGTAATCCTCGGCGGTTGTCAAGACGATTGTGGCTCCGGCTTGCAGGACGTCGGCCTTGAACTGCTCAACACCAACACCTGGCGTGACCGGGGCGGCAGTGTAGTAGGTCGAAACGGCAAGGATGGTGGCGGCTAGTATAGGTCCGTTTGGTAGTGCTACTGCAACGACTTCCTTCTTGAAGCTCTGTGTTGAAGGGAGGCGGAAACCCTGGACGAATTGCTTCAATTGGGCGTGTGTCATGTAGTCCCGGACCGAGGCGGCGTAGATGGCAGGCGTCGGGTGGTCTGGCAGAAAGTCCACAATGGACTTGCCGTCGAGATCTAGTGATGCCATCGTGAACGACAGGTTGGGTCTCCCCAAAGCGTCTCCTCAAGTTGAACAAGGAAAGGGCATCCGTCAAAGACTGGGGTTTAGTCAGTCAGAGTCAGAGTCAAGAGGAAGTTCGACGACGATGGTTGATCAACACAACTAAACCAAGATCAAAGGGAAAAAGAAGAAACAGATATGGATATGCTTGTCTCATATATATCTTTGGGCAATGGCACACACTCTCTCTCTATTACCCTCTGGATCACCTCGGTGACCCCTGATGAGGATCGGCACTGGTAGTATACAAGGGTTAGCAGGCATATGGTTCAATGAATTCTACGCACAAGACCCAAGTTTGGATATTTTTCCAGCTGCCCCCCCAAGCTGGGACCCCCAACCAAGTAGCAGCAGGCACTATCTCGGTCACTCCTTCCCGTAGAATACATGCTGGGGGACTCGTGCTACGACATTACTCGATGTGTACGTACCTCAAGGTTGTCGGTCGAGGTACTTGGTTACGTACATCATGTATCGATTCTTTTGGAGGGCAATAAGCAGCAGCGGCGGCGGCAGCATCAGATTCAAGTAAAGAGATCAACGATCCCAGGTTCTCGCCCACTTCTATTCACGTCCCTGCCATCGCCCCCTTCAAGGATGAAGCGACAGAGAGAGTGGGCTCCAGCGAGTGCAACTCCCGGGTGGCCAGCTTATCTGGTCTGGAGCTGGGAGCTGAAGAGACAGGCCAGCAAAGTGACAGGCTGGGCGTACTCGTACACTAACTAACTAGGAGGTATAATTCTCCATACCGGCATCTCCTTCCTTTACCGTATGGTATATGATCGGGGCGCCTATCAACAGATCCACCTCGCACTCCATAGCACCAAAGTAAACTGACTCTCTGTGTCTTTGGGAGCTGGTACATGGTGATAGACTATTAAATTGGAGCTAGGGCGGCCGTATATCGGCTTGTGCCCCCGTACAGAAGGTAGAACCTGCAGCAAGCCCTATCCGCCATCATGTCCGGGGTGCCTGATTGGTCGAGTTCGAGATGCAACCTTAAAAAATGCCATCTCCGTGATGCTCCACTCTCGCCTGGCATTTTTTTTTTGTTCAGTCGTTTGTTCAACATTCCTGGGGCCTGTCCCCGACTTCCCGGTAGTGGTATCTCTAGAGGAGGGGGTACGTACCGTTTCTTCTAACGCCCGTTTCAATCTGCTCTCTCAGTTTTGTGATTCCCATAATCGGGTCGTGCATCTTATCTTGTCTTTGTTCCCTGCAAATCCATTTTAATCCCCGATGGCCCATGGCTGCGAAGAACGACATTGTCAAAGCGGACGGTTTTGCATACTCGCTTCCGTGCCTGATCTGCGTCGGCATGCGCAATCGACTTGCGAAGACAGCCGCGCGACTGCCTGCAATAAACATGCAATACGGTGACTCGTGAGTCGTACGCCCATGTCGTTGATGATAAGTGGTTTTCTTACACAATCAGAATGTCAGCCAGGACGGACCTACCTCTTGCATTGCAGTAGGCCAAACGATAGACCTTGTATGGGGCTCCTATAGTCACATAGCGCATTGCGCCATGAATGAGCAACAGACGAGCTGGGAAGTCAATAATTCGTTTCATGGCCACTGATGTGTGCTGCTACTGCTGGCCCTGCTGGCGTGCTTGGTTAGGTTGGGCTGGGCTGGCTGGCAGTGGCTGGCTGGTTGGTGGATGAGGTGCACCCAGGGGAGTGATGTCCTCTTTGGCTCCACCTTCTCCTTCGGGCAACGCAGAACAAAGCGGAATGGAGCAGAATTGGGCCTTTGCCCCCCCGGCTTTCGACTGGGGCAGAACTTTATAGTGTATACCAGTTTCGCCGGACGTCTTCGTTCCCGTCGACGGCGGCGGGCGGCGGAGGAGGCAAACGAGAAACCTCCATGATCGATCCATCCATCCATCCCCATCCTCTCAAGACTAACGACTACTACCGTGTATACTACTCTGACGGAGTCAGAAGCTGCGCCTTGCGAGGCCGTGAGATCCGCCTTCCTGTGCCATGTTGCCGTGCTTGGCCTACAAATTCGACAACCCTCACATTATAAGGACCTGGTTATGCTTATAATTCAATTTACCCGTAACATATCGGTTCTGCGAGACCGTTGGCGCACTCAATTTTGGCCGCCTTGGCGGCTCTCCCAGCTAGCGCCGATTGTGTGTCTTTAACATTTGATCCCAACATGGTAGCGAGCGTCGGTCGCAAGAACTTACCAGGTTTCCAGGTCAGGTACATGCCTAGGTACGCTAGTTAGAGGTATGTATGGGTGCTTGTTTAGTGGTTACCAGAGTAAAGGGTGAACCGTGATGAGACTCCACGTGGTATCAGGAACTTGGGAGCCGTCGGATCGATTCCAGTCCTCCATTCACACAAGTAATTCATCACAACTTGGATTTCATGACGACTTAAACTGGTCATGTCTGATAGGCGCACAATGCTTTCTTGCACCCTGCTTGGTTGGGCGCTTGCCTCACCGTCTGATCCTCCCCCCAGGAACCACATATGCCGTCAGCAATGGCTGCTGGCTGGCTACCTCCTACAGATATTGCTAAGCAACCTTGGGCAAAGCTTGTGTTGTTCAATAATCCACCGTGCTGCCAAGGCACTTATGACACTTGGCTCCCGCAAGGAATACGACGCGGCACAGCTAGGCACAGCTGCAATACTACCAAAGAAAAGCATAAACTCGTAAATTTCTTTGTTTCTTGTCGTGCTGGAGACCATCATGAAATCATCCGTACAAGCCGTATGCCGTGATGTGGAAAATGAACAGAAAAAAGGTTCGCAAACCCCGGCCCGCGATCTGTAAGTGATGCACCGGTTGCACCAACTACCTTGCACTTTTTTTTTCTCGTCACACAGGATCTCGACATACGCGAGGGGCCACAGTTGCATTCCAAGTTGGCATGTTCCACAAACATCGACGTCAGAGGCGACATGTACAATTCTAAAGTTTACTCGTTTCATCCAAATGTATGTCGGTTGCGAGAAGAAAACAAAAAGTCTTAGGAGAAAACAATTACTAGAGAGAAAAACCACCGTCCCACCTCGAGGTAGATCATGACGTCCAGCAGGCGCCCAGCGAGTCAAACGTTAGTGTAGTGTCCCGTACCTTTGTGTTTTTGGCATGTGCGGTTCGTCCCGTTATGATTGAGAAGAACTGTGGCCTCTTTGATTTTCATCTCCGGGGGAATTTCGTTTTGCTATTCTAGATTGCAGAAGTCTGCATACCAAGTTCATGCAAGCATAGTACCAAGCAATCAGGATCTTGTTTTCTCTCTCTCTCTTTTTTTTTTGTCGCTCGCTGATTTTTTCCATTTTCTTGCCTGTCCGTCCTTCGCCATCGCAGCCCCACAGTTTACTACTATTCACGGCACAAAGTCCAGAAGTTTAGACACATGGCCACCCCGCGATTGATAGCAATCGTTCGTTTCATCTGATTGAAGCGAAAAAATGCCGAGATTAGGATACTCGAGGGTTCTTTTTCTGCATCTCCAACAATGTGATACGGAGAAATCGACTGTTTTTGGGGGGTTTAAACTAAGAATGCTTCTTAAGCTTAACATTATTCCCGGATGTTCCACCTTGGCGCGCCGGTTCTGGACTGAAACTCAGTCTTGGGCCGAACTATTGCGACGTATAACAGAATATCTATCCGTTGTTATAGAATTGTACCCGGAGTATGAGCGGCCGCCACAACATTTTGCAACTGATAACCACATGAAATCCATAAATCAGAATGGACTGAGGGAACCTGGGGGACCTGGTGTAGATGAATCGCTTTTATCAAGGTGAATCCACTACTCATCACAGCTTGGCCTTGGCAGGCACCCACACCCAAGGCCAACCAGTCAGCCCGGCATGGCGTTACTTCGGGGCCTGGCTCCATTGATGTATGGGGGTTACAGTCGCCTGTCGAGTCGCGACAGACGAAAAGTTCTTCGCACGAGAGACGGAGTGAGGAAGAGACGGACACCCAAAGTAGGTTTTTTTTTTTTTTCTGGTTCCTCTTTGCCAAGCACCTAAAAGAAACCCGAGTGACCAAGACGGCGAGAAAATTCCGTATCGCTCGCCTCGCGTGTCGAGCTCTGCGCCGCAGATTGGCAGACAGGCTGCAAATGCCAAGCCATCCATCGGGATTTCTTCAGATGAGAGATCGGCGGGGGGGTTTAAACAAACGAAATAGGAGGCCTGGGCTACTCAGGTAGTCTAGACTGATTCTAGACGGAAACGATGCCGCAGCCGTCGTCCGTACCTCTTTAAACGAAGTGGCCAAGGCCAATATGCGACGGTATATATGTTGCAACAGATGACACGATCTGATAACCATGATGGCACTATAGGAAGGGTTTCTCTACTCTGAAGCAGAGGCCTGGCCCCCATCTGAGCCGACTTCACGTGCTAATGAGGAAGGCCAACCAAGAGCATTGCCGCAACCGAATCCCTTTCATATCGGCTCATTTTGGGATCGAGTTGGGGGCAAGGGGATTGGCGCAAGGGAATACGGTGAGTAGTGTAGGTGCTCAAGTACTTGTGTACTTCCGTACTGCCTGCTGCTTACATAGGTACATACTATACCTATACTACATCGAGAAATCCGATCTTCAGGGACCGTTACACTCAACAACTCAGTTGGCCGCATTCTCCACCCCACTTCAGATGAGACTTCAGACGACCTGGAGAGAGGTGACCAAAAACTAGAACCCAAAAAGAAAAGAAAAACGGAGAGCACCGTTCTGGGAAAGTCACATGTTTTTGCGTGCGCGCGCGCGCCCGGCAATGCTCTCTGCAAACGGAACAAAGAAAGAAAAGGAGACCACCGTCTAGACGCTATCAGATCAAGCATCACTTTCCGATAAAAGATTTCGCCAAGACCTGTTTGATGAAGACCACTTCCGTCTACGGCCTTAGCATCATGTTGGCCGCGATGCGCGGGACTGCAAACAGACGCAACGGCGGCCGTTGGTTGGGTGCAGTGCT